CTTGCCAGAGAATCCTTTGGAAATGGTGAAGACCTTGGTGAAAGAGTTTATTGACACAGACTGGCCCCTTTTCAATTACAGTGATTTGAAAGCATAAAGTGTGAGGAGAACCTGAGCTTTCAGGGTTAAACAGGTCAGAGTGTACGCCCTGCCTACCGTGGGGTGGGGGGAGATTCTGCGTCATATCCGAGAGTCTCAACCCTTTGTCTCTCTACTTTCGCTTTTGAGGGGAACAGACGTGTTTCACAATGCTGTTAGACAATGGATAGTTTTCTGCTGTAAATAAACTGCTTTTAGCTGCTAATATCCTGAGTGGACTTTATTTAAGCACACTGAAGAAAGTGAGGCAAGGAAGAAGGGCTACCCCTATGCTATCCATATAATCAGCTATCAGTAATCAATATATTCATATATGCTCACACATAATCAAGGCTTACAGTATTTTATAATCCATTTTTGAATCAAAGGGAAGCTGTGCCTTAGCTAACTGCAAACTGCTTGAAACAGCAAAGTTAGGAGCCGACCTTTCCCCTACAAACATCCGTGTACCCTGGACAAGGGGAACACGTGAATCAGAGATACTGGTACAAAATCCTCTCAGATACAGGCTAAATTAATCCACAGAACAGGAAGAGCAAAACCACAAAATCTCCAAACTCCCTGTCCTGTCATAACTAGGGGAGAGGTTAGACAGAGCGTCACTGCAAGCATCAGAAAGCGGAACTGGAACTCCGTGCTTGACCAGTGCTTGACCAGGAGCTGGTAGCGTGGCAAGAAGCTTGCTAATTGGCTAATTTTGCTGACAATATCGTGACTGTGTCATGGTTGTCTCATGATCTATGATTTGCTGTGATCTGCTCAGGTATAAAGACCTCTGGATTTCTGTCAATCGGGGTCCCAGTTCCTTTTGGAAGAGATTCCAAACTGGGTCCTTATTGCCTGGCAATAAACCTTACCTTCTTATTCTCTATTGCTGAGTCTGCCTGATCCTTATTTATCACCAAGCGATTACCTGCTTACGTTCACGTGCTTCATTTGGTGCCGTGCTCGGATCATACAGGCCAGTAGGGTATTTTTTACCCAAAAAGAGCCTTGCCCAGCTCTTGGGCAGGGGGACACGTCGAGGGACCTTGTTTCACCTCCCGGCGCCAATCGGACATCATTTCCGAACGAGAGAGGCAATCGCCTTCGGCGTGGACTCCTGTCAGGGCGGAGGCAACGACCGAGGGAGAATCTGAATGTGAGCCAACAGGAAAGGCGCGCCACGAAAGGAACTCACAGTGAGTTAAGATAATAATGAGTGCTTGATCACCACTCTGAACGACCCACTAGTATCTTCCCGTTAAAGGGGAAAGGATCCCAAAAGGGAAAGGGAGGAGAAGCTGGGTCAGCCAAGGGATAGGAAAAAGGTTTCTGCAGGAAAAAGTTGGGAGGAAAAAAAAACAGCTGTGGGGGGGGTGTGTGGGGAAAAAAAGGAGCTGTGTGTGATTCTCTGCCAAGTTGTTTCGCCGCAGGCAAAGGGGGGCGAAAGGGCTGGGTGTATGATCGAATGAAAGAATGTCCCGGGACTTGTGGTTGAATGAGTAAGGACTGTGTTAAAAGGAAGAGTGTTTGTAGAAAAAAGGATTGTGACATCATCCACGTTGGAAAGGCAGACAAACAGGTGCAGAAGTTTGCCAAAGAGCTTGGAAAACGGTTTCAGCTCAAGAACCTGGGTGCAGTAAAGATCTACCTGGGTGTGCAGATAGCGAGAACTGAGGATGGTAGCTTCTTGCTCAGTCAGAAAGGCAAAATTTAGCAGTTGCTTGAGAAGTTAAGAATGTCCGATTGTGCAGGAGTTCGGACACCCATGGAGACGAACTTTGTGAAAGATAGCCAGCAAGCAGAAAGTGCTGAGTTCGAGAATGCTGAGCTCTTTCAGTCAGCTCTAGGTAGTCTGTTGTATCTGTCCCAATGGAGCAGACCAGACATTGCCTTTGCCACCAACCTGCTAAGTAAGGAAGCGTCGAAGCCCAGTGTGAGTGCTTGGCACGGTATCAAGCAGGTACTGCACTACCTGCAGCATACCAAAGACTTCTGTCTTAAGCTGCCAGCTGAAGGTGAGGCGAAGCTCACATGCTTTGCGGACAGTGACTGGGCGAATTTGCAGGACAGCAAGTCTGTGTCTGGGTTGGTAATAAAGTTTGGGAAGTCACTGGTTGGGTGGAAGTCCCGGAAACAAAGTCTCATTGCACTGTCTTCTACTGAGGCTGAATTCAGCGCACTGTCAGATTTGTGCCGGGAACTACAGTTCTATAGATGCTTGGTGCAAGAGATCTATGGGGATTGTAGCTTGCCCGTCACAGTTTGGGAAGACAATCAACCCTGTTTGAAATTGGCTGAATCTGCGCAATTTAAGGCCAGAACCAAGCATCTAGACATACGTTTTCAAAATGTGTGTCAGAGTGTTCAGTCAGGTTTGATACAGCTGAAGTATTGTGCCAGTCATGATAACTTGGCCGATGGATTTACCAAACCTTTAAGCTTCCAGCGTCATGGGGAGTTCTGTGTTGGTTTGGAGTTGGGGTAAGTTCTGTACTTACTTGCCCCACGGTAGCGCAGGGCGAGAGGGGGTGTGAGGAGAACCTGAGCTTACAGGGTTAAACAGCTCAGAGTGTACGCCCTGCCTACCGTGGGGTGGGGGGAGATTCTGCGTCATATCCGAGAGTCTCAACCCTTTGTCTCTCTACTTTCGCTTTTGAGGGGAACAGACGTGTTTCACAATGCTGTTAGACAATGGATAGTTTTCTGCTGTAAATAAACTGCTTTTAGCTGCTAATATCCTGAGTGGACTTTATTTAAGCACACTGAAGAAAGCACTGAGTTTGCAGCTTTTTCTCTTACCGCTGCTGATCTCTGCGTTTGCTCAGAGCATTGGAATGTGGTCTTTGAAGTGCCGGGACCTGGCAGAGGCTACGCAGCCGAAGTGCGCTGGACACCAGGTCTTATCTGAGCAATAAATCTTCTTCATAAAGCTTTGCCAGACTGTGGAAGAATGATTTTACCAAGAACTTTCTGCTAGATATATGGAGGGGTCCCACAGTTCAACTGGAGGATAAAGTATAGACTGTATCTATACTGATATGGAAAACACTATAAAAAACACTATTTTAAAACGCTATTTTAAAAATTAGTTCTCAGTGCAATTTCTCATTGGGACAGATCACAACTCTATAGGGGCCCCCTCGTGTCACATATTTGTAACGTATATATAACGTTCTTATTAGTCCAGTTTAGCTGGGTCCCAAGTCATGATGTAGCCCCATTCCTGAGTGATTACCATAACATTGTTAATGAAGGTCTTTCTAAAGACTCTGGCCTCTTCTTTTCCTCTTTCTTCCTGCCTCTTGAAGGAATCAACTGAAACTGAGAGGCAGAAGACCATGGAGAAGTTCAGCCAACTGCACCAGTTTCTGGAACAACAAGAAAAGCATCTGCTGAATGAAATAGAAGAGATGGAGAAGGAGATCACAAGAAGAAGGAAGGAGCACCTGGCTGGACTCTCAGACGAACTCTCCTCTCTTGAAAGGAGCATCCGGGGAGATAGAGGAGAAGAGTCAGCAGCCAGCGAGTGAACTCCTGCAGGTGAGACTGTGGCAGGAATAGTCCAAAGTTCCTCTCTAATGGTTTAACCACAATTACCTTTTGCTGCACTCTTTCCAGGCACAGGTCAGTACTTTCCCAGTCCCAAACCCAAGCTTCCTCCCCCCCCCCCCAGTCTCCCCACCCCAAATTCCTCCTTAAAGCTGAAGCAGAACCAATGACAAACCGGGTTTTCTGTGCATTGCTGTTTGGCCCGATTCAGCTTGAAAGAGCAGGTTCTGACAGGGAAAGCTCCGTAGGAGGAAAATGGGGAATTCTCAGACACGGAGCTTTACAGGGTGGACCATGTTGGACCAAAGGGAGAGATGGAGAAGGAGGTCAGGTAGAATGGACTGCTGCCAAATGGGGCACAGAGTTGGGGCTTGCATCTCTGAGCAGGAGTTTGGCAAAGGGAGAGCAAGGGGGGCTTAGCCCCAAGCACATGATTTTGAGGAGGTGCAAGCAAGTTGCCCCCTTGTAAGGATCTTGCCACGATGCGCCTTGCCCCCTCATGGAATGGCAGTGTTGGGGGGGAAGCACTACCCAAGGGCTGCATCTGTTAAAATCTGCTGGGATTTTATGAGTCCAAAATATGTTATGAAGTAAAAAATTTGTTGCGAAATTATTTGAGAAAGTGAAAGTCAGCTGTGCCTTCACTGTGAGGCAGCAGCCATGGCTGGTTCTGGGGGTCCCGTCCAGGATCTCTGTGCTGAAGCCACTTTTCCCATCTGCCTGGATTACTTCAAGGATCAAGTGGCCACTGTGTGTGGGCACGATTTCTGCCGAGGCTGCTTGACCTAGTATTTGGGGGGCGGGGGGGGGGCATTGCCCCATAGGCTTCCTGGCCTCAATGCAGAGAAACAGTCTAGCCTTCCAATCAGGATTCAGACCCCATCATGAGACTGAAATAGCACTGTCCGATGATTTACAGCAGGCTAGGGAAAGAAGTTTCTCCCATGCTTTCTAGGCATGGGTCAAAGCAGTTTCTAGTTTTCCCCTCTGCTTTCCCTGGGAAAACCCACTGAATTAGGAACAAATGTCAATCCTCAGAAAAACTAATTGATCTTTTTCCCAATTCAGCTGCAAACAGCAAGCAGAGGTGGGTGTTACCCCCAAGTGGGTCCCTGGGGTCGGGTCTGCCCTAAAGTGCTTCTTCGATGGCACTATGGATAGGAGGAGGGGAAGAGTCAGGGGTCCAAAGCAGGAAGTAAAAAAAGAATTCTTTTTCTGCATCCTGAACAAAATGGGTGTGGTGGAACGTTCAGACAAAGTTCAAAGCTATCACTTATTAACCAAGCAATGCCACATTTATGATAGCTGATAAAAATACCTGTTCAGTGGGGGGGGGGATGGCTTTGTTTTATACAATTATGAATATATAAGAATAAGAAAAAAAGTCCTGTTTTTTCTTATTCTTCATGTTTGGGGTGAGATGAGGTAATGAGCAAATGGTTGTTCTGTTAGGAGGAGAGAAGATGGAGGGGGAGAAGGAAGCTGAGCTCTCCCAGCAGAAGAAAAGAACAGTTGCTGGTTGTCATTACAGCAGTACAAAGTGCACACCCTTTGCCCCTCCCTAAAGAAAGGGCAAGGAGACAGGAGCAGGAACAGCTGGGAAGAAGGAAAGCGAACCCCAGAACTTCTCCTTGATTGACCACATCATCTCCCTGCCGACATGATAAACTAGTCTGGGGGTGAGTATCTGACAACCAAACCCCACTGCATGTTCCCAGGCTGCCCTTGACCCAAGCAGGACTATTTTCATTCAATTCCCAGTAATGTGTATAGAGGAGTCTTTTAACTCTTCCTCTTCCTCTTCCTTGCCTTCCCCCACCATTTGGCTGAAAGTCAAGCACCTATGGGAATGCTGTTAGCTCTGGGAGAGGAGCTCCCATGGGTGTCAGTGGAGGTGTTCGCTGGGCACCCAAAGGAGGACTTGGAGCAATGGCTTCTGTCCTTGTCTGTCACCTCGGTGCCATTCATGGGCCACTCTTGATGCAGCACCAGGAAAGTGGACCTTCACATGAACGTGAGATTATGTCCCACTCAATGACTGAGGGACCTCTCCATATTTCATGGAGCTCCATTATTCTTTCTGCTGAATAGTGAATACATGAAGCAGGGAAACATTTCTGAAAAGGTGACTTGTTTTGCTTTAATTTGACAATTTTAAGGAGGAAGGTTTGTGGGAATAATAAGTTCAATTCTTCAGTGGAGCACATTTTCATTTGACTGACTGCCTTGTTTTAATAGTTCTTTTAACTGCTCAACGTGTTTCATCATTTTTTATATATTTTACTTTGTAATGGCTTTGGCTACAGATGTTTTATTTATTTAACAAAATACTGCCTGATTGTAGAAGAACCTCAAAGCAGTTTATGAAAAAGATAAAAACAATTAAATTATCCCTTAAAAATTAAAACTATAATTTAAAACATTCAAAAAGTTAAAACTGCAGTAGGCTAGACTAAAACAAATGAAAAGCCATAGAAACTTTCTAATCATCTGGGTTGTCTTGTCTAAATAAGGCACTGAAAAGAAGACTCTGAAGGTGCCTGCTTGGGATCAATAGGAAGGTAGCTCCAATGTTTTCGTGCCACTACACTACATGATTGAGTTATGACAGATGTAGGGGAGGTGTTATGTGGCACCAGTAAAAGTGCCAATTCCTCCAATCGAAGCAGTCAAGTGGGCACATATGGGGTTAGGTGATCTTGTAGGTCAATGATGAATGAATGTGCAAACTAATTTTTCATTTGAGTTTTACAGTTTCAGGCAGTGGGACTGTTATACAAAAATTTGGGGTTGACTTTTAAAGCCCAGCTCTCTGTCAAGGGACCCAGGATCCCTTAAGTCCATTATCATCAGAGAAGAATGAGTGGAGGGAGGAACCAGTGGAGGAAAGCAAAGAAAATATTTGATGTCTGTTGCAACAGAGTCCTCCCTCTCCCACCCCCGCCCTGTAAGGAAGTGAGGGGACCCAGAACAAAACTTTTTAGAAAGTTTAGATTTTAGAAATTGTACAGCCCTTAACCAAGGACCACCGAAAGTCATCATACAGGTACAGCACCAAGCATTTTGTGTGTGTTTGATTGGCGTGTGAACGTGCATACACTGTTTGGGGCCCAGAATAGGGACAGACTTGCATGCACTCTGCCAACATGGGGAGTGACGTGGACAGGGAGTTGCCTGTACAAACTGTTGTGTATTGAGTCAAAGGATTTTATATCTGTATTATTATTGTCTGTATTTGCATTAGGGTAAAGTAACTGCCTTTTGGTTTCAGAGGGTACAGCTACTATTGGTTCATTTAAGCTGCTGTATTTGGATCCTCTGTCTTGGTTTCCTCCAAAAGGCAGGACTGTGATTGCCTGATATTGTTCCCTCCAAAATGTATCCTTTCTAGCTAGTCCCCTGTCCCTATAAATGTAGCTTTCCCCTCCTCAGTCTTCAGTCTTGTTTGCTTTAATAAAGAAGTGTTACTAGAGAACTGTCTCCAGCGTATTATGTCAAGAGAGCTGAAATCACAAACCCCACGTCACAACAACTGGCGACGAGGATGGGATCCGGAATGCTGAGGAGCGGTTGACCGCAGCCCTGCCTCAGAGTCCAGAGCTAAGAACAAGACTCACTGGCCAGCTGAGAAGTCGACCCTGCCACAGGACAATGGAGAGTTCAAGGGTATTGGAGCCCTTCCAGCCATCAGAGCCCCACACGTGGGAAGACTACGTCGAACGCTTCGAGTTCTTCGCAGTGGCTCAAGGGATCACCGATGCCAGCAAAAGAAGGGCCACATTCCTGAGCTACTGTGGGCCTGAGACCTTCAAGCTGGCCAAGGCATTGCTTGCTCCAGCGAAGCTAAGTGAGACATCTCTCAAAGATATTCTTGCCTGCCTAACAAGCCACTTGGCGCCTACTGAGACCAAGATGGCCCGGCGGATGGAGTTTCATAAGAGGCAGCAGTGTGCTGGGGAGTCTGTATCTGCATTTCTAGCTGAACTGCGGAAGCTCGCTCAGCACTGCGACTTCCAAAATCTGGAAGAGACTCTCCTGGATCGGTTTATCGGTGGTCTGAGCAGCAAGAAAGCCAGAAGACGCATCGTGGCTAAAGAAGAGGTTACCCTTGCTTCAGCCTTGAAGGAGGCCACCGCCACGGAGAATTATGAAAGAGAGGAGCTTGATGCCAGTCGCAAGGCCCCTAAGCCACAGATAGAAGTTGCGCATGCCATGGACGAGCTAGAGGCTACTCCGAGCCAGAGCCCAGTCCGTGGGGTCGAGTCAGTGTGTCAGGCCTGCACAGTGCACAAAGATCACCGAGGCAGGTGTCCAGGTTGTGGCGGAAACCATGAGCGGAAGAGTTGTCGTTTCCGGGATGCTATGTGCCGGACATGCGGGAAGACAGGTCACATCGCCAGGGTCTGTAGATCGGCGGCGTTGGGAGCGACAGGAGCACCTAGACTGGAGCATCGCAGACCGCCCACAGCAACCCATTTTCTAAAGGACTGCCACTACGTAACGGAGATCAACGGGAGGGTCGTGCAGTTCCCAGTGCAAGGCAAGGCACACGTCAAGGTGAAGATTGAGGGTCAGCAGTGCGACATGGAGGTGGACTCCGGATCTGGATTCACTATCGTGTCGGACCAGACCGCGAGGACATTCTTCCCCAGGGGTAAGTTGCCCCCCTCTGGAACCCTTCCCGGCAACCTTGCAGTCATACTCAGCGGGCCGCATCCATGTTATGGGAATGTGTGCCGTGAGAGTACAGTTCCGGGACAAACAGGCTGTACTCAAACTGGTGATTGCGAAGGGCAGTCGCCCCAGTCTCCTGGGCACTGACTGGTTCCCCGCCCTGGGACTGAGTATATCAGGGCTTAATTCAATCCAAACCTGCCCTGAGATGAGCGAGGCATTATGCAAAGAATTTGCTGGTCTCTTTAATGGAAAACTGGGTTGTTATAAAGGGCCCCCAGTTGACTTTGAGTTGGACCCTGGGGTGGCCCCAATCCGACTCAAACCAAGGCGAGTGCCATTTGCACTGCAACCCAAGATCGAAGCAGAGCTGGATAAATTGGTCAAGCAGGGAGTTCTCTCACCCGTGGACTCTGCTAAGTGGGAGACTCCAATCGTCACGCCCCTTAAAACAAATGGGGAAGTCAGGATCTGTGCAGATTACAAATGTACTATCCATAAGGCACTCAGGGGAAACTCATACCCCATTCCAGTCGTATCACATCTGTTGGCTAAACTGGCTGGGGGCAAGGTGTTCACCAAAATTGACCTGGCACAAGCTTACCAACAGCTGCCAGTAACCCCACAATCAGCGGAAGCACAGACTATTGTCACACATAAAGGGGCTTTCAGAGTTAACAGATTACAATTTGGAGTTTGTGTGGCCCCAGGGATTTTTCAAGGGCTCATGGAACGCCTGTTAAGAGGTCTGCCGGGGGTCTTTCCATTTTTTGATGACGTTTTGATTGCTGGAAAAGACCCACAGGAACTGGTTGCGCGTGTCCGTGCAGTGTTGCTCAAGTTCAAGGAGGTGGGGTTGCAAATGAAAAAGGAAAAATGCAGTTTTGGGGTGCCAGCTGTGGATTTCTTGGGGTTTAAAATTGATGCATCAGGCATCCACCCCACAGATGCTAAGATTAAGGCCATCATCAAGGCACCACGACCACAGAACAAGACGGAGTTGCAGTCATTCCTGGGACTTATTAACTTTTATCATTCGTTCTTACCCCAGAAAGCTTCGGTAGCTGAACCATTACATAGACTGTTGCAGAAAAAGAATGTGTGGCGATGGGGGCAGGAGCAGCAGAAGGCTTTTGACTCCTTGCGAGGAATGCTGAGTAGCAGGAGCGTCCTTGCTCATTATGATGAGTCAAAGCCGCTGGTCCTGGCATGTGATGCCTCTCAATACGGCCTGGGGGCGGTGCTGAGTCATAGGGAACCGGATGGGTCGGAAAAGCCCATCTCTTTCTATTCCCGTACGTTGTCGCCCACGGAGTGCAACTATGCTCAAATTGACAAAGAGGAACTTGCAATTGTGGCAGGAATCAAAAAGTTCCATGATTATGTGTACGGTCGCCATTTCTCCATTGAAACGGACCACAAACCACTGTTAGGGTTGTTCAACCCGAACAAACAAACGCCACAAATTCTCTCCCCCAGAATGTTGCATTGGTCTATATTCCTGAACGGGTTCCAGTACACCTTGACCCATGTGCCGGGGAAACGGTTGTGCCACGCTGATGCGCTGAGTTGATTGCCCCTTCCTGGCGGGAGCAATGAGGATCCCGCTCCAGCGGAGCACATAATGATGCTGGAAACACTTCCTTTTTTTTTTTTTTTAAATAATATTTATTAAGATTTTCAAAAAAAAAATACAGAAAGCAAGAATTAAAATACGTTCATAGCCTTATTTTCATATATCCACTTTCTGGGACTCCCCCCTTCCCCCACCCCTACCATATTCCTTTTTCATATTGTTGGCTCCACAAGCTCTCAGTTCTGATTAAAAACTTAATTTGTTTAAACCATTATTCGAATTTAAAGTTTCTACACTCCACATCAATACCCTTAATGAAACACAAAAAATTTCTTTCCCAGGGCCCACCCCATTTTCATTCCACAATTTCCCTTTTTTTTAATAATAAAGACACCCCACATAGTAGAAGTATCAGAAATAAGAAATAAAGAGTATAATAGATGAGACAAAACCAGTTCAAAAAAAAGAAGTTAACAAGCCTTTGGATTTTAGTTCTCCCCCCCTGTCCCCGGTTTAATTTCCCCCTGACCACCAAACCATGTTATCCGCCTGGAATTCTTACAATCCATAAATCACCTATTTCCCCCAACTCCTTGCTGTTTTTTTTTTTTTTTTTTTTTTCCCTTTCATAATTATTTTTAGAACACTTAACTTCAGATCGTTAATAAAGCTCCCCCCATTGTTCTTTCCAAATTATAGTCCAGTTTCCTCTTGTTCCGCTGCTGAAACGTTCTAATTCAGAAGCTTAGTAAGTCTGCAGGGGTTATTGTTATTCAGGAACAAAAACTTGCGTTCAGTCCCTTCCTTTCTTCAATAGAAAATTCTATTGTCTCCTTTAGCTGAACACCCTGTAGACAAAATATTATTTCCGTTTTGCAGCTTTCCCAGAAGATAACCAGTCCTGTAAAATTCCAATGGTGTTTTTCCACTTACGACCATCTTTGTAATGTCCCGAAACTCCTCTAGGGGGATTGTTGTAACTTTGTCTTCTCTAGTCCAAAAGTCCGATTGTTATCCATGTTTTCGCCATTTTGTATCCAAGTTTTAACAAGTTGTAGCAAATTGAAACAAATTTAGCCAGCAAAGTTCTCATAATAAAATCCTCTCTGCTTTCCGACTTTGACAGCTACTTTGACAGCTGTCAAAATCTCCGACTCTTTTCACCAGGCTCTCTCTTCAATCACCCCGGTTCCCAGGGGGGGGGGGGTTGCGTTTCTTCTCCCTCAATTCGTCCTCCAGCACAGTTCTTATGATTCCCCATCGTGGAATTCTTAATTTTTATCAGCAATACAAATCTTTTTGGACCTTGGTTTCCCCGTCCTTGTCTTGAAAGGTTTACAATAGGGGGGGGGGCTGACTTCCTTTTTAGATCCCCCCCCGCTCGTATCCAATTCAAAAAGAAATTCTTTTTTTCCTCCTTTTAAACCCAGTTTCCAAATTACTCACGGGTTGTTGTCTAAAAGTCCGAATTTTCAATAGAAGAAGTCAGCGCTCTCCGCTGGATGGCATGCGGCTGCGCTCGGCAGGGATAGCAGAGGACTCAAAGCACCACGCTTCTCCCCGGCACCCGATCCGTAGCCTTTAAAAAGGCTCCTTCACGAGTCGGGAGGGCGCTAGCGGTGCCAGCCGAGTCTCCATGTCCACGACCCTCGTGGCCGTGGTTTTTAAGGGTCCCCGCATCGCCGGTGCGGTAGGACCCAGCCCCTGCCGAGCAGGCTCCCTCCGGAGCTCGGAGGGAGTCCGCCATTCGGCGATGGCGCCAACCCGGAAGTCGATGCTGGAAACACTTCCGGGGGCCCCTGTAACGGCTACTGATATAGCTGAGAAAACGAGGAAAGATGCTGTTCTCTCCCGTGTGATCCTCTGTCTTATTGGTTTCCTCCAAAAGGCAGGACTGTGATTGCCTGATATTGTTCCCTCCAAAATGTATCCTTTCTAGCTAGTCCCCTGTCCCTATAAATGTAGCTTTCCCCTCCTCAGTCTTCAGTCTTGTTTGCTTTAATAAAGAAGTGTTACTAGAGAACTGTCTCCAGCATATTATGTCAAGAGAGCTGAAATCACAAACCCCACGTCACAACACAAACAACACATAAAAGGGTTGCACTTGTAAATCAGACCATGCTCAGAATATTCTTTTTGTCCAGCATGTTTATAAATCTGTCACTCAGAAATCTGAACAATACATGCTAATTGTTTTTCCGGGGCTTGCCAGAGCATACTTTGGAAATGGTGAATACCTTGGTGTCAGAGTTTATTGACATAGACTGGCCCCTTTTCAAATACAGTGATTTGAAAGTATAAAGGTATTATGTACTGAGTTATGGAAGAATGATTTTACCAAGAAGTTCCTTCTACCTACATGGAGGGGTCCCACAGTTCAGCTGGAGGCTAAAGATGGCCTCACTCTTGCTTTGTGAATTGTCTTAATTTTATACACTCAAATACAAGTTCTAGTTTTTATGGGAGTATTTCCTAATTTTTTGAAGGCTGAAGGATTGGTTTTCTGTGGTGAGTATGTGCCTACTATGTGTGAGCACCTTAATGTGTGAGGACCTATTATGGAAGATACGTTTCATAAGAAAGTGAAATGCAGAGTTAGTTTTACTGGAAGGGTGTGGAAATGCTCAATACTGAATAGTTTCTACCTTACAGGCATTTCCCTGCCTCTCATCTCAACAAAGCTACAAACTCTTCCTCTATCATGGGCTCATCCTCATCCACTGATATCAGAGAAGAAGCCACATGCCCCATCTGCAAGGAATATTTGACAGACCCTGTGACGGTGGACTGTGGTCACAACTTCTGCCGGGACTGCATTGTAAAGTATTGTGACACATGGGAACCAATGCAGGTGGGGGACTTGGAGTGTCCTGTCTGCAAAGCCCGGATGCAGAGAGGGAGTTTCCGCCCCAATTGGCAGTTGGGAAATATAGTAGAAAAAATAAAAATCACGGCACCAAATAAAGGGGAAAATGATCTGTGTAAGAGACACAAGGAAAAACTCCACTTGTTCTGCAAAGATGAAGAATTGGTGTGTTTCGTTTGTGAGCGATCCCCAGAACATAAATCACACACTGTGGTTCTCAAGGATGAGGTTGCCCAGGAATACAAGGTAGGAAGTCATTTTGACACTTGCTAATGAGGCATCTGATCAAGGCCTGTATTTTAAAATGAGCTTAAAGATTTGCAAATGTTTCATGCCAGGCAGAAAACCAGCTGGCTAAGGACTTTGGCAGATGTTTTCCTCCTGGACAAGGGCCCCCCTGATTTATAGCAGGAGCCAAAATTCTAAAAGTTGTAAAAGGGAATTATAGGCTGGGAGCAAAGGTTACACTGACCCTACATATTACAGAATAAAATCAAGCTGCAAAAACACTAATTAAGAGTTAGTAAATAGTAGGATTTATTGTTTAACAGAAAATAATACCATGTGCCTCCCATTAGAGACTAGCCACATTTTCCTAAGGTTAAAGGGCAAGAGCTAATGGGAAAAGCAGCTGGCCGGGAAAGGGGGGTGTAAACTGAAGAGTTTTACTTTGCAAAGGCCTTTTCTTCTAAAAAGCTATCTAAGTTAATGTATGAGATTTGTTGGCTTAAATGTAATTATGCAAAGGATTTAGAAAGTAAGAAATGTTAGATTCTTATGTTAGATTATTATTTCATTGATGGTGTGTGAGAATGTGAACCCAAGATCTCTGTTTAAGACAAAATGTAAGACCATGAGCCATCTGTTTTAGCCATCTATTTTGGAATGGAGGGGCAACAAGGGCAAAAGGTGATCTGGTAATTAAGGTGCCTTGTCGAGGCAAATGTAAGATATATGGCTGCTTGTCTGCCATTTATGGATAGAAGGAAATATAGCTCTTTGTCTCCCATAAAAGGTAATAGGAAATGGGTGTATCTTTTATGATTGGTTCTAGCAAACAGCCAATAGGAATTTCAACCAGGCTGATTGGACAGAGGCAGCCAAAGGAGGAGCAAGGGGGCTGGGCTGAGGAAATATAAGTGCTGACCATCAGGGCTGGAGTGGGCAGAGCTTTGGTAACCATATACCACTGTGCCTATCATTTATTTGTCTGACAAATAAATTATTATTTTAATTTCTCTATTGCTGCGTTGAATATTTCATTCCAGCTAAGCGTTAACCACAAGCAGGGTGCTACACTAACACAACACTTTCATATCTTTCTGTGTGTCTGTGTGCAGAATATGCTGTCAATGTGGCTATGAAGCAAACATAATAAATTGCTAATCTGCACCTTAATGTAATCAAAAATTGGGCCTAGTCTCTGTGCTTTTCAAAAACAAACATTTTGTTCTGCTTCAAAGTCAACTTTTTAAAATGTGATTTTGTTTTTTGAAGCACCATTTTTTCTGCACTTGTGCCAAAGGGTTCCTGTGTAATGTAGTAATAATAATGTTATGTAATAAGCGTAATAGAATGAAAGTTCTCAAGCAACTCTTGAATTTTAAACGTACAGCAAAAAAAAATCCTAGAAGCTCCCAGAACATTTATCAGGGGGATATTTTTCTGCACTTGTGCCAAAGGGCTCCGGTGTAATGTAGTAGTAATAATAATAATAATCATGCTGGTTAATAGGAGTAATAGAATGAAAGTTCTCAAATGAGCCTTGAATTTTAAACGTACAGCAAAAAACAAACAAACAGAAAAAACCCTAGAAGCTCCCAGAGCAATAATCAGATAAAAATCTAATAGTAGGGGACCACACAATAAAAATATATGTAGAATACTGAAGGTCCCCACTCCCAGTCCTAATCCAATCTGATATTTGGTTTTCTCTTTAGACACTCATCTGTGATCGCCTGGAGCATTTGAAGAGAGAGAGAGAGAAAATTCTGGCTTATGAAGCAGAAGTAGGAGAAGAAAGCAACAGCCTGCTTGTAAGTGTCACAATTACTACTAAGAGATCCAAGTATACTTGAAGGACCAAGGATGGATCTATACTGATATGGAAAACACTATAAAAAACACTATTTTACAAATTAGTTCTCAGTGCAATTTCTCATTGGGACAGATCACAACTCTATAGGGGCCCCCTGGTGTAACATGTTTGTAATGCATATATAACCTTATTAGTCCAGTGTAGTTGAGTCCCAAGTCATGATGTAGCCCCATTCCTGAGTGATTTACCATAACATTGTTAATGAATGTCTTTCTAAAGACTCTGGCCTCTTCTTTTCCTTCTTCTTCCTGCTTCTTGCAGAAATCAACAGAAACTGAGAGGCAAAAGACCATGCAGAAGTTCAGACAACTGCACCTGTTTCTGGAAGAACAAGAAAAGCGTCTGCTGAATGAGATAGAAGAGATGGAGAAGGAGATCACAAGAAGAAGGGAGGAGCACCTGGCTAGACTCTCAGAGGAACTCTCCTCTCTTGAAAGGAGCATCCGGGAGATGGAGGAGAAGAGTCAGCAGCCAGCAAGTCAACTCCTGCAGGTGAGACTGTGGCAGGAATAGCCCAAAGTTCCTCTCTCAGGGTTTAACCACACCTACCTTTTGCTGCACTCTTTCCAGGCACAGGGCAGTGCTTTCCCAGTCCCTACCAAAGCTTTCTTCCCCTCAGGCACATGATTTTGAGGGGGTGTGAGCCAGGCGCCCCCTTGCAGGGATCCCACCCTGCCTGGTGCCAGGGGTCTTGTCACCACACCCCTGGCCCCCTCGCGGAATGGCAGTGTTGGGGGGAAGCACTAGCCAAGGGCTGCATCTGTTAAAATCATCTTGGTTAGATTATCCTTGGAATACCTTCCAACAGTACAAATCTATCAAAAGCAAAGATCAGTGCAATAAGAATGACAATACTGCCAAGTTTTTTAGTTTTGTTTCTTACTCTTCCTCTCTCAGTTGACTTGAGGGAATTGAAAAGCTGACAGAACAGTATAGATAATTTTATTTGGCAATGTAAGTGTCCCAGAGTTGATAATGTTAATATGCAAACTGTCCCACAGAAGAGAGGATTGGCAGTACCTGATTTAACTAAGTAGTGTGAAGCTGCTTAGCTAACTTTGTTAAAGTTCAGGATATCTCAGAAAAAGCAACTCTTTCAGTTGGAACAGTTATCCACAAATCCCCCACTGGCCAAGATACATGGGATACCTAGGAACATTTAAAATAAAAAAGAACTGAATTTAAGATTGGAAAATAATGGAGAGAAACCAGAATTGTTAGATGCATCCATACCTATCCAGTGAATTCCATTCTGAGTTTCCTCTTTTCCCTTCTAGGATATTAGAAGAACTTTGCAGAGGTAAGGGGATCCTGCTCACCTCCATTAATATCACTCCCTGAAACTTCACAGGTAAACCGAGGACCCCTCCTTGAGCTTCTGGCGCCCCACTTCCTCCTCCACAGATCAGGGCCAAAGAACTGAAGGAGGGATCGAACAAGATATATTCTAAACCCCAAATTGTGTAGAAAAGTAATTAATTAAGTTTGTTTGTTTGCAAATGTATTCCCAAAGCCAAGCCTGTTGCAAATGTAATTGCTAATTGCCTCTTGGAGATGTTATATAAATGGTGCTTTAACACGGGGCCTACTCTGTATTTAAAGTGCCTTTTGGGGGAAAAGTTGCACTTAATTTTGTTTTGCTGGACTTTAGTCTAACAAACTCTGAGGTTTTTTCTAAAATCAAGCAGTATATATATTTTATGAAGTAAGCAAGCAACAGTATATATATTTTATGAAGTAAGCAAGCAACAGCATTGGAGGGGCAGGCACAGCCAATCCATATCCCTCCACCAACTAATTTTTTCTAAAACCAAGGCCTAACCGCAACCTTACAAGTTGTGATGATTTGCTACACAGTAGGCAAAAACCAAATGGCATCAGCCAAATGGACAAAATTCCTACCAGATCCCTTCCCCAAAAGCAGATGACACCATGACAGACATAGCAAGGTCAAACGCAACAAACGCCCCAAAATTAGGGAGGGTGGGCGGGTGATCCGATGTGCACAGCAAAAAGAAAAAGCTCGACGCTATGCGCAGGGAATATATTCAACCCAGGCTGTCAATCAAATTTGGCAACATCAAACTCTCCCTAGCAACCCGAGGAATCCAATCACACTTTGGGCCAACCAAACCAACTTGCCCAGCAACAGGGGGTGTCTGGTTCACCCCACTGCAACCCGTGCTCTCCATGAAGGAGAACACGCTTTGCCAGATTTTGAGTTACCAGTTGGGAAATAATCTACAGTGGTACCTTGGTTTACAAACTTAATCCTTTCCGGAAGTCCATTCTTAAACCAAAGCGTTCTTAAACCAAGGTGTGCTTTTCCATAGCAGCGGGGGACTCGATTTACAAATGGAACACACTCAACAGGAAGCAGAACATGTTCTGCTTCCAAGGCAAAGTTTACAAACCAAAACACCTAATTCTGGGTTTGCAGTGTTCTTCATCCAAGTTGTTCATAAACTAAGCTGTTCTTAAACCAAGGTACCACTGTATTAATTTTAGGGGTATTAATTATATTGACATCCCAGGTGAAATTAAGGATACTTTATGGCAGTACTGCGCCTTTTACCACAGATGATTGCCAAACTAATTAGTGTTATTTCCCGTCATGTTTTGTTTTACTTATATAATATTTATAATGTTGTTCTTTAAGGGCCTGGATTGGCTTTTGACAAAAATAAAAATATGTTTCTTCTGTATATTCATGAAAGATCTGGCTTAACCTATGAGGACTCGGGCGCAACAGCCGAGGATATCTAAGTTGTCAGCAATATCCTACCAACCTCAAGACAAAAATACTTGGAGTTTAGAAAGGTATATTCTGGGTGTGTTTTTTTAGCATGTAGTAAAACCCTTTTAGGGACACGGGTGGCGCTGTGGGTTAAACCACAGAGCCTAGGACTTGCCGATCAGAAGGTCGGCGGTTCGAATCCCCGTGACGGGGTGAGCTCCCATTGCCCGGTCCCTGCTCCTGCCAACCTAGCAGTTCGAAAGCACATCAAAGTGCAAGTAGATAAATAGGTACCGCTCCGACGGGAAGGTAAACGGCGTTTCCGTGTGCTGCTCTGGTTCGCCAGAAGCGGCTTAGTCATGCTGGCCAGATGACTCAGAAGCTGTACGCCGGTTCCCTTGGCCAATAAAGAGTCACACACAGTTACCTCTCACCTCTGGGGCTACAAAAAAGAGAGCAGGAGTTGGGCTGTTTACCATGTTTACCATGTTCCTGAACATATCTCAGCTGCAATATGTAACTTCAAGGTGTCACTTGGGTTCATGATAAGAGGATAGAAGGAACATTTTACTTTTGTCAGCAGCAGCAATCATCTTTTTCTCCTCCACATTTTTCTTGCATGTTGTAGGTAATGCAGCCAAAATTGAAAAGCTCTGAGCAGGGTGGTCTCACTTGATTCTACTTCTCCATTTGAGTAGATGTTAAGTGAGGAGACTCAGAGACCTGAGGCTGCTCCTTTTTTTTTTTTTTTTTAAATGATATTTATTAAGATTTTCAAAAGTACAGAAAGTAAAGATTAAAGTACATTCAAAGCCTTATTTTCATACATCCACTTTCCGGGACTCCCCCCTTCCCCCACCCCTACCATATTCCCCTTTCATATTGTTGGCTCCACAAGCTCTCAGTTCTAATTGAAACTTAATTTGTTTAGACCATTATTCGAATTTAAAATTTATACACTCCTCATCAATACCCTTAATAAAAAACAAAAGTTCTCTCCCCAGGGCCCACCCCATTTTCATTCCACAATTTCCCTTTTTTTAATGATAAGGACACCCCACACAATAGAAATATAAGAAATAAGAAATAAAAAGTATAATAGATGAAAAAGAGCCAATTCAGAAAAAAAAATTGACAAGCCTTTGGATTTTAGTTCTCCCCCCCCGTCCCCGGTTTAATTTCCCCCTGACCACCAAACCATGTTATCTGCCTGGAATTCTTAAAGTCCATAAATCACCTATTTCCCCCAACTCCTTGCTGGCTTTTTCTTTTTATAGTTATTTTTTAAGACATTTAACTTCAAATCTTTAATAAAACTCCCCCCATTGTTCTTTCCAAGTTGTAGTCCAATTTCCTCTTGTTCCGCTGCTGAAACGTTCTAATTCAGAAGTTTAGTAACTCTGCAGGGATTATTGTTATTCAGGAACAAAAACTTGCGTTCAGTCCCTTCCTTTCTTCAATAGAAAATTCTATTGTCTCCTTTAGCTGAACACCCTGTAGACAAAATATTGTTTCCGTTTTGCAGCTTTCCCAGAAGATAACCAGTCCTGTAAAATTCCAATGGTATTTTTCCACTTACGACCATCTTTGTAATGTCCCGAAACTCCTCTAGGGGGATTGTTGTAACTTTGTTTTCTCTAGTCCAAAAGTCCGATTGTTATCCATGTTTTCGCCATTTTGTATCCAAGTTTTAACGGGTTATAGCAAAATGTAACAAATTTAACCAGCAAAGTTCTCATAATAAAATCCTCTCTGCTTTCCGACTTTGACAGCTACTTTGACAGCTGTCAAAATCTCCGACTCTTTTCACCAGGCTCTCTCTTCAATCACCCCGGTTCCCGGGGGGGGGGGGTTACGTTTCCCTTCTCCCTCAATTCTTCCTCCAGCACAGTTCTTGTAGTTCCCCATCGTGGAATTCTTAGTTTTTATCAGCAATACAAATCTTTTTGGACCTTGGTTTCCCCATCCTTGTTTTGGAAGGTTTACAGTAGGGAGGGGGACTGACTTCCTTTTTGGATCCCCCCCCGCTCGTATCCAATCCGAAAAAAAATTCTTTTTTTTCTCCTTTTGAACCCGGTTTCCAAATTACTCACGGGTTGTTGTTAAGAAGTCCGAATTTTCAATGGAAGAAGTCAGCGCTCTCCGCCGGATGGCATGCGGCTTCGCTCGGCAGGGATAGCAGAGGACTCAAAGCACCACGCTTCTCCCCGGCACCCGATCCGTAGCCTTTAAAAAGGCTCCTTCACGAGTCGGGAGGGCGCTAGCGGTGCCAGCCGAGTCTCCATGTCCACGGCCTCCGTGGCCGTGGTTTTTAAGGGTCCCCGCATCGCCGGTGCGGTAGGACCCAGCCCCTGCCGAGCAGGCTCCCTCCGGAGCTCGGAGGGAGTCCGCCATTCGGCGATGGCGCCAACCCAGAAGTCTGAGGCTGCTCCTTTGGCTGTTCAGGTGTCTGGCTTTGGAGTCCATAGCAAGGAGGAATCTTCTCCCCTCGTTGCCCACCTCTCCTTCTTGGCTTTCTGCAGTTTCCTTCCTCCTTTCAATTCCTTTCTTTTGCTGCACTCAGAAATTCTGGATTTGAATGGGTTAGCCTTTATTTTCCCCATCAGGTATGAGCAAAAGGGGACATCTGAAAATCCACCGACTTTTCCAACAGAATTGAAGAGGAAGATCTCAAAATTTTGGATTGCAAATCCCATTCTATATGTTGAGATGGAGGAAATAAAAGGTAATGAAGAATGGCTGCAAGGATTTTACACTGGACATTATATTAGTCCAAAATATGTTATGAAGTAAAAATTTTGTTGTGGAATTATTTGAGGTTTAAAAGTCTAGCTCTCAAACTTTATATCTCTTTGCTTCCTCAGATGCTCTGTTATTCGGACTGCATCAGAAAGGTAAATTTTGGGTGAAGGACCAAATTCAAGGTGGGGTTGGGGACTGGTATTTCAGTGGGACTCAGTAGTCTGTCCTGTCCTTGATGTTATTCTAAGAGAGGGGAAAGAAGTATTGCGTTTCCTGCTTCCTCTGACATGCACATCTTCATCCACCCTTGTGGATGAGAGGTTCTAGAATCAATCTAGCTTGACATCAGCATGTTGCAAACTGGCATTTACTTTTCTGGATTAAGAAAAAATACATTTTTGTGCTCCTAGAGGGTTAGTGTGTTTGCAGCCTCAGTCTTCTCCTTCGTCTTTTGCTTTTGCTGGATTCTTTGATCTTGTCCAAATTAAACATGATTTGACTGTTAATTGGCACTTTTGTTTCATTCTAATTAGACAAGTGGTCCACATACACACATACAGTGGTACCTTAGTTTAAAAACAGCTTAGTTTATGAACAACTTGGATTACGAATGCTCAAACCCAGAAGTAGGTGTTTTGGTTTGTGAACTTTGCATTGGAAGCAGAACATGGGAAGCAGAACTATGGGAAAACACATCTTGGTTTAAGAACGCTTTGGTTTAAGAACGGACATCTGGAACGGATTAAGTTTGTAAACCAAGGTACCTGTACCATATTTACTCAAATGTAATGCGCACCGTTCTGGTCAAATTACGTCACAAAGATTAGGGTGCACATTATATTTGATGGCACATTTACATTTACCCAAAAACACTTTTTTTGGTTTACCTATGAGGAGCAACTTCAGTCTTCTCCATTCACTCAGTAGGTGTTCCCTGTTGCATTTGTCCTCGTCTTCTAAATTTGTTGATTTTAATCATGCGGATTATTTACCAACAGTTTATTTGCACACAGAGATGCCGGCTTCTACTTTTCAACTTGGGCCTAATCCTGTGTTCATCAGGGACCCTCAATATCGCCATAGATTCTGGAACTCACTAGGCATGGGTCCCTGACAGATTTTTAAATAAACATTTTTTAAAAATTAGTAATTAACAATTTCTTTTCAATTGTTCCACTGCAATACACCATATATAAGCATCAAGAAATGTAAAATAAAAACAACCTATTAACAAACAATGAATTAACAGAGTTCAAATCTTGTTTAGATTACTGTGATTAAAGGCTTTTGTTGGCCGTGGCTGGTTCAGAAAGCTTTGTCAGCTGTGGCAGCATTGGCATGAAGGTTGTGGCTTTGATGGCAATATGGTTCAACAATTATTAGGGTTTGGGGGGGGATCTCCTTAAAAAAGCTTTGTGGCTAAACTATATTTTGACCGTATTTTTACTATTTTAAATATGGCAACCCTAGCCAGTAGGCTCCCACTACAGCCAACATGTCCTTGATGTACTAAAACTGCCCAGTTCAGTTTCTGCACAGCTTGTTTCGAGATGCTTAAATATAAAAATACAGGTGTGTTTTCAGGACATTAAAGAGCTTTAAGATCACTGCTGCCAAAGTCAAAATCTTATAAATTTTGGTCAAATAGCCTATAGAGCAACAAACGTTTGCGTGGTGGTATTGTGGTGATAAGACAACAATGTCAGAGGCTCACAAGGGAAGGAAATCTGTTTTGCGAGGGGCAGGGATCTCCTTAAAAAAACTCAGCAACTTTCTAGGTAAAGGTAAATAAAGGTTGCCTAATTTGATTCCCTCCCCGGATTTCAGTGTAAGACTCAGTCCTGAATGCAAAGCAATGAAGCCCCTTTTATCTAAGAGGGACTCTGGTTCCTGGAGTGTTTCTTGGATCAGGATGCCCCTTTCTATCTCTTGGCTGATTCTGCCTCTCTTTTCTTCATTTCTCTCCCAACAACAAATGTCACTCTGTTACTTGACACGTGACTGTTACTTGGCAGTTTTGCTCCATTCCAAATAGACAAGTACAGTGGTACCTCAGGTTTAGTACTTAATTCGTTCTGGACGTCTGTTCTTAACCTGAAACTGTTCTTAACCTGAAGCACCACTTTAGCTAATGGGGCCTCCCGCTGCTGCCGCGCCGCCGGAGCACAATTTCTGTTCTCATCCTGAAGCAAAGTTCTTAACCCAAGGTACCATTTCTGGGTTAGTGGAGTCTGTAACCTGAAGCATATGTAACCTGAAGCATATGTAACCCAAGGTACCACTGTAGTTCACACACACAAATATCTGAATTAATCTATCAAGAACAACTTCAGTCTTATTGCATTTCCCCCATCTTCTGATTTGCTGGTTCTAATCATAATGGTGATCCATGCGACGGTCACCTCCAGACTTGATTATTGTTAAATAGTGGGTAGACATAGCAGATGACACAGCAATTTCTCCAAAGCAGCTCTTTATTTGTAAGCTGGAACAGAACTGAACAGCAAACAGCTCAGCCAGCCTGCTTTTACAGTGGTACCTCGGGTTACATATGCTTCAGGTTACATATGCTTCAGGTTACAGACTCTGCTGACCCAGAAATAGTGCTTCAGGTTAAGATCTTTGCTTCAGGATAAGAACAGAAATCGGGCTCCGGCGGTGCAGTGGCAGCAGGTGGCCCCATTAGCTGAAGTGATGCTTCAGGTTAAGAACAGTTTCAGGTTAAGAACGGACCTCTGGAACGAATTAAGTTCTTAACCTGAGGTACCACTGTATAGACAGCCGGCTGTCAACATTGTAGCAACAACAACCCAGGGTTTCCTGCCTAAAGTAACTGACGTGGACCTGAGTGAAAACTATATACACGATATTTCTGGTGGCCAGGGTGAGAACTTCAATACATAACAATTATTGTAACTCACTCTATGTGGGGCTGCCCTTGAGACTGACCCAGAAACTCCAGTGGGTTCAGAATGCCACGGTGAGACTCCTTACGGGGTTCTCGCTGCAGGATCACATTCACCAGCTGCTATACCAGCTGCACTGGCTCCCAGTGGAGTACAGGATCAGGTTTAAGGTGCTGGTTTTAACCTTTAAGGCCCTATACTGCCTAGGACCCTCGTACCTACAGGAACGCCTCTCCTGGTATGTCCCAAGGAGGACCTTATGGTCTTCAAATAAAAACATCTTGGAGATCCTGGGCCTCAGGGAGGTTAGGCTGGCCTCGACCAGAGCCAGGGCTTTTTTGGCCGTGGCCCCAATCTGGTGGAATGCTCTGTCACAAGAGACCAGGGCCCTGCGGGACTTGACATCTTTCCACAGGGCCTGCAAGACAGAGCTGTTCCACCAGGCCTTTGGCCAAGGCACAGCCTGACCCCCTCCTTCGGTAATCCACATAGAACTCTAGCCCAATGGTTGCTATTAAATTGATTTTGAATTGATTTTAGAATGCATTTCAATTAATTGATTGTAATTTTATGTAAACTGTTTTACTTTAATTGTTGTTAGCTGCTCTGAGCCTGGCTTCGGCTGTGGAAGGCGGTATATAAATAAATTTATTATTATTATTAATAATAATAATAATAATAATAATAATAACCAGCAGGGCATGTGCACACAGAGCTGACTGCTTCCACTTGTTTTCCCAACCCAGATAGTGTGTCAAGAAACACAGACAGGCAACTGTCCATTCTCAGCACACACTTTTTAATGTGGTTTCCATGTGAAGTATTCTGGTTTGGGTCCCAACCAGGGAAGAATGGATAATTAAGATCACGTACTATGCTGAAATGGCAAGACTGAACGGGAGAATCAGAAACCAAGAAGATGAGAAATTCAATAAAGAATGCTGAAAGTTTATAGACTATCTCAAAGAGCACTGTAAACATTTAAAAACATTGACAGGACTGATATAACATTTGTATGAATTTGATGGTTAAAATGGGATATAAACAAAATTTAGATAAATATAATAAATCAAGAGCAGCACTGAGTGCAGTGGTCTGGAGCTCAGTTATCCCCACATTATTGCATTCTCTTCATATCGGGTGAATCCAAACCTACAGTGGGGAAACACTGAGACTGGATTATACAAATTAATTGGGAATGCAAACTGCTGCAAATACAAAGTGCTTTGTGGATAAAACCTTTGTTCCTACGCACAGGTGGGGTCCTGAAGCTTCAGAGCAGTTGAAGATTTGAGGCAGGAACAGGCAGCCTACAGTGTTTTGAGGGTGTTTATGGAGGCTGGGGAAAACACATGAAAAAGGACTCTCTAGTTCAATCTCCATCACTCGGAGCAAGGGAAAGCTCTTCTCCTCTTGCCCCATCCATCCCTCCTCTCCTTCACTGGATAGAAGAGCTGAGGGAATATTTTCTGGGTTGTTTTGCTTCTTGGGTGACTGGATTGACAGGAGGGACACAATAAAAGGTGCAAAAACAATATTTAAAAAGCCACAGGGAAAGTATTTATTCTGAGGTTAGTCTGGGAGAAAGAGGGGAGGGTCCCAATCCTGAATGAAAAGTGAGGAAGCCCCATTTATCTGAGCGGAAATTTGGTTCTTCTGGGTGTTTCTTGGATCAGGATGTCTGTCTCTGCCTCTCGGCTGATTCTGTCTCTCTTCACTTTTCCCATCTTCTCCCCAACAGGAAATGTCACTCTGGATCCAGACACAGCCCACCCGATTCTCAGCCTGTCTGAGGATCGGAAAAGTGTGAGATTGGAAGACAAGCCTCAAGCCCTGCCCAACAACCCTGAGAGGTTCAGTGACCGGCCTTGTGTGTTGGGACGTGAGGGATTCACAGCAGGCAGACATTTCTGGGAAGTCACTGTGGGAAGTGAGCAATATTGGGTTTTGGGGGTCGCCAGAAGGTCTGTGAGGAGAAGGAGCTTAGATTCTATGAGAGGCCACTTAGATCCCTTTCATATCTCATCAGCTTTGAAATTAAAATATGACATAAGCCCTGAGGGAGGGATCTGGGCTGTGGGGAAGTGGGAATGCAAGTACTGGGCCTGCACCTCCCCGGATTACTTTCTTCTGCCCCTGAGTGAGGAGCCCAAAAGGATTCAAGTGTCTCTGGACTATGAAGTGGGACGTGTGTCTTTTTCTGATGCTGACTCAGGAGTTGAACTCTACACATTCTCAGGAACCTCGTTCTCTGGGGAGACCCTCCTCCCTTACTTTTTTCTGTGGGGATCTGAAACCCACCTCAGGATCTCTAGTTAAGAGCAAAATTGACATCTTTGCAGGTGCCCTGTGAGAGGAGTCATTCCAGTCACACTCGGAGGAAACTACAAAACAAAATCTGGGATTTTCTTTTCCCTTCCCTTTCCCATAATTTCCTCTGCAGTGGAGTCCTTAAAGAGAGGGAAACACTTTAACCATCTCTATAAACAACCTATTCCTCAAAAGGATTCACCCGCCACCCCCTGCAATCCTGGTTCTGTTGTTCACCTTCCTCTCATGACCAGACCTCCAATGGTTGTTAAAATGCCCACATAATTGCATTAATAGATTACTGGAAAACAATTCCCCCAGCCACCTTTGAAACTAAAGCTCCTAGTCTTGTGGATCTCAGGCAGGAAGGAAATATGAAGACTGTCTGTGAAGCCCCAACTTCCAACCCCTTGCAAATGCAGCCTCCCCATCTCCACATTTCCTCAGAGAGAAATCTCACTGAATTCAGAGATTATGGGAGTTGTAGTCCAGCAACTTGGCTATATCTGCCCTATATAATTCACATGGCGTCATTCCTGTGGCTCCCAACCTAAATGTGGGATAATCCCCCAAAGAGGGTCTTTTCAGTATTACCTGCATCTTATTTACCTCCCCCTGCCCTCGCTTTTAATAATTATGGTTTAATATATTTGAATTCTTGTAACTATTTTGTTTTCTCTATTGTTGATTTTCAGTGTTGTTCATGACCTTATGTTGATTTTTATGTTTTTACATTATTGTGGTGTTGGTACAGCTTTTCTGTTGTTGATTTTTAATCAGCTATATTTGAATTTGTGAACAGCCCAGAGTGCATGGTTATATGGGAGGTATATGAAAGCCCCCAAAATGAAATTGTCTAAAAGAAAAGTTCCAAAACCTCCTTAGCAGGTTGTTGAAGGGCCCCTTCAGACTGATGGGTTTTTGCCGGTGTTTGTTGCAAGATGTCATTGATGCAATAATAGTGCATTGCCATGGATTCATTCTGGACCATCTATACAGCTGCTTTAGTAGCTATTCCGTGATACTTCCAGTATGTTACCCCATTATTGCCATTTGGAGGGGCACTCTTGGGCTGTAAGGGAATAAATGAGGACCAAAAGAAAAACCTACAACAGAACATTACTGATATGAAAATTTATAGGATTTCAGCAGGAAATGACAGGACACAGACTGATCAGAAAAGAACCAGTTATGAAGACTGCAAAGCTTTGTGGGCACAAATAGTATTGAAACTGGGATTGCATAGACTTCCCAGGCAGCATCATGCGTAGAAATCATCACAAATACACAATAAAAGGAATATGCATAAATCCTGGGAGTGTTTGCATTCTGTCCTGGAGAGGGATGATTGCTGACAGCAACTCTGGGTGAAAGTGGGCTGAGGTTGTAGTGCATCATAGTAGAAAAAGAAAAACCCATTCTACCTACTGTTTTAATATATTCAAAGCTGGCATCCATCTTAAGCCAAATCAGAAAATTGCAGCACCTGCTGTGGTTTTAGAGACCGATATAGGAGAGACATGTTTTGTGTCAGCTGGGGCAGATGAAGGCGTCTAGTTGTGCTGCTGCAGGTGCACCAGGGTGTTTCTTCTGTCGACACTCCTCCTAGTGGTCATTCCTCCTCTGGCTGCTGCTATGGATACATGACCTGACTGTCTGTCTCTATGCGCTGCAATTACCTTCAAGGGATTCCAAAATGGCAGGTGGATGTTGCCAGCTTTCATGTCATGTTTGCATGACATTGGGCCGTTGGGCCTGGTGCCTGAAGTCAGCTCTCAGCCAGATGAGATCCCAGAGCAGAGCAGGGGATTACTATGTCCAGGCCAGGAAGAGAGAGCGGTCTCTGCTAAGCACTTCTTTCTTGAAGCAGAGGCTGAAGGCAGCCCTGTTCAGGGAAGTTTTTAATATGTGACATTTTAGTGTATCTTTCATCTTTGTTGGAAGCCGCCCAGAGTGGCTGGGGAAACCCAGCCAGATGGGCGGGGTACAAATAAATTATTATTATTATTATTATTATTATTATTATTATTATTATTATTCATGAAAGAATTTACACATCACCCGCTAAGGACAACATGCTACCACAGAATACAGGCATGGAAAGCAATGCAAATCAATTGAGGCTGCTCAAGACACCGCTAAGCAGCTGTGCAGGCCTGCTAGGATAAAGACAGCAACAGCCAAGCACATCAGCCCTGAGATGGCGAGTCATTTGCACACAGGGAAACTCCCACAGACTGACAACTGAAAAACTGAAAGTCAGCTGTGCCTTCACTGTGAGACAGCAGCCATGGCTGGTTCTGGGGGTCCCATCCAGGATCTCTGTGCTGAAGCCACTTGTCCCATCTGCTTGGATTCCTTCAAGGATCAAGTGGCCACTGTGTGTGGGCATGATTTCTGCTAAGGCTGCCTGAGCCAGTATTTGGGGGATGGGTGGAGTGGCCCCATAGCCTTCCTTCCCTAAATGCAGAATAACAGCCCAGCCTAAGGAATCTCAACTCAAATTGGAAACTGGAAATCTGGATGATTTGGACCCCTTCCAATTGCAATTCCAATCATGGGACTGAAACAGCACTGGTTGCACTGGACAATGATTTGTAGCAGGCCAGGGACAGAAGTTTCTCCCATGCTGTCTAGGCATGGGTCAAAGCAGTTTCTTGTTTGCCCCTCTGCTTTCCCCGGGAAAACCCACTGAATTAGGAACTAATGTCAATCCTCAGAAAAACCAATAGATCTTTTCCCCAATTCATCTGCAAACAGCAAGCAGAGGTGGGTGTGACCCCCAAGTGGGTTCCTGGGGTCGGGTCTGCCCTAAAGTGCTTCCCTGATGGCACTATGTATAGGAGGAGGGGAAGAGCCAGGGGTCCAAAGCAGGAAGTAAAAAAAAGAATTCTTTTTCTGCATCCTGAACAAAATGGGTGTGGTGGAACATTCAGACAAAGTTCAAAGCTATCACTTATTAACCAAGCAATGTCAAATTTATGATAGCTGATAAAAAGACCTGTTCAGAAAAAAGCATGGCTTTGTTTTATACAATTATAAATATATGCCAAATGCCTTTTTGGTTTGGTTTTTTGAAAAAGAGCCGTTCATGTTTGGGGTGAGATGAGGTGGTGAGCAAATGGTTGTTCTGTTAGGAGGAGAGAAGATGGAGGGGGAGAGGAAAGCTGAGCTCTCCCAACAGAAGAAAAGAACAGTTGCTGGTTGTTGTCACAGCAGTACAAAGTGCACAGCCTTTGCCCCTGCATAAGCAGGACAGGAGAAAGAACGGCTGGGGGGAAGAAGAAGGAAAGGTAACCCCAGAATTTTTCCTTGATCGACCACACCATCTCCCTGCCCACAAGATAAACTAGTCTGGGGGTGAGTATCTGACAACCAAACCCCACTGCATGTACCCAGGCTGCCCTTGGCCCAAGCAGGACTATTTTCATTCAATTCCCAATGTGTATAGAAGAGCCTTTTAACTCTTCCTCTTCCTTGCCTTCCCCCACCTTTCAGCTGAAAGTCAAGCACCTATGGGAATGCTGTTAGCTCTGGGAGAGGAGCTCCCATGGGTGTCAATGGAGGTGTTGGCTGGGCACCCAAAGGAGGGCTTGGAGCCCTGCAATGGCTCTGTCCTTGTCTGTCACCTTGGTGCCATTCCTGGGCCACTCTTGATGAAGCGCCAGGAGAGTGGACCTGCACATGAATGTGAGATTGTGTCCCACTGAATGATTATTTCATGGAGCTCCATTATTCTTTCTGCTGGATAGTGAATGCATGAAGCAGGGAAACATTTCTGAAAAGGTGACCTGTTTTGCTTTAAATGGGCAATTTTAAGGATGAAGATTTGTGGGGATGATAAATTCTTCAGTGGAGCTCTTTTTTAATTGATAGACTGCTTTGTTTTAATAGCTATTTTAACAGCTCAATATATTTCAGCATTTTTTATGTATTTTGCTTTGTAATATCTTTGGCTTTTTATTTATTTCAAAAAATACTGCCTAATTGTGGAAGAAGCCAAAGCAGTTTACAAAAACGATAAAGATAATTCAATTATCTCTAAAAAAAATATATGTAAAACTATAATTTTAAACATACAAACCATTTAAACTGCAGTAGAACAGACTAAAACAAATGAAAACTCATTGAAACTTTCTAATCATCTGGGTTGTCTTGCCTAAATAAGAATGTTGTCAGCAAGCACTGAAATGAAAACTGTGAAGGTGCCTGCTTGATATCAATAGGAAGGGAGATCCAAAGGGTTGCTGCCACCATGCTAAATGGTTGAGATCTAACAAATGCAGTGCAGGTATTATGTGGCACTAGTAAAAGTGCCAATTCCTCTGACTGAAGCAGTCAAGTGGGCACATATGGGGTAAAGTGGTTTTGTAGGTAAATGATGAATGAGTGTCCAAACTGATTTTCCGTTTAGGTTTTATAGTTGAGTTTCAGAGTGGGACTGTTATACAAAAATTTGGTGTTGACTTTTACTGCCCATCTCTCCATCAAGGGACCGAGGATCCCTTAAGTCCATCATCAGTCAGAGAAGAATGAATGGAGGGAGGAACCAGTGGAGGAAAGCAAAGAAAATATTTGATGTCTGTTGCAACAGAGTTCCCGCCCCCGCCCTGCAAGGCAGTGAGGGGACCCAGAACAAAACCTTTTAAGATTTTAGAAATCGTACAGCCCTTAACCAAGGACCACTGAAAGTCATCATACAGGTACAGTGCCAAGCATTTTGTGTGTGTTTGATTGGCATACACACACTGTTTGGGGCCCAGAATGGGGACAGACTTGCATGCACTCTGCCAACATGGGGGATGACGTGGATGTGGAGTTGCCTGTGGAAAAGACACAGAAAAGGGTTGTACTTGTAAATCAGACTATGCTCAGAATATTATGTTTGTCCACCATGTTCATAAATCTGCCACTCAGAGATGTTTTTCCGGGGCTTGCCAGAGCATAATCTGGAAATGGTGAATACCTTGGTGTCAGAGTTTATCGACACAGACTGGCCCCTTTTCAAATACAGTGATTTGAAAATACAAAGGTTTGCCGGGCTGTGGAAGAATGATTTTACCAAGAAGTTCCTTCTACCTACATGGAGGGGTCCCACAGTTCAAGTGGAGTCGAGTCTAAAGACGGCCTCGCTCTTGCTCTGTGAACTGTCTAAATTTTATACACTCAAATAGAAATAGTTTTTCTGGGAGTATTTCCTTATTCTTTGAAGGCCGAAGGATTGGTTTTCTGTGGTGAGTGTGTGCCTACTATGTGCGAGCACCTTAAAATTTGTATAACAGGACCAATTGTGGAGGATACGTTTCATAAGAAAGTGAAATACAGTTAGTTTTACTGGAAGGATGTGAAAACGATTAATACTGAACAGTTTTTACCTTACAGGCACTTGTTCCCCTCCTAAGTTCATTCCCATCCTGCTGCCTCTCATCTCAACAAAGCCACAGACTCTTCCTCTATCATGGCCTCATCCTCATCCACGGATGTGGGAGAAGAAGCCACATGCCCCATCTGCATGGAGTATCTGACAGACCCTGTGACCTTGGACTGTGGCCACAACTTCTGCCAGGACTGCATTGTAAAGTATTGTGACACATGGGAACCAATGCAGGTGGGGGACTTGGAGTGTCCCGTCTGCAAAGCCCGGATGCAGAGAGGGAGTTTCCGCTCCAATTGGCAGCTGGCCAATATAGTGGAAAAAATAAAATTCATATCACCAAATAAAGGGGGAAAGGATCTGTGTAAGAGACACAAGGAAAAACTCCACTTGTTCTGCAAAGAAGATGAAGAATTGGTGTGTTTCGTTTGTGAGCGATCCCCAGAACATAAATCGCACACTGTGGTTCTCAAGGAAGAGGTTGCCCAGGAATACAAGGTAGGAAGTTATTTTGACACTTGCTAACACAACACTTTCATATCTTTCTGTGTGTCTGTGTGCAGAATATGCTGTCAATGTGGCTATAAAGCAAACATAATAAATTGCTAATCTGCACCTTAATGTGGATCAAAAATTGGGCCTAATCTCTGTGCTTTTCAAAAACAAACACATACTTTGTTCTGCTTCAAAGGCAACTTTTTAAGATGTTGTCTTGTTTTTTAAAGCACCATTTTTTCTGCACTTCTGCCAAAGGGTTCCTGTGTAATGTAGTAATAATAATGCTATTATCAGATAAATATCTAATAGTGGGGGACCACACAATAGAAATATATGTAGAATACTGAAGGTCCCCACTCCCAGTCCTAATCCAATCTGATATTTGGTTTTCTCTTTAGACACTCATCTGTGATCGCCTGGAGCATTTGAAGAAACAGAGAGAGAAAATTCTGGCTTATGAAGCAGAAGTAGAAGAAGAAAGCAACAGCCTGCTTGTAAGTGTCACAATTACTACTAAGAGATCCAAGTATACTTGAAGGACCAAGGCTGGATCTATACTGATATGGAAAACACTATAAAACACGCTATTTTACAAATTAGTTCTCAGTGCAATTTCTCATTGGGACAGATCACAACTCTATAGGGGCCCCATGGTGTAAAATGTTTGTAATGCATATATAACATTCTAATTAGTCCAGTGTAGTTGAGTCCCAAGTCATGATGTAGCCCCATTCCTGAGTGATTTACCATAACATTGTTAATGAATGTCTTTCTAAAGACTCTGGCCTCTTCTTTTCCTCTTTCTTCCTGCCTCTTGAAGAAATTAACAGAAAGTCAGAGGCAGGATACACTGGAGAGGTTCAAACAATTGCACCAGTTTCTGGAAGAAGAAGAAAAGCGTCTGCTGAATGAAATAGAAGAGATGGAGAAGGAGATCACAATAAGAAGGGAGGAGCAGCTGGCTAGACTCTCAGAGGAACTCTCCTCTCTTGAAAGGAGCATCTGGGAGATGGAGGAGAAGAGTCAGAAGCCAGCAAGTAAACTCCTGCAGGTGAGACTGTGGCAGGAACAGCCCAAAGTTCCTCTCTAATGGTTTAACCACACTTACCTTTTGCTGCACTCTTTCCAGGCACAGGTCAGTGCTTTCCAGGTTCCTACCCAAGCTTTCTTCCCCCCAGTCGTTCCCCCCCCCCCACCCAAATTCCTCTTTAAAGCTGAAGCACAACTAATGACAAATTGGGTTTTATGTGCATTGCTGTTTGGCCCAATTCAGCTTTAAAGAGCAGGTTTTGACAGGGAAAGCTCCGTAGGAGAAAAAGGGGATATTCTCAGACACTGAGCTTTACAGCGTGGACCATGTTGGAGCAAAGGGGGAGGGACGGAGAAGGAGGTCAGGTAGATTGGACTAATCTCAAATGGGGCACAGAGTTGGGGCTTGTATCTCTGAGCAGGAGTGTACCAAGGCAGGGCAAGGGGGGGTCCTAGCCCTAGGCACATGATTTTGAGAGGGTGGGAGCCAGACGCCCCCTTGCATGGACCCCGCCCTGCCTGGTGCCAGGGGTCTTGCCACCACGCCCCTGGCCCCCTCACGGAATGGCAGTGTTAGGGGGAAGCACTAGCCAAGGGCTGCATCAGAAACCTGATATGGAAAGCTGGAGTAAGTTAAAATCATCTTGGTTAGATGATCCTTGGAATCCCTTCCAACACTACAGTTCTATGATTCTATGACAAGCAAAGATCAGTGCAATAAGCATGACAAAACTGCCAAGGTTTTTGGTTTTGTTGCTTACTCTTCCTCTCTTGGTTGACTTGAGGGAATTGAAAAGCTGACAGAAAAGTATGGATAATTTTATTTGGCAAAGTAAGTGTCCCAGAGTGGATAATGTAACTATGCAAACTGTCCCACAGAAGAGAGGATTGGCAGTACCTGATTTAGCTAAGTAGTGTGAAGCTGCTTAGCTAACTTTGTTAAAGTTAAGGATATCTCAGAAAAAGGAACTCTTTCATTGGGAACAGTTATCCATAAATTCCCCACTGGCCGAGATACTAGGGATACCTAGGAAAGACAGAGGAGATCTCATTGATTTTCATCAGAACATTTAAAATAAAAAAGAACTGAAGATTGGAAAATAATGGAGAGAAACCAGAATTGTTAGATGCATCCATACCTATCCAGAACTTTGGCATATGCTAGGCAGATTCACCCCAGAGGGCATCCATTGCAGGGGCTGATGGGTCTTCATTACAGGGCCTGTGGTAGGCACTGAATTCCATTCTGAGTTTCATCTTTTCCCTTCTAGGATATTAGAAGAACTTTGCAGAGGTAAGGGGATCCTGCTCATCTCCATTAATATCATTGGGAAAGAATATAATATGAAGATTATTAAGTGGAATAGAAATGAAATGAATACTAATGATAATGACAATACTTCACAGTATCTAGGTTTGCCACACGATCAGCAAACTCCGTGATGGCTGCCCCACTCAGTCCCACACAAACACCTGTCCCATGCACCATCTGTGGGACTATTCCCCAGAGTCCCACACTGTTACCTGTCACCAGTGGGGCTAAAAACGGGGAGCAGGAGTTGGGGTGTTTGCCACACTCCTGAACATATCCCAACTGCAGTATGTAACTTCAAGGTGTCACTTGGGCTCATGATAAGAGGATGTTGTTGTTTAGTCGTTTAGTTGTGTCCGACTTCCGGGTTAGCGCCATCGGCTAATGGCGGATTTCCTCCGAGCTCCGGAGGGAATCGGCTTCGTAGGATTTGGGTCTTGCCGCTGCGGGGACCCTCAAAAATCACAGGCGGTGAGCCTGTGAACCTGGTGACTCGGCGGGCACCATTTGCGCCCCCCGACCTGTGAAGGAGCCTTTTTAAAGGCTTTGGAACGGGGGACGGGGTGAGCGGCGCGGTGCTGAGAGTCGACTGCTTCTCCTACGGAGTGAAGCCGCATGCCATGGTCGGAGAGCGCTGACTTCTTCTTGTGAACAATTGGACTCTAAAGTTACAACCCGTGAGTACTATGGAAATTGGACTTGTAAAGGAAAAATTTTTTTTTAATTAGGCTCGATCGGGGAAGGCGCAAACAGGAAGTCCGTCTCCCCGTCTTATAAATAATCTAAAGCAAGGACCAGCTAACTAAGGTCGAGAGAACTTTCTTCCTTTTATTGGGTAAAAGACATTAATTTCATGATTTGGCAGTATAAGTAATCTTACTGGAGGATAAGAGTTAATTTTGGGAGCTGAAGTGCCACCCCCCTGGACCCGGGAGTGATCCATCAGAGAGCCTGTTGAAGAGGTACTAAAGAGTTTGACAGCTGTCAAATTAGCTGTCAAGACGGGAAAAGAGAACTTTGTTTCTGCTGCTTCTGCTGGTTATATCTGTTACAATTTTGTTACAATTTGTTGAAAACAAGGAAGGACTGATACAAACTAACTTGATTTTTGGATTTGAACTGGAAGGAATACTAAGTAACCAAAATCCCTCTAGAGGGGGTTTTGGACATTACAACAATGGCTGAAGGAGGGGAAATTCAAGCTAAACTGGACAGAGTTTTTCTTCTCTTGGGAAAGTTACAAGGCCAAATTGATGTTTTGGCTACTAATGTTACAACTCTGGACTTAACAGTAAACAAACTCATTGAATTTGATAAGGACTTGATTCAGGAAGTTCATGCAGCTGGACAGGAGGAGAAACTTGAGAGCTTTGAGAGTGTGGAGAAAGAGATATATGTTGTTTCTGAGGAAAAGGAAGGAGGAGACGTAATGTCGCAGATGACAAAGGAGAGCCAGAGGCCTGATATGATGGCTATAAAGGAAAATAAGAACTTGATGACGAAAATCTGGTTTGAATTGGAGATTGAAGAATGGAGAGATCTCATTAAGTGGAGATCTGAAGACCCAAGGATTACAAAATTGATTAAGGTGGAAGTTGGAGCTTTGGGGACATTTGGATTTGAAAGGAGCAAGAAACAAGATTTGGGCTCCACTTTTAAGTATGGAGGTCTGGCTGGAAGAAACATGGACCATATAGGGCCAGAGCTTCTCCGAGATCTAGTGCTTAATACTAAGGACTATCAAAAAAACCGGCAGAGAGGAATTGAGAGAGAATTAAGAGCCTCGGACGTGAGGTCTCCAGGCTGACAGTGGACTGATGGACATATGTTGGGGATTGAAACCGGGAAAGGGGAGGGGTGGGGTTTGGGAATCCAAAGGGTGCATAATTATAATATGTTTTCTCTTTTTTATTTTTGTCATGTTATTGGTATGAAAATTGGGGAATTCGTGGAAGGGAATTTGGGTCGACTTTAGAAAAACGTTTTAAGATTGAGAACTGATGTACAAACATTGATGTTTATAAGGTAAAATTGGTTTTTTTTAAATGAACTAAATATAAAAAGGTTAAAAATTGGGATAAGAACTTGTTGAACTAACAAATTTGAATTGGAATATAAGAAGGGGAGGTGTGGGGAAGTCAGGGAAATATGTTACAGGAAAATAAGGATTGCAAACTGTATGTGTTTTTAATTTTTTTTGTTTTCTTTTTTTACTTTTTAAGGTATTAAAGCGGAAAATTTCAATAAATATATTTTTTTAAAAAAAATAGTTGTGTCCGACTCTTCGTGACCCCATGGACCAGAGCAGGCCAGGATAGAAGGAATATTTCACTTTTGTCAACAACAGCAACCATCTTTAACTCCTCCACATCTTTCTTGCCTGTTGTAGGCAATGCAGCTGAAATGGAAAAACTCTGAGCAGGATGGAATCACTTGATTTTATTTTATTTCTCCATTTGAGTAGATGTAAATGAAGAGATTCAGACAAAGGGCTGCTCCTTTGGCCCTCAGTTGTCTGGATTTGGAGTCCCTAGTAAGGAGGAATCTTCTCCCCTCTGTGACTCCATTCCTCTGTCTCTCCCTCTTGGCTTTATACAGTTTCTTTGCTCCTCTCAATTCCTTTCTTTTGCTGCCCTCAGAAATTCTGGATTTGAAATGGGTTAACATGTCTTTTTCCCATCAGGTGTGAGCGAAGCGGGACATCTGAAAATCCACTGACTTTCTCACTAGAATTGAAGAGGGAGATCTCAAAATTCAGGGCTGCTAATCCTATTCTATATGTTGGGATGGAAAAAATAAAAGGTAATGAGAAATGGCTGCAGGGATTTTATTAGTCCAAAATATCTTATGAAGTGAAAATTTTGTTGCAAAATTATAAAAGTCTATTTCTCAAACGTTATATTACTTTGCTTTTTCAGATGCTCTGTTATCCGGACTGCTTCAGAAAGGTAAATTTTGGGTGAAGGACCAAATTCAAGGTGGGGTTTGGGACTGGTATTTCAATGGGATTGTGATCTGTCCTGTCCTTTGTGTTATTCTAAGAGAGGGAGAAGTAGTACCTGCATATAATATTTTGGATTGAGGCGGGGAAAATTTGTGCTCCAAGTGGGTTAGTGTGTTTGCAACCTAATTCCTCTCCTTCCCCCTTTGCTTTTACTTGATTCTTTGATCTTCTCCACATTAAACATGATTGGACTGTTAATTGGCACTTTTGCTCTGTTTTAATTAAATGAGTAGTCCACACACCCAAAACACCGTATTTATTTGAATGTAATGTCCACAACAACAAAAATTCCTTCCAGTTCTTCAGATACTTCAGGTATCTGAAGAAGTGTGCATGCACACGAAAGCTCATACCAAGAACTTAGTTGGTCTTTAAGGTGCTACTGGAAGGAATTTTTTTTGTTTTGACTATGGCAGACCAACACGGCTACCTATCTGTAATGTCCACAGTTATGGTCAAATTACATTGCAAAAATTAGAGTGCCCATTACATTTGATTGCAGATTTACATTCACCCGCAAATACTTTTTTTGGTTTCAAGGTATTGAAAATTGAGGTGTGCATTAGATTTGGAGGATCCTCCGTTCGTGGCTGCAGCTGCGAGCTGAGGATCCTGGCGCCGGCAGCAAACTGCTAAGTACAGCGCATGTGTGTCATTGCAAACATGCGCAGTACATAGCGATGCCGCACATACTCTGTATAGCAGTTTGCCACCAGTGCTACTCCAACACCGTACGGACGGTGCCGGGATCCCTCTGGCGCTGCTACAACCTGCAGCGGCAATGGAGGGATCCCAGCACCATCCATATGGCGCTAGAGTGGCACTGGTGGCAAACCGCTATACAGCGTATGTGCGGCGTCGCTACGTATGTGCCATACATCGTACGCACATGTGCTCTGGGTGTCACAACACCTTCCTTTGCCCCTGCCCCTCTCCTGAATATTTCCTTAGAAAACCTCAACCACTTAGCGGGGGGGGAACCCACAACAACATTGTGGGTAAAGGTAGTTACTATTTTAAATATGACAATCTTAACGAGTATGCTCCCACTACAGCCAACATGTTCTTGATGTGCTAAAAGTACAAGCTTGCTTCAAAATGCTTAAATATAAAGATGCTAGTATGTTTTCAGGACAATCAAGGAGCTTTAAGATCACTGCTGCCAGAGTCAACATTTTATAAATCTTAGTCAAATAGCCTTTAGCCTGCAAATGTGTGTGTAGTGGTATTGTGGTTGTAAAAAAACCCAACACTGGGGGCTCACAAGGGAATTAAATCTGTTAGCTTGTCTCATTTGCTACCCTCCCCAGATTTCAATGGAAGACTCAGTCCTGAATGCAATGCAATGAAGCCCCTTTTATCTAAGAGGGAATCTGGTTCCTGGGGTGTTTCTTGGATCTGGATGCCCCATTCCATCTCTTGACTGATTCTGCCTCTCTTTTCTTCATTTCCCTCCCAACAGCATATGTTTCTCTGTTACTTGACACCTGACTGTTACTTGATTGCTATTCTACTGGAATACAACATATATAAGGAAGAAATTTAAAATACAAATAAGCTATTAATACAAATGAGTTAACAGAATTTAAATCATGTCTACATTACCATGATTAAAATCAACCATTAGCAGGATCTCAAATTACATAGGAAACACTCTCCAAAATAAAATAAGAATGTATTGAGTTCCTCTTTGTGATTTCCTTGCAGTCACACCTTTGGGTTCTATGCCTGTGCAGAGCTTAGGGTTGCTATAGAAAGGACCATTTTTGGTGGGACTCCACTCCATCCTGCAGGCAAATATACTATAAACACAGCAAAATTATATATTTGTTTTTCATTATTATTATTATTATTATTATTATTTTATATCCCGCCTTTTCCCCTGACTTATGGAAAAAAATAAGAACAGCTAAAAACATAGGGTGGAAAGCAATAACATAAAACAATCTTATTTTCATTGTTTACCAATTAAAACAATTATATTTAAAAATTGTCCTTGATGTGCTATAAAGTGCTGGATTCAGTCTCTGCACAGCTAGTTTCAAAATGCTTAGATATAAAAATGCAGGTGCATTTTCAGGACAATAAAGAAACTTTAGGATCACTGTTGCCAAGGTCAAAATCTTTTAACTCTTAGTCAGATAGACTTTAGCCTCCTTTAGGACAATAAATGCATGTGGTATCTGTTGGGATACTGCCAGGGAGATAACGTCCATCTGAGCCCCCAAGCCGGCTGCCGGACGATCCATCGACCTCCCGTAGTCACGCAGTATCAGCAATTAGCGGCACGAAGCCTTAGAAATAGATTGCCACATTCCTAGGCTGGTGCACACTCTTTCAGCAGACTCCACACAGCAAAAGATGCACAGCAGGAGAGCATATTTACAGTTTATTCAACGTTGGTCAGAACAAAGAAAAGACATGACCATCTGCTTCAGCGTTCAAGCACAGACAGACAAAACGAAAGCAATAGCAAACATAAACATTCTGTAACAGGAAATACACAGACTCTGTGACTCACAGCCTGCTCCCTTTTAAGGTGGAACGGAAATATCCTAACATCCTCCCCCTTTCCGTGTAACCTGTAGTACCTGTGGTTCAACCCAATTGCAACCTCTGTACGTAAACCTTAAGTTGTTCTCTGTTAACAACCTTAGACAACAGATCAGCAGGAATTTCATTTCCTGCCATGTAGGACACCCGAATCAGTCCCTTTTGAATACACTCTCTTGCACGATGTAGCTTAATCTGCAAGTACTTGGTTCTCTGCTTGCAACTCTCCGAGTTCAGCAAAGCCAAACAAGATCTATTGTCTTGATACACTTGTATAGGACATTTCACAGAAACCCCGATGTCCTTAAACAGTTGCATCAACCATTCACAATCCATGAGTGAAAATGACAGAGCACTGAGTTCTGCTTCACAGGAACTTAGGCTCACTGTCGTCTGCTTCTTGCACAACCAGTCAAACAGGCAGTGGTTGTACATGTAGCATACTCCAGAAGTGCTTGTACCATCCGTGGTGTCACTTCCAAAACTTGCATCTGCAAAGATTTCAAGACCTCCAGTCTTCTGACTGGTGAACCTCAGCCTGTAGTGCATAGTCCCTTTCAAATAGCGGGCTATGCGCTCAGAGCTTTCCAATCCTGAACAGTAGGATTGTTAGCATGTCTGCTAAGCAGGTTAGTGCTTACAGCAATGTCAGGTCTTGAGCATCTAGCAATGAAATTCAACTTGCCTAGGATGCATCTGTACAGCGTTGTGTCAGAAAACGCTTCAGCAGTACTATCTACCTGGTAACCTGTCACCATCGGTGTGTCTGCTGGGTTTGCATCAACCAAATTCAACCTGGTTAATACATCAGCAATTTTCTGTGTTTGGTGTACCAGAAAATTACCTGCTTGGTCCCTCTCCACCTGCAGAGAAAGATAGTTGGATACCTCACCAAGATCCTTCATGTCAAAGTGCTCCTTCAGTTGAGCTAGGGTGCTTTGGTAAAAAAGCCTGATTCTTCCAAAACATCAGAAGATCATCAACAAAACATAAACAATACAGTTTGTTTTGCCCCTCCTCCTTGACAAACACACACGGATCAGCTTTGCCCTGGTGAAAACCTAGAGAAAGCAACGTCTCAGTGAGTTTTGTGTTCCAACACCTGGCACTCTGCTTGAGACCATATAAGGATTTCCGCAGTTTACAGACCATTCCCTTCTGTATCTGCATCCCGTCAGGTGGAAGCATGTACAGCTCCTCCCCCAAAATCCCGTACAAAAAAGCTGTATTAATATCATGATGGGAAACATGCAGTTTCTCCTCCGCAGCGATCTTGAGCATCAGCCGAATGCTCTCATATTTGACGGTGGGTGAGTAGGTCTCGTGGTAATCCTGTCCTGGTACCTGTGAAAAACCTCTGGCAACCAATCTGGCTTTGTGTCTGACTACCTTGCCATTCTGGTCTGTCTTGGCCTTGAAGACCCATTTGCTGCCAACCAGTCTCATCCCTGGGACTACCGGTACCAGTTCCCAAGTTTGGTTCCTGTTCAAGGAATCAACTCCAGCCTTCATGGCATTTAGCCAAGGCTCAGCATCTTTAGAGGTTAACTCCTGAACCTCTTTGAAGCTTGAAGGTTCCCACACCTTCTCTGAGCTACTAAGAACAGCAGTAGCCGTCTTAGCAAACTCATACAATCTAATATTTTTAGATTGTATGACTATTTTACTGTTTGATTATTTGATTGTTGTTAGCCGCCCTGAGCCCGGCTTCGGCTGGGGAGGGCGGGATATAAATAAAATTTATTTTTATTTTTATTATTATTATCAGCAAATCTCTTTGGAGGTCTGCCTTTGGTCGCCCTTTCAGACCTGCGAACCAGACGCAAGTCTTCTGGACTCATCTCCTCCTTCTTAGGAGAAAAGTGACCAATGGTGAACAGTGGTTCTTCCAGTTCATTGTCAGACGCATCAGATGGTCTGACTGAGGCCTTTGCGCTCTTGTAGTCTGCTGTGTCATCACTGTCACTGACACCAGCAGCAGCGCTGCCCACTGAAATGGAATCCGAACTCTGATCATCATCATCATCATCATCATCCTCCTCCTCAGTTTCCTCAGCTTTCTCAGCATGATCTGCTTTCTTCACATCACCTACATCTTCCTCTGGGTAACTCTGGAAAATTCCCACATTCCCCCCCCCCCCACTCAGGATTGTACTCAACACTCCTTGTGAACTTAATGGACTTAGAGTCAGTCATCCATACCCTGTATGCACCTTTTTCGTACCCCATGAACAAACCATGTGCCCCACGCTTCCCAAGCTTGTTGCTTTGTGGGGTGTGTACCCACATGTCAGAACCAAAGATTCTCATGTGCTTGACGTTCGGTTTCTTACCAAACATCTTCTCGTACGGAGTACAACCAATAGGTGATGACAGTCTGCGATTAAAGGAATAAGTAAACGTCGATAGAGCCTCACCCCAAAACTTATCAGGGAGATTGGCATCATGCAACATGGTTTTCATTCCTTGCAGCAACGTTTGATTTGCTCGCTCCGCAAGCCCATTCATCCATGGCGATCTAGGCGTTGACATGTCATGCTGGATTCCCTTCTCAGTCAGGAAAGCTTCAAACTGCTGAGAAGTGAACTCCCCGCCCCGATCAGTAAACAGACAGCCGATACGTTTACCGTGAGCATTCTCCAACCAAGCACAGAATGCTTTGAAGCTAGGAAACGCTTGCGATTTCTGCTCGAGCATAAACACATGAATGTACCTGGAAAAAGAATCGATTAGAACCATGAAGTACCTTGCTCCTCCCAAAGAGGGCGCAAGAGGACCAACCAGGTCTGCATGAACTAGCTGGTAGGGTTTGGAAGCCTGCCTGCTAGACTCCTTGCCTTTTGGAGCAACCTTCACCTTGTTCTCTGCACAAGATACACATTTCATGTGAAATTTACAGGGTTTGATGTTCAAACCTTCAACCAACCCAGGCATTTTGGCCAGCGCCTGCCAAGACATGTGACAAAATCTTCGATGTGCATCATGAATGCATCCTGCATGAAGAACTTTGTTAGTTTGTGCAACACAACAAGAATCAGCATTAGACACAGCAACAGCATTGTCATCATAAGTTATACAGAATAAGCCATCTATAAACTTTGCATGCAAAATGTCCTCTTTGCCTTTCCTGATGACACAGGCGTTCCTCTTGAAGGAAACCTCAAAACCACGCAGAATCAGCTGTGGGACACTGAGCAAATTGCCCGCAGCTCCTGGAACAAAAAGCACATCTCTGATGGTAGTGTGCAGACTTGCAAGTTTCACAATCCCTACTCCTGCAATTTGCAACGTCCTTCCATCAGCCAGGTGGATCTCTCCATCTTGAGGTGTGAAGGAGATGAAGAGATGGCGGTCCTTTGAGACATGGCGGCTGGCGCCTGAGTCCACAACAAATCTGGCCTTTGGAGCAGCTTTTGCAGCAAGCAAAACCTTGTTTTCCACCAGCGTGGGCTTTTGCAGCTTGCCCCCCTGCTCCTGGCCATCAGACTTGCCTTTAGCCTTTGGTGAAACAGTGCCAGCAAACAAAGCTTTGTTTTTCCCTGGCTTTCCACCCCCCTTCTGCTTCGGGCCATCTGCAGGCTTTTTCCTTTGTTTATTTCCAGTCTTTGGACAAAACCTCTGAGTATGACCTCGGTTCCCACAGTTCCAGCACTTCACAGCTGCCAACGCTTTGGCTCCCCCTGGAGGTTGGAATGCTGTCCCACATTGCTCCCCCTGAAGCGCACAAGCCGACTCAGCTGCATTTCTCCTATCATATTCGTTTTGCAAAGTCACCAAGACCTTTGTAGCAGTGAGGTCTTGCGCAGGGAGGGTCGCCAGCTGACTTGCCACGGCATGATAGCTTTCATCCAGGGAGTCCAGGATGAGAATTGCAAACAGTGACTCAGGCATATTGAAACCTCTCTGAGCGAATTCCTGTCTGAGATGCTGCAAATGCAAAACGTGGGCTCTAAGGTCTTCCCCTGGCTCCAAACGCTTCCTGTGCAGCTTTCTGAAATAAAGCAACACAGACCCAGCCTCTTGTCGGAGATGACAGGCTCTAAGCCCGTCCCACATCTCACGGGCACTGGCCTTGCCAGCCAGGGTGATTAACTCTTCAGGAGCTACTGAGAGCAAAATTATCCCCATGGCTCTTGAGTCCTGTGCCGTCCATTCATCTGTCACAGGGGCTGGGGGGTCCTCAGAAATGGTATTCCACACTCCAAGCTTTCTCATCTGGCCCTCACAGTACCTTGCCCAGGTCTGATAGTTGTGGCCATTTAGCTTTAGTGGACACGGAGCAGCTTCTGAGGATTGTAAAAGATCCATCTCAGCTATTCACTTGAGCCATTTATGCTTTCAAAGACTTCTTATCTCAGCAGCTCATAAATCACGAACTCTCTGGCGCAGCTCCCAGACCAATTACGCCCTGCCGGAACAGAAAAGCCTCATGTGCTTTTGCTTTTGCACATACCTCAGCAGTGTCGCAGTCTTACTCTCCTGTAAGTGCCGTGAATCTGGGCCCGAAACCTGTTGTTGGGATACTGCCAGGGAGATAACGTCCATCTGAGCCCCCAAGCCGGCTGCCGGACGATCCATCGACCTCCCGTAGTCACGCAGTATCAGCAATTAGCGGCACGAAACCTTAGAAATAGATTGCCACATTCCTAGGCTGGTGCACACTCTTTCAGCAGACTCCACACAGCAAAAGATGCACAGCAGGAGAGCATATTTACAGTTTATTCAATGTTGGTCAGAACAAAGAAAAGACATGACCGTCTGCTTCAGCGTTCAAGCACAGACAGACAAAACGAAAGCAATAGCAAACATAAACATCCTGTAACAGGAAATACCCAGACTCTGTGACTCACAGCCTACTCCCTTTTAAGGTGGAACGGAAATATCCTAACAGTATCATGGTTGTAAGAAAACAATGCTGGAGGTTCGCAAGGGAAGGGAATTTGTTAGGTTACCTAATTTGATTTCTTCCCCCTGATTTCAATGTAAGCCTCTGAAAGCGCCAAATGGGCAATTCACACAGAGAGAGTCAAAGGAGGACCATTTTTCTCCTCTTGCCCCCATCCATCTCTCTTCCCCTTCACTGCAAAGAAGAGCTGAGGGAATATTTTCTGGGCTGTTTTGCTTCTTGAAGGGTGACTGAATTGACAGGAGGGACACAATAAAATATGTTGAGTAAAATGGAACAAAAAGAAGTATTTAAAAACCCACAGAGAAGGTATTTATTCTGAGGTTAGTCTGGGAGAAAGAGGGGAGGGTCCCAATCCTGAATGGAACGTGAGGAAGTCCCATTTATCTGAGAGGGAAAAGGGCAATTTTTGTTTACAACAGAGGGAATCTGCTGCATCTTGGTGTTATTTTGGATCAGGATGTCCGTCTCTGACTCTTGGCTGATTCTGTCTCTCTTCTCTTTTCCTCATCTTCTCTCAACAGCAAATGTCACTCTGGATCCAGACACAGCCCATCCCTGCCTCATCCTGTCCGAGGATCAGAAAAGCGTGAGATGCGGAGACAAAGAGCAAGACTTGCCCAACAAACTTGAGAGATTCAATTCCTGGCCTTGTGTGTTGGGATATGAGGGATTCACAGCAGGAAGACATTTCTGGGAAGTCACTGTAAATGAGGGAGAGAGGTGGACTTTGGGGGTCGCCAGGAAGTCTGTGCAGAGAAAGGGCTTCTTCCCCTTAAGGCCTGAGGGAGGGGTCTGGGTTGTGGGGAAGTGGTTTGGTGAGTACAGGGCCTTCACATCCCCTGATTACTTTCCTCTGTCCCTGAGTGAGGAGCCCAGGAGGATCCGAGTGACTCTGGACTATGAAGAGGGCTATGTGTCTCTTTCTAATGCTGACTCAGGGGCTGAACTCCACACATTCTCAGAAGCCTTGTTCTTTGGGGAGACCCTCCTCCCTTTCTTTTGTCTGTGGGGAAATGAAACCCACCTCAGGATCTCCTGTTAAGAGTAGAATTGACGTCTTTGCAGATGCCCTGTGAGAGGAGTCATTCCAGCCACACTCGGAGGTAACAACAAAACAAAGTGGAATTTTCTTTTCCCTTCCCTTTTCCAGAATTTCCTATGCAGTGGAGTCCTATAAAGAGAGGGAAACACTTTAACCGTCCCAGTAAACAACCTATTCCTCAAAATGATTCACCCGCCACCCCCTGCAATCCTGGTTCTGTTGTTCACCTTTTTCTCATGACAAGACCTCTGCCAGCTTTTAAAATGCCCACATGATGGCATTGATAGATCACTGGAGAACAATCCTTCCACCCACTTTGCAACTAAAGCTCATAGCCTTGTGGATCTCAGGCAGGAAGGAAATAAGACTGTCTGTGTTAAGTTGTGGTGAGGCCCCAACTTCCAACCCTTTGCAAATGCAGCCTCCCCATCTCCACACTTCCTCAGAAAGAAATCTCACTGAATTCAGAGATGATGGGAGTTGTAGTCCAGCAACTTGGCTATGTCTGCCCTTTATAATTCACATGGTGTCTTCCCTGTGGTCCTAAATGTAGGATGCTCCCCCAAAGAGGGTCTTTTCAGCATCACCTGCATTTTCTCTCCCTCCCCCCACCCTGGTTTTTAATAATTATGGTTTAATATACTTGAATTCTTGTAAATATTTTGTTTTATCTCTTGTTGGTTTTTAGTGCTGTATTAATTGATCTTGATTTTTATCATTTTACATTATTGTGGTTCTGGTGATTGTACAGGTTTCCTGTTGTTGACTTTTATTCAGTTATATTTGAATTTGTGAACAGCCCAGAGTGCATGGTTATTTGGGAGGTATATGAAAGCCAAAAAAATGAAACCATATTAAAGAAAAGCTCCCAAACCTCCCTTGCAGGCTGTTGAGGGGACCCTTCAGACTGGAGGGCTTTTGCAGATGTGTGTTGCAAGATGCCATTGATGCAATAATAGTGCATTAGCCATGGATTCATGCTGGACCATCTATGCAGCAACTTGAGAAGCTATGCCATGATACTTCCAGAATGCTACCCCATTATTGCCATTTGGAGAGGAAAATTGGGCTGTAATGGAATAAAAGGGGACCAAAAGAAAAACCCACAACACAACATTTCTGGTATGAAACATTTATAGGATTTCAGCAGGAAGTAACAGTACACAGGACTGATCAGAAATGAAGCAATTAATATGAAGACTGCGAACCTTTGTGGGCACAAATAGTATTGAAACTGGGATTGCATAGACATCCCAGATAGCATCATGCGCAGAAATCATCACAAATACACAATAAAAGGAATATGCATAAATCCTGGGAGTGTTTGCATTCTGTCCTGGAGAGGGATGATTGCTGAGAGCTCCAACTCTGGGTGAATGTGGGCTGAGGCTGTAGAGCATCATTGTAGAAAAAGAAAAAGAAAAAACCCCATTCTACCTACTGTTTTAATATATTCAAAGCTGGCACCCATCTTTCTTGGGATGCAGTGGAGGAGTGCGTCTCTGGGTGAGGTCAAGTTTGTTGGAAGATTGCAGTGCCTGCTGTGGCTGTAGAGACCGATGCAGGAAAGACATGTTTTGTGTCAGCTGGGGCAGATGAAGGCGTCTAGTTGTGCTGCTGCAGATGCACCAGGGCATTTCTTCTGTGGACACTCCTCCTAGTGGTCATTCCTCCTCTGGCTGCTGCTATGGACACATGACCTGACTGTCTTTCTCTAGGCACTGCAGTTACCTTCAAGGGAAACAAAATGGCAGGTGGATGTTGCCAGCTTTCATGTCATGTTTGCAGATATCTTTGTAACGCAGAATTGGTCTGCCGCTGGGCCTGGTGCCTGAAGTCAGCTCCCAGCCAGATCAGATCCGAGAGCAGAGCAGGGGATTGCTGTGTTCAGGCCAGGAAGAAAGAGCAGTCTCCGCTAAGCACTTCTTTCTCAAAGCAGAGTCTGCTTCCCCACAATGCCAGTGATTTGCGTTCTCTTATTCATTCAAAAAGAATTGACCTATCACCCCTAAGGACAACATACTCCCACAGTATACAGGCTTCAGAAGCAATGCAAAGCAACTGAGGCTGTTCAAGACACCTCTAAGAAAGCTGTGCAGGCCTGCCAGGATAAAAACAGCCACAGCCAAGCACATCAGCCCTGAGATGGCGAGTCATTTGCACACAGGGAAACTCCCACAGACTGACAACTGAAAAACTGAAAGTCAGCTGTGCCTTCACTGTGAGGCAGCAGCCATAGCTGGTTCTGGGGGTCCCGTCCAGAATCTCTATGCTGAAGTCACTTGTCCCATCTGCCTGGATTACTTCAAGGATCCAGTGACCACTGTGTGTGGGCATGATTTCTGCTAAGGCTGCTTGAGCCAGTATTTGGGGGGGGGGGTGGCCCCTTAGCCTCCCTTCCCTCAATGCAGAGAAACAGCCCAGCCCAAGGAATCTCACCCCAAATTGGAAACTGGAAATGTGGATGATTTGGACCCCTTCCAATTGCAATTCCCATCATGGGACTGAAACAGCACTGGTTGCACTGGATGATGATTTGTAGCAGGCCAGGGACAGAAGTTTCTCCCGTGCTGTGTAGGCATGGGTCAAAGCAGTTTCTTGTTTGTCCCTCTGCTTTCCCCGGGAAAACCCACTGAATTAGGAACAAATGTCAATCCTCAGAAAAACCAATTGATCTTTTCCCCAATTCAGCTGCAAACAGCAAGCAGAAGTGTGGGTGACCCCCAAGTCGCTCCGTAGGGCTGAGTCTGCCCTAAAGTGCTTCCCTGGTAGCATTATGGATAGGAGAAGGGGAAGGGTCAGGGGTCCAAAGCATAAAATGAAAAAGAATTCTTTTTCTGCAGCCTGAACAAAATGGGTGTGGTGGAACATTCAGACAAAGTTCAAATCTATCACTTATTAACCAATCAATGGCAAATTTATGATAGCTGATAAAAAGACCTGTTCAGAAAAAAACATGGATTTGTTTTATACAGTTATAAATATATGCCAAATGCCTGGCTTTTTCTTTTCATTATTGAAAAAGAGCAGTTTATGTTTGGAGTGAGATGAGGTGGTGAGCAAATGGTTGTTCTGTTAGGAGGAGAGAAGATGGAGGGGGAGAAGGAAGCTGAGCTCTCCCAGCAGAAGAAAAGAACAGTTGCTAGTTGTCGTCACAGCTGTACAAAGTGCACACCCTTTGCCCCTCCATAAGGAAAGGGGAAGGAGACAGGAGAAAGAACGGCTGGGAAGAAGAAGGAAAGGTAACCCCAGAACTACTTCTTCTTGATCAAGTACACCATCTCCCTGCCCACAAGAGAAGCTAGTCTGGGGGTGAGTATCTGACAACCAAACCCCACTGCATGTTCCCAGGCTGCCCTTGGCCCAAGCAGGACTATTTTCATTCAATTCCCAATGAATACAGAAGAGCCTTTTAACCGTTCCTCTTCCTTGCCTTCCCCCACCATTCAGATGAAGGTCAAGCACCTATGGGAATGCTGTTATGCTGTTAGCTCTGGGAGAGGAGCTCCCATGGGAGTCAATGGATGTCTTGGCTGGGCACCCAAAGGAGGGCTTGGAGCCCTGCAATGGCTTCTGTCCTTGTCTGTCACCTCGGTGCCATTCATGGGCCACTGTTGATGCAGTGCCAGGAAAGTGGAGCTGCACATGAATGTGAGATTGTGTAGAATAGATAAAAACAAATGGAAACATAGAAATTTTCATTTGGGTTGTCTTGTCTAGATAATAATGTTGTCAGCAGGTGCTGAAATGAAGACTGTGAAGGTGCCTGCTTGATATCAACAGGAAGGCAGTTCCAAAGGGTTGCTGACACCATGCTAAATGACAGATGCAGTGCAGGTATTATGTGGCACCTGTAAAAGTGCCAATACCTCCAATTGAAGCAGTCAAGTGGGTACATATGGGGTAAGGTGACCTTGTAGGTAAAGAATGAATGAGTGTGCAAACTGAGTTGTTGAGTTTCAGGCAGTTGGACTGCTATACGGAAATTAGGGGTTGACTTTTACAGCCCATTTCTCCATCAAGGGACCCAATAATCAGTCAGAGAAGAATGAGGGGAGGGAGGAACCAGTTGAGGAAAGCAAAGAAAATATTTGTTTTCTACTGCAATAGAGTCCCCCGCCGCCCCCGCCATCACCACCTTGCAAGGAAGTGAGGGGACCCAGAGTAAAAATGTGCAACAGTTTTTAAAGACTTCAGAAATGGCCCAGCCCTTATCCAAGGACCACCCAAAGTCATCATACAAGTACCAAGCATTTTGCATCTGTTCAATTGGCATGCGAAGGTACCACACACTGTTTTTGGCCCAGAATGGGGACAGAATTGCATGCACTCTGCCAACATGTGGGATGGGGAGTTGCCTGTACAAAGGACACAGAACGTGGTTCCACTTGTAAATCAGACCATGCTCAGAATATTCTTTTTGTCCAACATGTTTACAAATCTGTCACTGAGAGATCTGAGCAACACATGCTAATTCTTTTTCTGGGGCTTGCCAGAGCATCCTTTTGAAATGGTGAAGACCTTGGTGTCAGAGTTTATTGACACAGACCTGTCTCTTTTCCAATACAGTGATTTGTAAAATAAGACCAATTGTGGAGGCTCCATTGCATAAAAAGTTAAATGCATTGTTAGTTTTTCTGGAGGGATATGGAAAAGCTTAATGCTGAATAGTTTTCCCCTTTCAGGCATTTTTTCCGTCCCCTGTCCCTTCACGTCCTGCTGCCATCCTGCAGCCACCTCTCCTCTCAACAAAGCCACACATTCTGGATCCGTCATGGCCTCAGCCCCCCCATCCACGGATGTAGGAGAGGAAGTCTTGTGCCCCATCTGCAAGGACTTCCTGACAGACCCCGTGACCTTGGATTGCGGCCACAACTTCTGTCAGGGCTGCATCACCAAGCACTGTGAAATACGGGATGAAATTGACATGGGGGACTGCAAGTGTCCCGTCTGCACGGTCAAGATCCAGAGCAGAAATTTCTGCCGCAATTGGCAGCTGGCAAATGTAGCAGAAAGACTCAAGCTCCAGAGAAAGCAACTATGTGAGAAGCACAAAGAAAAACTCCACCTGTTCTGCAAACAAGATGAAGAATTGGTGTGTTTGTTTTGTCAGCAATCCCCGGAACATAAATCACACACTGTGGTTCTCAAGGAAGAGGCTGCCCAGGAATACAAGGTAGGAAGTCATTTTGACACTTGCTAACACAACGCTTTCGTATCTGTGTTTATGTGTGAGTGTGTATGTGCAAAATATGCTGTCAATGTGGCTGGAAAGCAAACATAATGAATTACTAATCTGCACTTCAAAGTGAATCAAAACTTGGGCCTGGTCTCTGTGCTATGCAAAACAAAACAAAAACTTTGTTCTGCTTCAAAAGCAACTTTTTAAAATGTAATTTTGTTTTTAAAAGCACATTTTTTCTGCACTTGTGCCCAAGGGCTCCTGTGTAATGTAGTAGTAATAATAATAATAATAATAATGCTGGTTAATAAGAGTAATAGAAGGAAAGTTCTCAAACGAGCCTTGAATTTTAAATGTACAGCAAAAAAACCCAAACCACTAGAAGAGAGCAATTATCAGATAAAAATCTAATAGTGGAGGACCACACAATAGAAATATATGTAAAATACTGAAGCTCTCCACCCCGCATCCTAATCCAATCAGATATTTTGTTTTCTGTTTAGACACTCATCTGTGATCGCCTGGAGCATCTGAAGAAAGCGAGAGTGAAAATTCAGGCTTATGAAGCAAAAATAGGAGAAGAAAGCAACAGCCTGCTTGTAAGTGTCACAATCCCTACAAAGAGAACATGTATGCTTGAAGGACCAAGGCTGGATCTATACAGTGGTACCTCGGGTTAAGTACTTAATTCATTCTGGAGGTCTGTTCTTAACCTGAAACTGTTCTTAACCTGAAGCACCACTTTAGCTAATGGGGCCTCCTGCTGCCGTTGCGCCCCCGGAGCATGATTTCTGTTCTCATCCTGAAGCAAATTTCTTAACCTGAAGCACTATTTCTGGATTAGAGAAGCGTATGTAACCTGAAGCGCATGTAACCTGAGGTACCACTGTACTGATTTGGAAAACACTATAAAAAACGCTATTTAAAAAATTAGCTCTCAGTGTAATTTCTCATTGGGACAGATAGCAGCTCTACTAGTATAACATGTTTATAACAGATATATAACATTCTAATTAGTCCAGTGTAGTTGAGTCCCAAGTCATGATGTAGCCCTATTTCTGAGTGATTTGCCATAACATTGTTAGGGAAGGTCTCTCTAAAGATTCTGGCATCCTCTTTTCCTCTTTCTTCCTGCCTCTTGAAGAGAATAACAGAAACCGAGAGGCAAAATATAGAGGAGAAGTTCAGACAACTGCACCAGTTTCTGGAAGAACAAGAAAAGCGTCTGCTGGATGAAATAGAAGAGCTGGAGAAGGAGATCACAAGAAGAAGGGAAGAGCACCTGGCTAGACTCTCCAAGGAACTCTCCTTTCTTGAATGGAGCATCCAGGAGATGGAGGAGAAGAGTCAGCAGCCAGCGAGTGAACTCCTGCAGGTGAGACTGTGGCAGGAACAGCCCAAAGTTCCTCTCTCAGGGTTTAACCACACTTACCATTTGCTGTACTCTTTCCAGGCACAGGGCAGTGCTTTCCCAGTCCCTAACCAAACTCTCCCTCCCCCCCCCCCCAATTCCTCTTTAAAGCTGAAGCACAACCAATGGCAAATTGGGTTTTCTGTGCATTGCTGTTTGGTCCAATTCAGCTTTAAAGAGCAGGTTTTGACAGGGAAAGCTCCGTAGGAGGAAAAGGGGGAATTCTCGGACACAGAGCTTTACAGGGTGGACCATGTTAGACCAAAGGGGGAGGGACAGAGGAGGTCAGCTAGAATGGGCTGCTGTCAAATGGGGCACAGAGTTGGGGCTTGCATCTCTGAGCAGGAGTGTAGAGAAGGGAGGGCAAGGGGGGGGGCTTAGCCCGGGCACATGATTTTGAGGGGGGGTGAGCCAGGTGCCCCCTTGCAGGAATCCCACCCCGCCTGGTGCCAGGGGTCTTGCCACCACACCCCTGGCCCCCTCACGGAATGGCAGTGTTGGGGGGAAGCACTAGCCAAGTCTGCATCAGAAACCTGATATGGAAAGGTGGGGTAAGTTAAAAGCATCTTGGTTAGATGATCCTTGGAATCCCTTCCAACACTACAATTCTATGATTCTGTGAAAAGCAAAGATCAGTGCAATAAGCATGACAATACTGCCAAGGTTTTTGGTTTTGTTTCTTACTTTTCCCACTCTTGGTTGACTTGAGGGAATTGAATAGATAATTTTATTTGGCTAAGTAAGTGTCCCAGAGTGGATAATGTTAATATGCAAACTGTCCCACAGAAGAGAGGATTGCCAGTACCTGATTTAGCTAAGTAGTGTGAAGCTGCTTAGCTAACTTGGTTAAAGTTCAGGATATCTCAGAAAAAGGAACTCTTCCAGTTGAACAGTTATCCATAAATTCTCCACTAGCCAAGATACTAGGGATACCTAAGAAAGACAGAGGAGAACTCATGAATTTTCATCAGGACATTTTTAAAAAAAGGACCTGAACTTAAGATTGGAAAATAATGGAGAGAAACCAGAATTGTCAGATGCATCCATCATTGCTGTTCGTTTAGTCGTGTCCGACTCCTTGTGACCCCATGGACCAGAGCATGCCAGGCACTCTTGTCTTCCACTGCCTCCCGCAGTTTGGTCAAACTCATGCTGGTAGCTTCGAGAACACTGTCCAACCATCTCGTCCTCTGTCGTCCCCTTCTCCTTGTGCCCTCCATCCTTCCCAACATCAGGGTCTTTTCCAGGGAGTCTTCTCTTCTCATGAGGTGGCCAAAGTATTGGAGTCTCAGCTTCAGAATCTGTCCTTCCAGTGAGCACTCAGGGCTGATTTCCTTCAGAATGGATAGGTTTGATCTTCTTGCAGTCCATGGGACTCTCAAGAGTCTCCTCCAGCACCATAATTCAAAAGCATCAATTCTTCGGCGATCAACCTTCTTTATGATCCAGCTCTCACTTCCATACATCACTCCTGGGAAAACCATAGCTTTAACTATATGGACCTTTGTTGGCAAAGTGATGTCTCTGCTTTTTAAGATGCTGTCTAGGTTTGTGATTGCTTTTCTCCCAATCTAACCAGAATTGTTAGATGCATCCATAGCTATCGAGAACTTTGGTATATGCTAGGCAGATTCACCCCAGAGGGCATCCATTGCAGGGGCTGATGTGTCTTCATTACAGGGCCTGTGCTGGGCAGTGAATTCCATTCTGACTTTCCTCTTTTCCTTTCTAGGATGTTAGAAGAACTTTGCAGAGGTAAGGGGATCTTGCTCATCTCCAGTAATATCACTCCCTGAAACTTCACAGGTAGACTGGGATAGAATATATTATGAAGATTATAAAGTGGAATAGAAATGAAATGAATAATAATGTGGGACTATTCCACAGAGTCCCACACAGTTACCTGTCACCTGTGGGGCTAAAAACGAGGAGATGGAGTTGGGGTGTTTACCGTGTTCCTGAACATATCCCAGCTGCAATATGTAACTTCAAGGTGTCACTTGGGTTCATGATAAGAGGATGTCATTGTTTAGTCGTGTCCGACTCTTTGTGACCCCATGGACCAGAGCAGGCTGGGACAGAAGGAACATTTCACTTGTGTCAACAACAGCACATCTTTATTGCATGTCGTAGGCAGTGCAGCTGAAATGGAAAAACTCTAAGCAGAGTGGTATCACTTGACTTTATTTTATTTCTCCATTTGAGTGGATGTAAGTGAAGAGATTCAGACAAAGGGCTGCTCCTTTGGCCCTCAGTTGTCTGGCTTTGGAGTCCCTAGTAAGGAGGAATCTTCCCCCCTCTGTGACTCCATTCCTCTGTCTCTCCCTCTTGGCTTTATACAGTTTCTTTCCTCCTCTCAATTCCTTTCTTTTGCTGCCCTCAGAAATTCTGGATTTGAAATGGGTTAACATGTCTTTTTCCCATCAGGTGTGAGCGAAGCGGGACATCTGAAAATCCACTCACTTTCCCACTAGAATTGAAGAGGGAGATCTCAAAATTCAGGGCTGCAAATCCCATTCTATATGTTGGGATGGAGAAAATAAAAGGTAATGAAGAATGGCTGCAGGGATTTTATTAGTCCAAAATATCTTATGAAGTGAAAATTTTGTTGCAAAATTACAAAAGTCTATTTCTCAAACTTTATATCTCTTTGCTTCTTCAGATGCTCTGTTATCCGGATTGCTTCAGAAAGGTAAATTTTGGGTGAAGGACCAAATTCAAGGTGGGGCAGGGGACTGGTATTTCAATGGGATTGTGATCTGTCCTGTCCTTTGTGTTATTCTAAGAGAGGGAGAAGTAGTACCTGCATATAATATTTTTGATTGAGGCGGGAAAACTTTGTGCTCCAAGAGGGTTAATGTGTTTGCAGCCTAATTCTTCTCCTTCCCCCTTTGCTTTTACTGGATTCTTTGATCTTCTCCACATTAAACATGAATGTAATTTTCACCGTTATGGTCAAATTACATTGCAAAAATTAGGGTGCCCATTACATTTGATTGCACATTTACATTCACCCGCAAATACCTTTTTTGGTTTCAAGGTATTGAAGATTGAGGTGCACATTAGATGTGATAGCGCATTAGACTCATGTAAATACGGTACCTGAATTTATCTATGAGGAGCAACTTCAGTCTTCTCCATTCATCCAGGAGGTTTTCCCTGTTGCATTTCCCCCCGTCTTCTAATTTGTTGGTTTTAATCGTGCTGATTATTTAGCTATAGGGTAATTGCACACAGAGCTGCCCGCTTCTACATTTTAATTTGGCCCTAATCCCCTGTTCAACAGGGACCCTCAATATCTCCTAAGATTCTGGAACTCCTAGGCACGGATTCCTGTCAGCTTTTTAAATATAATTTTTTAGAAATTAGTCCTCCAAACCTACTCACACCCCACCCCACACACCCCACCAGCAGCCCATTGGCCCACCAGGTGGGGGTGCGCCGGGCACACAGTTACCTGGTGGGTGGCACCCGGCCAGGTGGCCCCGCGCAGGGTTGCAAACTCCACCCACCTGTTGGGAAGGGGTGAGTGGGAATTCTTTCCAATTGTTCTACTGCAATACATTGTAAATATGCATCAAGAAATGTAATATGCAAATAAGCTATTAACAAACAATGAATTAACAGAATTAAAATCAAGTATAGATTACCGTCATTAAAGGTTTTGTTGGCCGTGGCTGCGTCATGCAAGTTGTGGCTGTGGCGGCGATATGGTTGGGGGGTAATCTTTAGAGCAGGGGTCTGCAACCTTTAAGACAAAAAGAGCCACTTGGACCCGTTTCTGAAGGAAAAAAAACTGGGAGCCGCAAAACTCGTCATTATAAAAATAACTTTTTTGTCACTTTTTAAATTATTTCTTTGTTTGACCCCTCAGAATTACTCCTCCTCATAGAAATAAACGTTAAATTCACAAGTTACCTTTTTTTGTGTGTGTGTGTTCTTCACTCCCCTTCAAAACAGTGACCAGCGTACATGCCCCTTACAATGTAGCGGGCGGGCGGGAAGGTGACGTCGGGACGGTGCGTGACTAACACACGCACCGCCCCCATGCGACGTCACAGCCAGTACAGCGCCCGCCACAGTGAGGAGTGTCGGGGCGCACAATGCGCCTCCTCCCCTCACTAGTATCCGCCCCGGAGCCGCGGCAAAGGTGTAAAAGAGCCGCATGCGGCTCCGGAGCCGCGGGTTGCAGACCCCTGCTTTAGAGGATCCTCCGTTTGTAGCTGCAGCTGAGAGCGGAGGATCCCAGCACTGGCAGCAAACTGCTAAGTACCGTGCATGTGTGCCGTCGCACGCATGCATAGTACGTAGCAATGCTGCACATGCACTTTATAGCAGTTTGCCGCCGGCGCAACTCCAGCGCCGTACAGACGGTGCTGGGATCCCTCTGGCACCACTGCAGCCTGTTCGCGATGCCTTCCTTCGCCCCCCCGGAAGATTTCCTTAGAAAATCTCAACCACTTAGCAGGGGGGAACCCACAACAACTTTGTGGGTAAAGGTAAACAATATTTTGTCCATAGTTACTATTTTAAATATGGCAATCCTAGCTAGTATGCTCCCACTACAGCCAACTTGTCCTTGATGTGCTATAAAGTGCTGGATTCAGTCTCTGCACAGCTAATATCAAAATGCTTAAATATAAAAATGCAGGTGTCTTTTCAGGACAGTAAAGAAACTTTAGATTCACTGTTGCCAAGCTCAAAATCTTTTAACTCTTAGTCAGACTTTAGCCTCCTTTAGGACAACAAATGTGTGTGTAGTGGTATCATGGCTGTAAGAAAACAATGCTGGAGGTTTGCAAAGGAAGGGAATTTGTTAGGTTGCCTAATTTGATTTCTTCCCCCTGATTTCAATGTAAGTCTCTGAAAGCCCCAAATGGGCAATTCACACAGAGAGGTTCAAAGGAGGACCATTTTTCTCCTCTTGCCCCCATCCTTCCCTCCTCCCCTTCACTGCATAGAAGATATGAGGGAATATTTTCTGGGCTGTTTTGCTTCTTGAAGGGTGACTGAATTGACAGGAGGGACACAATAAAATATGTTGAGAAAAATGGCAGAAAAAGAAGTAGATAAAAACCCACAGGGAAGGTATTTATTCTGAGGTTAGTCTGGGAGAAAGAGGGGAGGGTCCCAATCCTGAATGGAACGTGAGGAAGTCCCATTTATCTGAGAGGGAATCTGCTGCTTCTTGGTGTTATTTTGGATCAGGATGTCCGTCTCTTACTCTTGGCTGATTCTGTCTCTCTTCTCTTTTCCTCATCTTCTCTCAACAGCAAATGTCACTCTAGATCCAGACACAGCCCATCCCTGCCTCATCCTGTCTGAGGATCGGAAAAGTGTGAGAAAGGGAAGCAAACATCAAGTCCTGTCCAATTATCCTCAGAGATTTAGTGACATGCCTTGTGTGTTGGGATGTGAGGGATTCACAGCAGGCAGACATTTCTGGGAAGTCAATATGGGAAGTGAGGAATGGTGGGCTGTGGGGGTTGCCAGGAAGTCTGTGGAGAGAAAGGACTTCTTCCCCTTAAGGTTTGAGGGAGGCATCTGGGCTTTGGAGAAGTGGCTTGGCAAGTATAGGGCCTTCACATCCCCTGATTACTTTCCTCTGTCCCTGAGTGAGGAGCCCAAGAGGATCCGAGTGACTCTGGACTATGAAGAGGGATATGTGTCTCTTTCTGACGCTGACTCAGGGGCTGAACTCCACACATTCTCAGGAGCCTCGTTCTTTGGGGAGACCCTTCTCCCTTTCTTTTGTTTGTGGGGAAATGAAACCCAACTCAGGATCTCCTGTTAGGAGCAGAATTGACAGCTTTTCAGATGCCCTGTGAGAGGAGTCATTCCAGTCACACTTGGAGAAAACGACAAAACAAAATCTGGGATTTTCTTTTCCCTCTGCTTTCCCAGAATTCCCTCTGCAGTGGAGTCCTTAAAGAGAGGGAAACACTTTAACCGTCTCAATTATAAACAATCTATTTCTCCAAAGAATTCACTTGCCACCCCCTGCGATCCTGGTTCTGTTGTTCACCTTCCTCTCATGACAGGACCTCCACCAGCTGTTAAAATGCCCACATTGATTAATAGATTACTGGAGAACAACCCCTCCAGGCACCTTTTGCAACTACAGCTTGTGCATCTCAGGCAGGAAGGAAATAAGAAGACTGTCTGTGAGGCCCCAACCCCTTGCAAATGCAGCCTCCCCATCTCCACACTTTCTCAGAGAGAAATCTCACTGAATTCAGAGTTGATGGGAGTTGTAGTCCAGCAACATGGCCAAGTCTGCCCTTTATAATCCACATGGTGTCTTCCCTTTGGCCCCCACCCTGGATGTGAGATGTTCCCACAAAGAGGGTCTTTTCAGTATGTGTGGAACCCCCTCCCACCAGATCACACTTCCCCACACAGCAAGAGGTCTCTCCCATCCCCACATGTGCAGCACCCGTCCGCCAATAAGGGGGAGAGTTAAGTGTTCAGGGTAGTGGAGATGTCCCCAAGTCTCTTAAGTCTGTCTCCCTAGCAAAGAGAGGAGACAAGTTGCCAGGGGTAGATGGAGGGCTCTGTCAGCCCCTCAAGGGCAGCAGCTAGCATTCTTGTTCTCTCTTTGGTGGTTATTGAGGTGCTTCAGAGAAGGGAGAAGACACCCCTTCACCTTCCTCCCTGCCCCCTCTCTCCAGATCCACATAAGTCCAACAACCAGGGCAGGAGGGAGTTCAGCACACCAAAGGCCCAGTCTCCCCAGTGCTAATGCCCTTTTACTGTGTCAGGAACATGCTGCAGAATACACCAGCCTGGAGGGACCCTTTACACAGCAAGGGAAGGATATCTTCACCTCGGCCCTTTTCTTAATTAGGGACTGTGGGGTTTCATTGCTCCAATGAAGACCACGCTGGGTGCAGTTCTCCAGGGGACCACTTGATGTCAGCGTTCCACCATGAGCAAGGCTCTTGTTATAGTATCCACCAGAGCTTTCCAAACTTTTCACCTTGCTGACACGCTTTTTAGACATGCGTCATTTTGCAACACAGTAATTCAGTTTTACTAGCAAAAGAGAGGTTAAACCAGGGGTCCTCAAACTACGGGCCATGGGCCACATCCGGCCCACCAGGGTCCTGAACCCGGCCCACCCCTAGGCCACACTGCCTCTAAGCCCAAATCCTCTGTGGGCTGGGCATGCACCTCTCCAGCCTTGCCCACCTCACAGGGCTGTTGTGGGATGCAAAGGCAGGCAAGTTCCACAGGAGCAGGGTGGGAGGGGATCCCGGATGGCCGTGCCAGCTGCTCCTTTCCTCCAGCCCCCCCCTCTACTAGCCCCGCCCTTTCCCGCACAGGTACTTCTGCTGGCTGCACTACGCAGATGGGAGCCGAGCAGCGCAGCGCCGTCTTGCCCAGTGGGCCAGCCGCCTGCTGCTGCTTCCCTCCGCTGCGTCATGGCCGGCCGGGCCCAGGGTCGTCACGCCGGCACTGGGTATGCAGAGCTGCTCATCTTGCTCCTCCTTTTGGTGCTGGCGACTTCCTAAAGGTGCCTGCTTTGGCATAATCTCTGCAGCATTCAGTGGTGCCTATTCCTGTGCAAAGGGCTCCAAGCACACTGGCATTCGTGCAGTTACGTTAGTGAGCTTTGTGAGCTTAGTCAGGTTTCCCACCCCAAAGGCTGTAATTCCCTGTGTGCTTACCTAGGAGTAAGCCTTATTGAATTCAGTGCGACTTACCTCTGAGCAGGCATGCATATGATTGTATGGACACATTAGGGAAGAAAGCCTCAGAAGTAACTGCACTGCTTTCAGTGGATTTACTCCCTGGTAGGGATGGCTGAATCCGTCCATTTTGGTGTCTTGTTTTTGCAATCTTACTTTCAGTTCTCCACATTTCCACATTAGTGTTCTTTTAATATATTTTTCAAGAAAAGGTACTCTTGAAAATTTGTCACCATTTTAGTCTGTGTTGCTCCTAAAATGCACGTTTTTTGTATGTTGTTTTGCCTAATACATCTTTGCAAAGCAATTATCTGCAATAGTATGCATAAGGTACTTTCACGTAAGTTTCGGAGTCACCTTCAAAGGTAGAGAAGCAGGACTGTTTATTTCCACTGCTGGGAATATTTGTATTGTATTGTTTTTCCTGATTTTTGTGCACTACAAATAAAATATGTGCAGTGTGCATAGGAATTCATTCATAGTCTGGCCCCCAACAGTGCCCGAGGGACAGTGAACTGGCCCGCTGTTTAAAAAGTTTGAGGACCCCCGGGTCAAACTAACACCTTTCCAGGAGCGCGGGGGCGTTCATGTGACACACCTACACACTGCAGCTGACACACTCAGTCACAACGCACAGTTTGGAAAGGTCTGGTATATGTGCTGATTCATAGCTGTCAACTTACAGATTTGAAAATAAGGGACCAGCAGCCTCGAAAATAAGGGATCAGCAGCCAAAATAAGGGATCAGCAGCCAAAATAAGGGATTTTCCGGGCACAGGTATGTTCAACTTCTGAGCCCCTCCGAGCCAAAGGCAGAAAGCCCAGCCAGCAGCCAAACGAAGCCTCATCAATAAGGGACAGCAGCGGGACATGGCACTGGGAATAAGGGACTGTCTCGCCAAATAAGTGACGCTTGACAGCTATGGCTGAGTGGATCAGGTTGCAGCAGCAGCTGCCACTGTCCTTCAGACAAAACAAATTCGGGGTAAATGTTGGTGGTGCTCTTCTGTCTTCACGCACCTACTTCTCACGTAAGTCTTCAGTCCATGGGTCGGATATATACACACACAAATTGATTCAAGGGACAGCCTGGTCCCACAGTCTGGGGTGAGGGCAAGTGGACTTTTCCTGGCTTAGGAGGGGCTCACCATACCTGCCCAGTTCCTACAGACTGGAGGAGTCACTGCCAGGCCTGGGTCTCCGCTGCTCCCCATAGGAAGGAGGGGCTGGGAGTCCCGCTCCAGGAGGGGCTTTGGTGCTGGGGAGTGACTGAGGATTGGGACCAGGAGGCTTCGCTTTCCGGTAAGGATGGCCGTCCTATTGCACCCATAAGGAGGATTGGGGAGGATAGGAGGGAAGGGCACCCTTGAACTTGATGGGTGAACATGTCTACAATAGTGCCTGCTCCAGATTATTTTGTACCCTAGGCAAGGCTAACTACTTGTACCCCTTGCTGCTGAAACAACAGACTGCTTTGCAAGGCTGGGATCAGTCCAGTGCTGTCTCGAGAATAAACAAACTTTGGTTTGGCCTGATCTCGGTGTCAGACTCCTTCTTCTCACAGACCAATTGACCCTCTGGGGAAGATCCCTGGGGCAAATTTGTTCAACATGCTATGAGGCCAGCGGTGGTGGCCACGGAGAGGCAATAGGGTGCTCCCTTGCAGCTACCACTGCCCTCACCACTGCTCAGAACAAGTGCTGGCTAATCCTGCTCCCAAGCTTACCAGTTGCTGCGCTGGTGAGAAAAATAGGGACATCCCAGGATCAAATCAAAAGCCAGGATGGCTTTTGTAATTCCAGTACTGTGCCTGGAAAATAAGGACACTTGGAGGTTATGTAAATATGACTTTATATACTTTATAAGTTTTGTTTTCTCTCTAACTGGTTTTTAGTGCTGTATGAATTGTTCGTGATCTTATGCTTTTTATGGTTTCATACTATTTTGTTGTAGTAGCTGTTAGTACAATTTTTCTATTGATGGTTTTAAATCAGTTATATTCCATTTTATTGATATTAATATACGGAATACCAGAGTACATGGTTATTTGGGAGGTATATGAAAGCCAAAAAGATGAAACGGTATTAAAGAAAAGCTCCAAACCTCCCTTGCAGGCTATTGAGGGGCCCCTCTATACTGGAGGGCATTTGCGGGTGTGTACTGCAGCGTATCACCAGAGTTTTATGAATCACCTTCTTAGGAAGAATCTGTATAGAGTTTAGGAGACATATAAAAATTTGCTGGAAAGGAAAATACACCTATGGCTATCTCCTATTGAGGCCATTACAATCAAGACAGTGAATAAGGATAGACAGTGGGTAACTTACAGGAAATTGTTGTACTTTACGGGGGGAACCTAAATTGAAATCAGTGGAAGATGTAAGGAGCCATGTTACGGATTGGTTACTATAGGTAAAGGTAAAGGGACCCCTGACCATTAGGTCCAGTAGTGACCGACTCTGGGGTTGCAGCGATCATCTCGCTTTACTGGCCGAGGGAGCCGGCGTACAGCTTCCGGGTCATGTGGCCAGCATGACTAAGCCGCTTCTGGCAAACCAGAGCAGCACACGGAAATGCTGTTTACCTTCCCACCGGAGCGGTACCTACTTATCCATTTGCAATTTGACATGCTTTCAAACTGCTAGGTTGGCAGGAGCAGGGACCGAGCAACAGGAGCTCACCCCGTCGTGGGGATTCAAACCGCCGACCTTCTTATTGGCAGGTCCTAGGCTCTGTGGTTTAACGCACAGCGCCACCCACATCCCTATAACTGCTAGGTAGGCTTGCCTAAATAAGAATGCCATCAACTGGCACTGAAACTAATACTGTGAAGGCGCCTTCCCCCATAAACATGCAGGGAGTTCCAAAGTATCTCTGCCACCACACTAAACATTTGAGTTCTTACATACACAGTGTGGGTATTATGTGGCACCTGTAAAAGGGTCAATTCCACTGATCAAGTGTTCTAGTGGACCCATATGGGTAAGGTGATATTTTACGTGAAGGAGTGTGGAAAATGAGTTTTGGTTTTATAGATGAGTTTCAGGCAGTGGGACCAATTGTGGAGGCTTCATTGCATAAGAAAGTGAAATGCAGAGTTAGTTTCTCTGGAAGGATGTGGAAATGCTTAATGCTGAACAGCTTTTACCTTACAGACATTTTTTTCATTCCCCAGTCCCTTCACATTCTACTGCCATCCAGCAGCCGCCTCTCAGCTCAGCAAAGCCAGACACTCTTGATCCGTCATGGCCTCAGCACCACCATCCACGAACATAGAAGAGGAAGTCTTGTGCCCCATCTGCAAGGACCTCCTGACAGACCCCGTGACCTTGAACTGTGGCCACAACTTCTGCCGAGGCTGCATCACTAAGCACTGTGAGGTACGGGATGAAATTGAGATGGGGGACTGCAAGTGTCCCGTCTGCATGGACAAGATCCGGAACAGGAATTTCTGCCCCAATTGGCAGCTGGCAAATGTAGTAGAAAGTATCAAACACCAGAGAAAGGAACTATGTGAGAAGCACAAAGAAAAACTCCACCTGTTCTGCAAAGAAGATGAAGAATTGGTTTGTTTGGTTTGTCAGCAATCCCCAGAACATAAATCACACACTGTGGTCGTCAAGGAAGAGGCTGCCCAGGAATACAAGGTAGGAAGTCATTTTGACACTTGCTAACACAATCCTTTCATATCTGCATGTGTGCATGTGCAAAATATGCTTTCAACATAGCTGCAATGCAAACAGAAATTGCTAATCAAAAATTGGGCCCCATCTCTGCTATTCAAAACAAAACAAAAACTTTGTTCTGCTTCAAAAGGAACTTTTAAAAATGTGTTTTTGTTTATAAGAGCACTATTTTTTTGCACTTGTGGAAAAGGGCTCCTGTGTAGCAGCAGTAGTAGTAGTAATACTATGTAGTTTTTTAAAGTTGATATTTTATTTAAAAATTGTCAAATATAAAGCAGTAAATTGATACAAAAAGAAAAAAGAAAAGAAAACACAACTGTGTACAGGGGGAAAACATTATATAAATATATACAAAAATACCCTAACCTGTATGTATGTACGCCAAGAAACCCCCAGAACTGCTATTATATTATTATTATTATTATTATTATTATTATTATATTAAATTTGTATACCGCCCTTCATCCGTAAATCTCATGGCAGTTCACAACTTCAAATTACAATATAAAACCCACAAAATATCAAAACAAGAACAACAAACAAATAATTCCCCCTTACACAACACATTTAAAAAGGCATGTCAATCAGCCCAAGGCCTGCTTGAAGAGGAACCTTTCCACCTGGAACCTGCAGAGAGCCTTCCACAGACGGGGAGCCACTGCAGAAAAGGCCCGTTCTCATGCTTCCACCCTCCAGACCTCTCGAGGAGGAGGCTCATTAGGAAGGACCCAAGAAGATGATCTCAGGGTCTGGGTAGGTTCATATGGAAAGAGGCAGTCCTTGAGGTATTGCAGTCCTGAGCCATGTAAGACTTTATAGGTCAAAACCAGCACTTTGAATTGGGCCCGGAAACTACCGTATTTTTCGCTCTATAAGATGCACCAGACCATAATACGCACCTAGTTTTTAGAGAAGGAAAACAAGAAAAAAAAATATTCTGAATCTCAGAAGCCAGAACAGCAAGAGGAATCGCTGCACAGTGAAAGCAGCAATCCCTCTTGCTGTTCTGGCTTCTGTGATAGCTGCACAGCCTGCATTCGCTCCATAAGATGTACACACATTTCCCCATACATTTTAGGAGGGAAAAAGTGAGTCTTATAGAGCAAAAAATACGGTAATTGGTAGTCAGTGCAGTCAGGCCAGGATTAGCGTAATATGTTCAAAACGTCATGCCATGGTGAGTAACCTGGCTGCCCTGCACTAGCTGAAGTTTCTGAATCATCTTCAGAGACAGCCTTACATATAATGCATTGCAGTAATCTAACCTTGAGGTTACCAGAGCATAGACAACAGTAGTTAGGCTGTCCCTGTCCAGAGAAGGGTGCAGCTGGGCCTCCAGCCGAAGCTGATGGAAGGCACTCTGGGCCACTGAGGCCACCTGAGCATCAAGTGACAAGCAAAGGATCCAGGAGTACCCCCAATCTACGTATCCACTCCTTCAGAGGAAGTGAAGCCCCCTCAAGAGCAGGGCTCTGCCATGTGCACCTTACCCGGCCTGCTCCACCTCCCACACCACACCTCCCCCACCCGGCTCTCTTCTGCTCCCTCTTTCAAGGCACATCCCAAAGAGATCCCTGGTTTACACACAATCAAGTTAAAAACAGTTCAAAATAATAACAATAATTATTATTAACAGTTTATAATGTTTTAGATAGTTGGGGCCAAAACAACAAGACCGAAAGCAGCATAGCCCACTGCAAAAGTCTCCTTGGCCAGATGAAATTGTTGGACATTTTCCATATCTGCTATTGGGTCCTCTGAGCACAGATTCACACGAAGTGGCAACCAACCTTGCAGGATTCAACAGGATTTATGCATATGCAGAACAAAAGGTAGAGCGATAAGTTCGCAATCTGCACACCCCCGTCAGGGCGCGCCCACTTAAGACATTTGCAGAATACAATACCACCTGATTTCTGGGAAATCGAATGTTATAGCAACTTCCTATGTCCTTCCATGGGCTTGCCCCCCCCCTTCCTGCAATGGCCCCACCAGCCTCACCACGTCACGGCCACGTGCATTTCTGAGTCTGCTTATCTCTTTACAACCTTGAATTATAAACATTTGAGCCTGTTCCATCAATGCCAGCCTTGTTCTCCTGACAGACCTCTCCTTTCTCAGAAAGGCCGTTTTTTGGGGGGGGTTCTTATGGCCCTACAAAATAGGCTTGTCTGCCAGGCAGGGGGCAGGTCCTGCAATACTCAGCTGCGACAGTCCCAAAAATCTAATAGTAGGGCCCCAGGCACTAGAAGTAAGCATAATATTAAAGACAACCTCTGATCCCTAATCAAAACTGAGACTTGGTTTTCTCTTTAGACACTCATCTCTGGTCACCTGGAGCATCTGAGGAAAGAGAGAGAGAATATTCAGACTTATAAAGCAAACATTGGAAAGGAAAGCAATAGACTGCTTGTAAGTATCACCATTACTACAATGGGGAGATGTACTGGAAGGACCAAGTCAGGATGTAGAAATCCTGCAACAGAGAAGTTCTGACTGATTTGCCATAACATTTTACATTAAGGTCTTTCTAAAGACGCTTTCCTCCTCTTTTCCTTCTTCTTCCTGCTTCTTGCAGAAATCAACAGAAACTGAGAGGCAAAAGACCATGCAGAAGTTCAGACAACTGCACCAGTTTCTGGAAGAACAAGAAAAGCGTCTGCTGAATGAAATAGAAGAGATGGAGAAGGAGATCACAAGAAGAAGGGAGGAGCAGCTGGCTAGACTCTCAGCGGAACTCTCCTCTCTTGAAAGGAGCATCCGGGAAATGGAGGAGAAGAGTCAGCAGCCAGCGAGTGAACTCCTGCAGGTGAGACTGTGGCAGGAACAGCCCAAAGTTCCTCTCTCAGGGTTTAACCACACTTACCTTTTGCTGTACTCTTTCCAGGCACAGGGCAGTGCTTTCCCAGTCCCTACCCAAACTCTCCCCACCCCAGTTGTCCCCCCCCCCCAATTCCTCTTTAAAGCTGAAGCAGGACCAATGACAAATTGGGTTTTCTGTGCATTGTTGTTTGGCCCGATTCAGCTTTAAAGAGCAGGTTTTGACAGGGAAAGCTCCGTAGGAGGAAAAGGGGGAATTCTCGGACAAGGAGCTTTACAGGGTGGACCATGTTGGACCAAAGGGGGAGGGACAGAGAAGGAGGTCAGGTAGAATGGACTGCTGTCAAATGGGGCACAGAGTTGGGGCTTGCATCTCTGAGCAGGAATGTAGCGAAGGGAGGGCAAGGGGGGGGGGCTTAGCCCCAGGCCAGGCACCCCCTTGCAGGGATCCCACCCTGCCTGCTGCCAGGGGTCTTGCCACCACACCCCTGGCCCCCTCACGGAATGGCAGTGTTGGGGGGAATCACTAGCCAAGGGCTGCATCAGAAACCTGATATGAAAAGGTGGGGTAAGTTAGAATCATCTTGGTTAGATGATCCTTGAGAGCCAGTGTGGTGTAGTGGTTAAGAGCGGTAGTCTCGTAATCTGGTGAACCGGGTTCGTGTCTTCGCTCCTCCACATGCAGCTGCTGGGTGACCTTGGGCTAGTCACACTTCTTTGAAGTCTCTCAGTCCCACTCACCTCACAGAGTGTTTGTTGTGGGGGAGGAAGGGAAAGGAGAATGTTAGCCGCTTTGAGACTCCTTAGGGTAGTGATAAAGCGGGATATCAAATCCAAACTCTTCTTCTGCTGCTGCTTCTCTTCCTTGGAATCCCTTCCAACACTACAATTCTATGATTCTGTGAAAAGCAAAGATCAGTGCAATAAGCATGACAATACTGCCAAGGTTTTTGGTTTTGTTTCTTCCTCTTCCTCTCTTGGTTGACTTGAGGGAATTGAAAAGCTGACAGAAAAGTATGGATAATTTTATTTGGCAAAGTTAGTGTCCCAGAGTGGATAATGTTAATATGCAAACTGTCCCACAGAAGAGAGGATTGGCAGTACCTGATTTAGCTAAGTAGTGTGAAGCTGCTTGGCTAACTTTGTTAAAGTTAAAGATATCTCAGAAAAAGGAACTCTTTCAGTTGGAAGAGTTATCCATAAATTCCCCACTGGCCAAGATACTAGGGATACCTAGGAAAGACAGAGATCTCATGAATTTTCATCAGAACATTTAAAATAAAAAAGAACTGAAGACGGGAAAATAATGGAGAGAAACCAGAATTGTTAGATGCATCCATACCTATCCAAAACTTTGGCATATGCTAGGCAGATTCACCCCAGAGGGCATCCATTGCAGGGGCTGATGTGTCTTCATTACAGGGCCTGTGCTGGGCAGTGAATTCCATTCTGAGTTTCCTCTTTTCCCTTCTAGGATGTTAAAAGAACTTTGCAGAGGTAAGGGGATCTTGCTCATCTCCAGTAATATCACTCCCTGAAACTTCACAGGTAAACTGGGAAAGAATATAATATAATGTGGAATAGAAATGAAATGAATGATAATGATAATGATAATGATAATGGTAATGGTAATGATAATGATAATGATAATGATAATGATAATGATAATGATAATGATAATGATAATACTTCACAGTATCTAGATTTGCCACACCATCAGCTAACTCTGTGATGGTTGCCCCACTCAGTCCCACACAGACACCTGTCCCATGGACCATCTGTGGAACTATTCCACAGAGTCCCACACAGTTACCTGTCACCTGTGGGGCTAAAAACGGAGAGCAGGAGTTGGGGTGTTTGCCATGCTCCTGAACATATCCCAGCTGCAATATGTAACTTCAAGGTGTCACTTGGGTTCATGATAAGAGGATGATGTTGTGTAGTCGTGTCCGACTCTTCGTGACCCCATGGACCAGAGCACGTCAGGATAGAAGGAACATTTCACTTTTGTCAACAACAGCAACCATCTTTATCTCCTCCACATCTTTCTTGCATGTTGTAGGCAATGCAGCTGAAATGGAAAAACTCTGAGCTGGATGGTATCACTTGATTTCATTTTATTTCTCCATTTGAGTAGATGTAAGTGAAGAGATTCAGACAAAGGCCTCTTCTTTGGCCCTCAGTTGTCTGGCTTTGGAGTCCCTAGTAAGGAGAAATCTTCCCCCTTCTGTGACTCCATTCCTCTGTCTCTCCCTCTTGGCTTTCTACAGTTTCTTTCCTCCTCTCAATTCCTTTCTTTTGCTGCACTCAGAAATTCTGGATTTGAAATGGGTTAACATGTATTTTTCCCATCAGGTGTGAGCGAAGCGGGACATCTGAAAATCCACTGACTTTCCCACTAGAATTGAAGAGGAAGATCTCAAAATTCAGGGCTGCAATTCCCATTCTATATCTTGGGGAGGAAAAAATAAAAGGTAATGAAGAATGGCTGCAGGGATTTTATTAGTCCAAAATATGTTATGAAGTAAAACTTTTGTTGCGAAATTATTTGAGTTATAAAAGTCTAGCTATCAAACTTTATATCTCTTTGCTTCTTCAGATGATCTGTTACCCAGACTGCTTCAGAAAGGTAATTTTTGGGTGAAGGAGCAAATTCAAGGTGAGGTTGGGGACTGGTATTTCATGATTGGACTGTTAATTGGCACTTTTGCTCTATTCCAAAACCCCATATTTATTTGAATGTAATGTGCACTGTTGAGGACACGGATGGCCCTGTGGGTTAAACCATAGAGCCTAGGACTTGCCGATCAGAAGGTCGGCTGTTCGAATCCACGTGACGGGGTGAGCTCCCGTTGCTCAGTCCCTGTTCCTGCCAACCTAGCAGTTCGAAAGCACATCAAAATTCAAGTAGATAAATAGGTACCGCTCCAGCGGGAAGGTATATGGTGTTTCCGTGCGCTGCTCTGGTTCACCAGAAGCAGCTTGGTCATGCTGGCCACATGACCCGGAAGCTGTCTGCGGACAAACGCCAGCTCCCTCCGCCAATAAAGCGAGATGAGCGCCGCAACCCCAGAGTCGGTCACGACTGGACCTAATGGTCAGGGGTCCCTTATCTTTTTAACTCATGTTTACATTACCATGATTAAAATCAAGCATTAGCAGGATATCAAATTACATAGGAAACACTCTCCAAAATAAAATAAGAATGTATTCAGTTCCTCTTTATGATTTTCTTGCAGTCACACCTTTGGGTTCTGTGCCTATGCAGAGCCGAGGGTTGCTATAGAAAGGACCATTTTTGGTGGGGACTCCATCTTGCAGGCAAATATACTATAAACACAGCAAAATTATATATTTGTTTTTCAATATTATTATTATTATTATTATTATTAATTTATATCCCACCTTTTCCCCTGACTTATGGATAAAAATAAGAACAGCTAAAAACATAGGGTGCAAAGCAATAACGTAAAGCAATCTTATTTTCATTTTTTACCAATTAAAACTATTATATTTAAATTTTGTCCTTGATGTGCTATAAAGTGCTGGATTCAGTCTCTGCACAGCTAGTTTCAAAATGCTTAGATATAAAAATGCAGGTGTATTTTCAGGAAGGGAATTAGTTAGGTTGCCTACATTGATTTATTTTCTCTAATTTCAGTGTATGCCTCTGAAAGCCCCAAATGGGCAATTCACACAGAGAGATTCAAAGGAGGACCATTTTTCTCCTCTTGCCCCCATCCATCCCTCCTCCCCTTCACTGCATAGAAGAGCTGAGGGAATATTTTCTGGGCTATTTTGCTTCTTGAAGGGTGACTGAATTGACAGGAGGGACACGATAAAATATGTTGAGTAAAATGGGACAAAAATAAGTATTTAAAAAGCCACAGGGAAGGTATTTATTCTGAGGTTAGTCTGGGAGAAAGAGGGGAGGGTCCCAATCCTGAATGGAACGTGAGGAATCCCCATTTATCTGAGAGGGAATCTACTTCTTCTTGGTGTTATTTTGGATCAGGATGTCCGTCTCTGACTCTTGGCTGATTCTGTCTCTCTTCTCTTTTCCTCATCTTCTCTCAACAGCAAATGTCACTCTGGATCCAGACACAGCCCATCCCTGCCTCATCCTGTCCGAGGATCAGAAAAGCGTGAGAAGGGAATACAAAGATGAAGACCTGCCTGACAGTCCTGAGAGATTCAGTGACCGGCCTTGTGTGTTGGGATGTGAGGGATTCACTGCAGGCAGCCATTTCTGGGAAGTCACTGTGGTAAATGAGGGAGAGTGGTGGGCTGTGGGGGTCGCTAGGAAGTCTGTGGAGAGAAAGGGCTTCTTCTCTTTAAGCCCTGAGGAAGGAATCTGGGTTGTGGGGAAGTGGAGGTATAAGTACAAAGCCTTAGACTCCTGTCATTCCTCTCTATCACTGAATGAGGAGCCCAAGAGGATCCGAGTGACTCTGGAATATGAAGAAGAACGTGTGTCTTTCTTCAATGCTACCTCAGGAACCAAACTCTACACTTTCTCAGGAGCCTCATTCTCCGGAGAGACCCTCGTCCCCTTCTTTTTTCTATTTGGAGATGAAACCCACTTAAGTGTTATGTACTGAAGTTCTCACCCTGGGCCAGCAGGGGGATACTGTAGATAGTTTTCACTCAGGTCTGCATATACAAATAAGGAATTGAAAGTGACGTTCAGTGATTGGATATAATGTCCAATGACTAAGCCATTTCTCACCTTCTCACCCCTTGCCTTTTCCTGTAAGACCTATTACAGTCGTTAAGAGTCGTCAACAGGCTCATCTCAGCTATCTGCCAATCTCCCATTCCCACCACCCTTCTGAGTAATACCCCTCCCCACCTTCTCACTATATAGAAGGATCTGGCAACTTCTGTTTCAGTGTATCTGAAGAAGTGTGCTTGCACACGAAAGCTCATACCAAGAACTAACTTAGTTGGTCTTAAAGGTGCTACTGGAAGGATTTTTTTATAGTGATTGGATAGTTACAGAAAGTTGTTACTTTGCTTTGTAGTTGAGCTCTATATAAGCAGGTTGGCTGAACCCTTCAGTTCAGTTCTGTTCTGGCCTGTGAATAAATAAGAGCTGTCTGAAGAATCGCTGTGTCATCTGTTATGTTCACGCACAACTTAACACTTAGGATCTCTAGTTAAGAGCAGAATTGACATCTTTGCAGATGCCCTGTGAAAGGAGTCATTCCAGTTACACTTGGAGGAAACAACAAAACAACACCTGGGATTTAATTTTCCCTTTCCTTTCCCAGAATTCCCTCTACAGCGGAGTCCTTAAAGAGAGGGAAACATTTTAACTGTCCCAATAAACAATCTATTCCTCCAAAGAATTCACTCACCACCCCCTGCAATCCTGGTTCTGTTCTCCCCATCTCCACACTTCCTCAAAGAGAAATCTCACTGAATCCAGAGTTGATGGGAGTTGTAGTCCAGCAACTTGGCTATGTCTGCCCTTTATAATCCACATGGTGTGTTCCCTTTGGCCCCCACCCTGGATGTGAGATGCTCCCCCAAAGAGGGTCTTTTCAATAGGACCTGCATCTTCCTCCCCCCACCCCCCAGGGGTGCCACAGCAGGTGCTGCAATATTAGGCAAAACTGCACACAATTGTGTATATGATGAGAAATTCTTACTATAATCCTAATAAATTTTCACAAGGACTTAAAAACAATTACAAACTGGTTTGGAAATGAGGAAAACTGGAGAGAAAACAAAATTGGGTGGTTCAGCCATCCCTGGCCAAAATTTTGGTGGGTGCTAGACAGACTGACCCTAGAAGGCCAGACTGCAACCATTCCAGGGTCCGAGGGGTTTTCACACTGGAGCCTGTGGTAGGCAGTGAATTCCTTCTTCTTTCTCTCTTTCCCCCTCTAGGATGTGAGAAGCATCTTGCAGAGGTATGTGGGTCATGCTCATTTTCATTAGCCTTGAACCTGGGGAGCCTTGAGGGGGCAAGCACCTAAAACCTGGCTCTCCCCGGGCTCCTGTGGAGAGACTGCAGGAGCCCACACCAGGGTCTCTGTTGGCGAGGGATTTTTGGAGGATGCCCCTCAGTTTCTTCTCCATTGCTCCCTGCATAGAGCCCCTTAGAATTCCTTCTCACAGGCTCTCTTGTATAAGATTCTAGAATACCCCCTTGAAAATGTATTGAGTTACCTACTGGGTAATAGCCTTTACCTGTGTGGATTGTACATTCTTTTGAAATTCCCTGGAAAATTAGGGAGACTCCATGCCAACCTTTAAACAAAGGTTGTTGCCAAATTAACTAGTGTCATTTCCACTATCACATTGGGTTTTACTTAAGTAATCTGTATAATCTTGTTTTGTAATGATCTGGCTCTTGACAAATAAATTTGATTTTGCTGTATTTCTGTGGAAGGACTGGCTCAGGCTTTGAGAATTGTGGCTCTATGGCAGAAGATACTTATGTTCACAAAGCAAAATACCACCAAGCTCAGGTGCGCTTATTCAGGTGCCACTAGAAGAAAATGTTTGTACGCCCACACAAGAAGAGAAAGTGACTTTCTCTGGAGAAACTGATGCCTTGATTCCTATCTAGACTGGCCACTGTTGTCACTCTAGGAGCAAACGTACGATGTCTGCCCCACTCAGTCCCCTATGGGGCTTTTCACAAGAGACCAGAAGTTACTGAACATATCCTAGATGCAATATGTAACTTCAATGTCTTCCTCAGCTTCATGACAGAGGATATCAGGAGCATTTGACTTTTACCAGCAGCAACAAATTTATGATAATTTTTATTGAAATTTTCAGTTTCATATCCACCATTATGATACATTCATTGACATCCCTTCTTCTCCTTCCATGGTTCTTTTAATTTTCCCATTATTAAGACATATTCTATTACAACCTTTCTATATTACCTGATTTTACTTTATACTGTTGAATTTACCTTAATCCAATAATAATAATAATAATAATAGTAATATAATTTTTTACCCCACTCATCTGGCTGGGTTTCCCCATCCACTCTGGGCGGCTCTCAACAAAACACTCAAAACAAGGTAAAACATCAAGCATTAAAAACTTCCCTAAACAGGGCTGCCTTGAGATTTATTTTAAAAGTCAGGTAGTTCTTTATCTCCTTGACATCTGAAGGGAGGGTGTTCCACAGGGTGGGCGCCACTACTGAGAAGGCCTTCTTTCTGGTTCCCTGTAACCTCACAGTGAGGGAACCACCAGAAGGCCCTCCTGCTAGCATTTTCACTTGTTTACATTTACAAATATGGATGGTTGCTAATTGTAAAAATTAAAAACCACAGCCATCCTCTTCTACACACATCTTCCCTTGGGCACATGGATTTTCTTGAAGCAGCCTCTGTTGCTCCATGACGTCAATGACTTTGTTTATTTTATTAATTTCTGAGAGTATTCTCACATTGCCCTCTCATAAAACATCCTGGTAGTATGCAACAATATGAGCATTAAAAACAAAATAATAATTGAAGCAATACTCTGGAAACTTTTAAGCAACTGCATAGGGTTGTAAGCCTGCTTGCATGCACACACAAATCATGTGAGCACTGAGAATCTGAGCGATTTCCAGGAAGGAAACGCCCAGTGAGTGAAAACTGAGAAAGTGAAACTAAACTCCGTCTCTCCGCCATGGCTGCTGCTGAGAGCCCCGTGAAGGATCTCTGCGATGAAGCCACTTGCTCCATCTGCCTGGAGTATTTCAAGGATCCAGTGACCATCGCAGAGTGCGGACACAACTTCTGCCGGTCCTGCCTGATCCAGTGCTGGGGAGGGGGAGCCACACGAGCTTCCTGCCCTCACTGCAGACAAACAGTCCGGCCAAAGAATCTGATCCCCAATCGGCAGCTGGCTAACTTTGTGGAAATAACCAAGAAGCTCAGTCTTCGGGGGGAGAAGGAGAGAGTCTGTGAAAAACACAAGGAGCTTCTGAAGCTCTTCTGCAAAGACCACGAAACCCCCATCTGTGTGGTGTGTGACAGATCCAGGGAGCATGAACGGCACAAAGTGATCCCCCTGGAGGAGGCTTCTGAGGAGTACAAGGTAGGAAATCAAGGTGGATCTTGATTGGGGCGCGGGGGGGGGGGGGAATAACTGTGGATTCATTGAGGCTATAATGCTTCTGAACACCAGTTGCATGAATACTACTTACATGACTGATGTTTGTTATGTAAATTGCATGACAACTACTCCCCCCCCCCACCTCCCAATTCAGATCCAAGATGGTAAAAGCCCAGAAAGGTGAGGGCAGATTTCAGAAACTAGAAGCTAGGTATCAGATATCAAAGATTAGAACATCAGAGCAATTGCTACATAAAAAGGCTAATATCAGGACCACTGGCCACTAGAAATAGGCAGTATATTCAACACCTCTGTGTGTTTGTGCGTGTCCGTCTGTGTGTCTGTGTCTGTCTCATTCAAACCTGAGCTTTTGTTTTCCCTTTAGGGCTTGATCTGTAGCTGCCTGAAGAATCTGAGGAAAGAGAGAGAAACTATTCTGGCATACCAAGCAGATGTGGAGGAGAAAATCCAAGACATCCTTGTAAGTGTCGCTATTAATAGGATAGGAAGAAGTACTTGAAGATCCGAGTCATGGCTGAGGAGGGATGGGAAAATCTGTCTATTTAAGCTTCGCTCCATTTCTCATTTTTCCAATCTTCAGTTCAGTTCTACACAATTTCCACATCAGTTTGCGTGCTGTTGTTGTTTTTTTAAAAAACCATCCTAAATAAAATTCACCAGTATTCTAGTGCGAATTTCCATGTGTGTTCTATACTTATTTTGGCAAAGCAATTTCCCCTAATATACAGTGGTGCCTCGCAAGACGAAATTAATCCGTTCCGCGAGTATCTTTGTCTAGCGGTTTTTTCGTCTTGCGAAGCAACCCTATTAGCGGCTCAGCGGATTAGCACTATTAGCGGTTTAGCGGCTATTAAAGGCTTAGCGGTTTAGCGGATTAGCTGCTAAAAGGCTATTAAAGGCTTAGCGGCTTAGAAAAAGGGGGGAAGCGGGGAAAAAATCTCAAGACTCGCAAGACGTTTTCGTCTTGCGAAGCAAACCCATAGGGAAATTCGTCCTGCGAAGCGCATTGAAAACGGAAAACCCTTTCGTCTAGCGGGTTTTCCGTCTTGCGAGGCATTCGTCTTGCGGGGCACCACTGTAATTCATTTTCTATATTATTTTCATGAAGAAATGCCTTATAAAGCAGGGAATCAGCAGCCCTTCGACTTTAAAATAAACATGTTAGTTAGTCTCTACCATTTCTATGAAATGAAAGTTGCCAGTCTAAACTAAGGAAAGAGCGTTTTGTGTCCACGGGGACTGGCTGAACATTTTTTATCTCTGATTATGGTGGATGTTGATTTCATGCCTAGAAACAGTCAGACATGCCCTTCCTATGGAAATCTCATAACACTCCTAATGTTGTAGAAGCTGACCAAGTTCTTATTTCTGCCTCCTCTTTTCCTCTTTCTATCTGCTTCTTGCAGAAATTAACAGCAACTGAGAGGCAGAAGGCAGTGGAGAAGTTCAGACAACTGCACCAGTTTCTGGAAGAGCAAGAAAAACAACTACTGAATCAGATTGAAGAGGCGGAGAAGGACATTGCAAGGAAAAGGGATGAGCACCTGACCAGACTCTCCGGAAAACTCTCCTCTCTTGAAAATATCATCAAGGAGATGAAGGAGAAAAGTGAGAAGCCAGCGATTCAACTCCTGCAGGTAAGACTGTGGCAGAAACAGTAAATAGCTCCACATCAGGGCAAGGTTCCCTGCAAACCTTTATCTTCCTCCTTCATCCGTAAAGGGGCTCAGTTTATAGTGTCTCTAATCAAGTCTCTTGTGTACAGGAGCATCCAAGAGAACTGGGATGGTTTGCTCACATTACTGCAGACTAGAGAACCTAATTTTCTGTTGATGGAAACAGATGCTGTTTTCTGCCTTTTGCTGAGGATTTGCCTGCTAACTCCTTCCAGCCTGGCAGTGCTGCCTTTGTGCCCTGTGTTGATCTTCCCAGAGGCTGTTCTCTGGCTACCTTAGAGCTAAAGAAAAATAAAGTTAAGGAGAAGTCTCTCTCTCTCTCTCTCTCTCTCTCTCTCTCTCTCTCAGTTCTGTACTGGCATTTGGGCCTATTTTAGTCATGAGCTAGTCTCTTGACCAAAGTTTTCTTCTATTCCACACCACAGTTTCTGGGGTAATCACCTTCACCATGCATGTAGATTTGCCTAAAACGGAGCTCAGTAACATTGACCAAAGAAAGAGAGAGATAGAGAAGTTGGGCAGCATGGACTGTCGTCCGATGGGACACAGAGCAGGGCTTGAATTTCGGAACTTAAAATTGGAAAAATAAAATTGATAGAATGGGCCAGAGGGCATCCATTCCAGGATATGAAGAGGGTCTTCGTACAGCGGCCTGTGGTAGACAGTGAAATCCATTCTCTTTTCCCTTCTAGGACATGCGAAGGACTTTGCAGAGGTAAGTGGATCCTGCTCATTTTCATTAGCATCACTGTGTGGAAAGGAAGGTCCCAAGAGGAAAGTAGATGGAAACTGGTCTTTGAGGGCCTCCTGGGGGAGAGACTGTGGGATGCCACACCATACAGTGTTGAAATTGTGCCCCTCTAGGGGTGGGAAAGAAAAAGCGTTGAGACATTTCATCCTTGTTGAGAGTTTGGGTGCGAGTTGTGCCTGGCAGGTTTTTAATGTAGGTATCTACTAGCTGGGGATGCAGGTGGCGCTATGGGTTAAACCACAGAGCCTAGAACTTGCCAATTAGAAGGTTGGCGGTTTGAATCCCCGCAACAGGGTGAGCTCCCATTGCTCGGTCTCTGCTCCTGCCAACCTAGCAGTTCGAAACACGTCAAAGTGCAAGTAGATAAATAGGTACCGCTCTGGCGGGAAGGTAAACGGCGTTTCCGTGCGCTGCTCTGGTTCTCCAGAAGCGGCTTAGTCATGCTGGCCACATGACCCGGAAGCTGTACGCTGGCTCCCTTGGCCGATAAAGCGAGATGAGCGCCGCAACCCCAGAGTCGGTCACGAGTGGACCTAATGGTCAGGGGTCCCTTTACCTTTACCTATTTACTAACTGATAGCATTTAAACATTGGGGAGATGTTTTAGCCATAGAGATTTAGGGAATCTGATGAAATCCTAGACGCTCTTGTGGATTTTAGGGCTGGCACGGCTGACACTCTTGTCAAGGATCCCATCACACACTGGAATGGCGAGATGTGCAAAACCTCCTCTACTCTGTGCCCCGTTGTTTTTCTTCACCAGGTATGAGCAAAGAGAGAGATTGGAGAATTCAGCTGCTTTCCCTCAAGAGCTGAAGAGGGGGATCTTGGAATTTTGTGACATAAATCCACTTCTGGAGGGTGTTGTGAAGCAATTCAAAGGTATAGAAGAATGGCTGTGATGATTTTACCCCGGGTGTTATATTAGGCCATAGCTCTCATTGTATTCTGTTTTGGCCACAGACAGGGTAGCACAATCATCTCTTCCTTCTTGGTGGCATTGCTGCCACTAGCTTCCCCCAGAATGCCCCATATACATTGGCTGATTGACATCCAATGCCCTTTTGAAATGTGTTGGGGTTATTGGGTTGTTTTTGTTTTTGTCTTGATTTTGAGTTTTTATACTGTGTTTTTATCTTATGAACAGCTCTGAGACCTAAGGGTATACGGCGGTATACAAATTTAATAAATAATAATACTAATTGTCACTCATGGGGCACAGGGGTGCTGGTGGGAGATATATAGTGGTGCCTCGGGAGTTGAATGGAATCCATTCAACTTCCAAAACATTTGGAAACCAAAGCGCAGGAAACTCCTGCAGTCAATCATAAGCCGCAGAAGCCCCATCAGACGTTCAGGTTCCAAAGAATGTTCACAAACACACTTACTTCTGGGTTTGCAGTGTTTGGGAGCCAAAACGTCCAAGTACCAGGGTGTTTGGGATCCAAGGTACGACTGTATAGTGGTACCTCGGGATGCGAACGGGACCCATTCCGGAGCCCCGTTCGCATCCTGAAGAGAATGTAAGACACAACTGTGTGGGTCACATTTTGCCACTTCCGCGCATGCGCGTGACGTCATTTTGACCATCTGCGCAAGTGGCAAAACCCGGAAGTAACGCTCTCTGTTACTTCCAGGCCGCTGCGGAGCGCAACCCAAAAATACTTATTCTGAAGCACATTTATCCCGAGGTATGACTGTACTGTATCTTGGCCACCGCAAATAAAGGCACCAGGGTCTATAGTAAAGCCAGGATTTTCTACTCTGCTGTTCATTGGTTTACAATTATACAGTAACTTCCTTTCATTTTTTTGCCCATCAACACAATCTGGAGAGGTCCTTTTGGAGGTTCTCAAACTCTGCTTGGGTTTTACCATCTGGAAGTAACATCCTGAGCCATCTCCTCCTTAGATTTCCACCTGCAGCTGCCAAATGTAGGGAGGCAACCATCTTAATACCTCAAGAGTTCAACTAAATAAGATTGGCGACTTAAGTTGACAGAATATGCACAACTTGCAGGCTTAACATATAGAATAAGAGAACAAGAAGAACGTACGTTTAGAGAAGATTGGGAAACATTTATTGAATATATGGGAAATAAATGTGTACAGCTGAAAACTCTGGCAGCATTAAGATAAATTCAACAGTGTAAATAAGTTTTGATGGATGTAATAATGGAAAACTGATTGGTATAGTTTTTGTAAAATATGCAGGGATATATGTAAATTGAACCATGGAAGTAGAAGAAGGGAATTCCTTGATATCTTAAGTATGTAAAATGTTTATCTGAAATTGTAAAACAGAAAATTTAATAAAAAAAATTTTTAAAAATAATACATCAAGAGTTCCCAAAATCTTGCAAGATCGGAGGGTCAGGGCATGAATAATAACAGCCTCTGCCTAAATGTTTGTTAACAGTCTGAAATAATTTCAAAAGTTTGGTAAGGCAGGACCTCTAGTTGCATGAGAGCTCTGCTGATTTTTCCTCCACTGTAGGGGTCAGATGGGATTACCATGAGGAATTATAAAATATACATCAAGCCATCGTGTCCACGATGAAAGCATTGTGTTGACTGGGTTTGATATATTGACGATAATTTCTGATTAAATCCCATAAGATTCTACATTCATGCCCTTTTCATGCCCTTTTGACTCTACTGCCCATTTCTCTCTCCTCACGTCACGTACACAGCAGTTGCTTCGCTAGGCAGGCATCCTGGGCCATAAAAGATAGTGGGCAAGTTCTTTGATGTAGTTTCTTATATATAATCTTAAAATGTTAATCTTGGAGCCAGGAAAAGGATCTCACATGAAGGTGGTAGTGATCTGGTCTTTCTGGCCATCCTCCTTATTATGTGTATTGATTGTTTATTACCTCCGGGGGTTGCCAGATACTCTTCTTTGTAGTTCTCAACTTATTTACCCCAGAAATATTTGTGCTTAATTAGTTTTAGTAGTTTAACTTGTCCCCACGTGGGTTTGTGGAAATGCTCAGAAGAAATCTGATTGGTTCTTACGAACACACTGTAAAAAGTTCTTTTGTGAATAAAAACGGCCTGGGCCAGGTGCTGCGGAGAACGGACAAGCACAGAGAGACACGATTATACGCACCCTTCCCAGAGTCTTGCTGGTTCAAGTCTCTGTGTGTATTCTTATTAATCAGAGTTCAATCCTTCCTTTACTTTGCAAACGCAACACTCCACAAGTTTGATATATCACTATGTTTAACAGTTCCCCTAAGACAGGGATAAACCCCAAGAATACAGGTGTCTAACCATTCCAACTTCAGCTATTTTTTCACCAGTTTCATAGGAGCAGATGCTAATCTGCATCCAGTTGTCCTCTGTGCCCTTTTAAAAGATTGGCATTGTTCTGATGATCCTTCAGTCCTCCACAACAGTCAGCTAATTCAGGAACGAACTACAGTGATGGATGCTGAAGGATTTTAAGGTGTTTTTTAATATAGTCCCTCACATGTTTTTCCCCTCTAGACTTGCAGGTTCGCCTTTTCTGATTTTGATAGTTTAATTTTTTTAATCTATTCTTCATATGATTTCCTTTTTCTTTTTTTAAATTGTTTGCTCTACTACTTAGTATTAAAGACACAATAGATGCTATGGTTATGAAATGATATTTTAGTAACAAGGTTTATTTGAGGTACAACACTGTCATGCTAAAGCTTTGTATCTTTTTGCTTCTTCAGATGCCCAGTTACTCAGACAGCAGCTTTGGAAAGGTAAAATACCAAATTCACAGGAGAGCCTGGGGAGTGGTGTTTCATGGGGCTTAAACAGCCTGTCCTGCAGACTTTAGATCCATCAATAGTTTTGTAGCACTATAGCAATGTTTAGATTATTCATATGTACAACTGTAGTTTTTACTTTTTGTATGTTTTAAATTACTGTTGAAATCTTTTTTAGCGATAATTTTATTTTATCTTTTTTTGTAAACCAGTTTGAGGTATTTTAAAGTGGTACATAATTTTTTGTGAAATAAATAAATTAATTAAACAAAAAATGCACAGAATAAAAGGAGTGCCCTGACAGATATAGCATTAATCCTGTAATAAGATTCAAAACGCAATAAGGTTCAAAACACCACTACATTTCTTACACAGAAAAGTCACCTTGTAGAAAGCTCAGTTGCAAATTATGAAGTCAAAATTCACTATTGTTTTCATAATTATTGATCCACATTGATACCCCTAATTCTGTCTCCACTTGAGCCAGAATTAACTGATGGGTCTAAACTGATACTGTCCCCTCCTCTAACCATAATGAGGAAATAAAGATTTTATGGCTGTTCGCTGCTTACCTGCTTGCCCCCTTGCAGAAATCCAAAATGGTGAAAGTGGATGAATTCTCCCCACCCCTAAACTCACATATTCCACTCTTCTCTCATACAGAAAAGCCGAGTAAATGTTTTCCAGACAGTTTTCCTCCTTGTCCCAAACTACCAGGACAGAATATAAATACGTGAAATACAAAGAACAAACCCCTGATTTGAAATCCAAAAGGAAATGTTTTTATTGTGAGCAAAGTCAGGAAGCAAAAGATGGCTCCCCCAATCCTAAATGCAGTGCCAGGAAATCCTGTTGATTTGAGAGGGAATGTGCTTCCTGGGGTGTTTCTTGGATCACGACACCAGGTGATTCTTCCTCTCTTCTCTTTTTCTTCATTGCCCCCCTGCCCTTCAACAGCAAACATCACTATGGGTCAAAAAGCAGCAGCTCATCCCTCCGAGGATCGTAAACATGTGAAATGCGGACACAAAAGTCAAGACCTGTTGAACAATCCTGAGAGACTCAACCTTCTCCATTCTGCGCTGAAATGTAAGAGATTCACAGGAGCCACATTTTGGGGAAGGATGGGCTGTGGGGAGTTGGGAGGTGAGTACAGGACCTCCAACCTGCCTGGTGGTCCTCTGCTGTCCCTGAATGGGAAGCCCAACTGAATCTGAGTAACTCTGAATTATGGAGGGAAGGTGTTTTTATTTAATGCTGATCTGTGCATTTTCATTCTCTGGTGTGACTCTCCCCCCCCCCCCCCACACACACTTTGACTGTGGAGAAATAAAACCCACCTCATATTTGCTTAAGTCTTATAGATTTGAGAGGGAAACTGGTTCCTGGCATCTGTCTTGGATCAGAGGTCCTTTGGCTGGATCAGGACAATATGGGATTGGGGGGGCAACTCCCATCTCTTGCGGGGGTGCAATTAGTGCCAGCACCATCCATTAAGAGTTTGGGTGTAATCTTCGACACCTCCCTTTCCATGGAGGTGCAGATTGCAGCTATAGCAAAGGCGGCATTTTTTCATCTCCACCAAGCTAAGCAGTTGGCTCCTTACCTTTCTCGTCGTGACCTAGCCACTTTGATCCACGCGACGGTCACCTCCAAACTTGATTTTTGTAACTCACTCTACATGGGGCTGCCCTTGAGACTGACCCAGAAACTCCAGCGTGTGCAGAATGCTGCAGCGAAACTCCTTACGGGGTCCTCGCTGCGGGATCACATTCACCCGGTGCTATACCAGCTGCACTGGTTCCCGGTGGAGTACAGGATCAGGTTTAAGGTGCTGGTTTTAACCTTTAAAGCCCTATACGGCCTAGGACCCTCGTACCTACGGGACCGCCTCTCCTGGTATGCCCCACAGAGAAACTTACGGTCTTCAAATAAAAACATCTTGAAGGTCCCAGGCCACAGAGAAGTTAGGCTGGCCTCAACTAGAGCCAGGGCTTTTCGGCTGTGGCCCCGATCTGGTGGAACGCTCTGTCACAAGAGACTAGGGCCCTGCGGGACTTGACATCTTTCCGCAGGGCCTGCAAGACAGAGCTGTTCCACCAGGCCTTTGGCCAAGGCACAGTCTGACCCCCTCCTTTGGTAATCCTCACAGAACTCTAGCCCAATGGTTGCCATTAACTGATTCTGAATTGTTTTTAGAATGAATTGATTTTAGAATGTATTTCAATTAATTGATTGTGATTTTATGTAAACTGTGTTATTTTTACTGTTGTTAGCTGCTCTGAGCCCAGCTTTGACTGGGGAGGGCGGGATATAAATAATAATAATAATAATAATAATAAGGATCTCTGTCTCAGCTCATTCTGCCTCTCTTCCCTTTTCCCCACCTTCCCTCACAACAGCAAATGTCACTCTGGATCCAGACACGGCTAATCGTATTCTTGCCCTCTCCGAGGATCGCAAAAGCGTGAGGTTGGGAGCCCCGCGTCAAGACCTGCCCGACAACCCTGAGAGATTCGACACAGTTATTTCCGTGCTGGGAAGGGAGGGATTTGAAGCAGGCAGACATTTTTGGGAGGTCATTGTAGAAAGAGAGGGAGAATGGGCAGTGGGGGTCACCAGGAAGTCATTGAGGAGAAAGGGCTCCTTTCACTTAAGTTCTGAGGAAGGGATCTGGGCTGTGGGGAGGTGGGGAGGAGAGTACAAGGCCTTTGACCCGCCTGATGTCCCTTTTCTCTTCCTGAGAGGGGAGCTCAAGAGGATCCAAGTGTTTCTGAATTATGAAGCAGGGGAAGTGACTTTTCTCAACGCCGATTCAGGAGCCCCTCTCTACACGTTCTCAGGAGCCTCATTCTCTGGAGAGACCCTCCTCCCTTTCTTCTATCTGTGGGGAGAGAAAACCCACCTCAGAATAGCCTGAGGAGACAACTGCATCACACGCTCAGGCAGAGTTTCTTTCCAGACCGGAATGGTTGCTCTATAAAGCAAACACTTATTAGCAGTTGAGGGAGGATTCACTTCAGTCACAATTGGTAGAAATAGCAAAAAGGGGTTTCGCTTTTTCATTCCATTCCCCACTATCATTTAGTTCTTAAGGAGGCCATTTACACTTAACAGTACCCTGAAATCTGTTTTTTAAAGGTGTTCAGCTTCCATCACTGTCAGTCCTGGGTTCAATTTTTCCCTCTCCACCTGCCCACAAGACCGCCACCAGCAATTTAGATGCGGACATTATTATACTACTGGAGTTGATCACTACAAAATAATCCCTCCTCCGACGATGTTGTGGTTGCTCATTGCTTTTTAGACCTCAGACAGGAAGGAAATGAAGAGAGGCAAGGCGCCATCCTCAGCCCATTCGGTGAACACAGTTTCTCCTGTCCACACTTAACAAGGTACATTTCCTTGAATTCATTATAACTTCCTCCTAGCTAATTGCACATAAGATTGCTGCCTTAATGTTTTCCAGTAAAATAGGTTCTCTTTATCATGAGTAGTCAATTTGTTATTATTTTTTGTTAAATTTATACATTGCTTGATTGTGCAAAATAAGCAGTTTACAAATGTCTGATGTCTCTGGCCTCCTGCTCTCATCAGCCCTAGCCAGCTTGGCCAGGGGTCAGGCTGCAGCATGATGGGAACTGCAGTCAAGCAGTTTCTTGAAGGAACCACACTCCCTACAATTCACATTGAGACCTCTGCGGCATAGCTGTCAACGTTTCCCTTTTTTTTAAAAAAGGGAAATTCACTTATTCCGAATAGGATTCCTCGCAAGAAAAGGGAAGAGTTGACAGCTATGCTCTGTGGTAACCCCCCCCCCCCGATTTATGGGATGCTCCCCAAAGAAGAAATTTTTGCCCCCAGGTAAACTTCCTTGTTCTCCTAGACTTTTTAATCATACTAGTTTAATACATCCTAATTCTTAGAAATTTTTTGTGTTTCTTCTTGCTGGATTTTAGTGTGGATTTTCTTGTTGTTATTCATCTTGTGTTGCTTCTTATGGAGCTTACTTTATGCTGGTTATTTTTAGTTGACTGAATTTGTATTTTGTATGTTTGTTGATAGTATTTGTACTTCATTTTCCAGAGTGTGCACTTTATTGACAGGCTTATTGAGAGCAATGGTAGAAAAGATTTCTGTGAACTTCATCATTCAAATGAATAAAAGCATATTTCTTGGGGGAGGGGATTCTTTCCAACTCTTAGGGGGCGGACCGCCCTGGGTGTCATCCCTGTGGGGAGTGACAAAAATATTAGTTTTAATTTTTTTTAAAAAAAATGGGCTCACGACTGAACTCACAGTTCAGTCAACAAACGTAATGAAATGTGGCTGACACTGGGCGCCACACTGCCGGGGCCAGTGCTTACTGCGGGGCCTGCAGCATGCCCAAGCCAGGCGTCTCTCCTGGGAGTGACGTTGTGGCTAGAGTGCCTGCAGGCTCCGCGCTGCCTGAAACGGCAGAATAGAGAGGCTATGGAACAATGCAGCTTAAATATTTGTGACTTCATTTGTTCACAACCATCCCATGTTACTATTCATCTGCTCCCCCACAATAAAAAAATAAAATAAATAAACTCCTAGGAGTAGGGAACTTTTTTATAAAATAAAAACGCTTGCATTTCCTTGACAAAGGTAAAGGTAAAGGGACCCCTGACCATTAGGTCCAGTCGTGGCCGACTCTGGGGTTGTGGCGCTCATCTCGCTTTATTGGCCGAGGGAGCCGGCGTACAGCTTCCGGGTCATGTGGCCAGCATGACTAAGCCGCTTCTGGGTTTACCTTCCCGCCAGAGCGGTACCTATTTATCTACTTGCACTTTGACATGCTTTCGAACTGCTAGGTTGGCAGGAGCAAGGACCCAGCAACGGGAGCTCACCCCATCACGGGGATTCGAACCGGCGACCTTCTGATCGGCAAGGCCTAGGCTCTGTGTTTTAACCTACAGCGCCACCCGCATCCCCTTTCCTTGACAAAAGCCTCATGTAAATAAGAAGAGTAAAATGCTTAAACTTTGGGGGAACTTGTACAGAGGAGAACAAACGGAGGCGAGAAATCATTTGAGCACTCTGAATATGACGGAAGGTGCACACTAGTCTTTGTGAGCATCAGAAAGTCCACACAGGAAAGAAACAATAACGATGTTCAGATTTCAATATATTCTGTGGTTTGACTTGCCCATGTGAACTAGTATTATTCATCTGTTCAGTTTTTAGTCTGCCCACCCAAAAAGGCCATACACTGTTCTCTCTCCACCCCCACCCCCCATTTTATCCTCCCAACAACCCTGTGAGGGAGGCTAGACTAAGAAAGAACAATGTCAGCTAGTGTGCGTTGTGGCTAGGCCTGCACACACACTGCGCATTTGAAGCACATCACCCCTTGGAAAATGTAGTCGATTTCCATATTTATAAATGTAATATATACAGGAAATTTATATCATATTTCACAATATTACTGTATTGTGCTAATACTTGCCAGAAGTTGCAAAGGAAAACAAAGCCCTTGGTGGAAATGGTGTTTATCAGTGAGAGGGGAAATAGTGGCACCCAGTGGATGATCTAGGTATTGCAAGAGATATTTCAGGGGTTGCCAACTTGGTGTCTTGTATGTAAGAGAGCGAGAGAAAGAGGAAGGGAAAGAGTGACATCTCTCCGCCAACACTCCAAGCTTCTATACATGTTTCTCTCCTGCATGGGTTCTCTCGTGAATCACAAGCAAGAGCCTCCGACTGAAGCTCTGGCCGCAGCATTTGCAGTGATAGGGTTTCTCTCCCGTGTGAACCCGCTCGTGCCGCAAAAGGTTACACCGGATGCTGAAGCTCTTACCGCACGCCGAGCACTCGTACGGCTTCTCCCCCGTGTGGGTCCTCTTGTGCCGCACAAGGGTCGACTTCCGGCTGAAGCTTTTGCCGCAGGTTAAGCAGCCGTAGGGCTTCTCGCCGGTGTGGATTCTCTCGTGAGCGACAAGGTTTGCTCGAATGTTGGACGTGGCCCCGCAGTAGGAGCATTTGAACTTCCTCAGCCGTTTCTTCTGGTTTTTGAGGAGGTCCAAGCTCTGGCAGAGGCTCTTCTCGTAGTCGGTGCTGGCGATGCTGCTTCGTGGGCATGTTCTGTCGCGGACGACGCTTTCGTGGAAAGCCTGGCCACTTCCTTCACAGAGGAAGGCCTGCTGTGCTATCTTCCACAGATAGCTTTCCTGGTGCCTTTCTGGTCCCCCCTTGTTTCCAGGGATCTTTTCCAACTTGGGAGCCTGGAAGACGTTATCTTTGGCTCTTTCTAAGGATATTCCGCTGGATCCCACATCTCCAGGCTCGGGACTTTTCACATGAAAGGGCTCCTCTTCATTCTCCAGCACTGGATCTTGGACTCCTAGGAATAAACAGAGAATCATTATCTGTGGGCATGAGACAGAGCTTCTGCAAAGACCTGAAGGAGCGCCTCCACCCCCATCGTTCAGCCTGGACACTGAGGTCCAGCTCCGAGGGCCTTCTGGCAGTTCCCTCAGTGTGAGAAGTGAAGTTACAGGGATCCAGGCAGAGGGCCTTCTTGGCAGTGAGACCCTCCCTGTAGAATGCCCTCACATCAGATGTCAAGGAGATAAAGAATTGCACAACTTTTAGAAGACATCTGAAGGCAGCCTTGTATCAGGAAGTTTTTACTGTGCTGGAAGCAGCCCGGACTGGCTGGGGAAACCCAGCCAGATGGGCGGGGTATAAATTAATCATTATCATCATTTGGGAAGGGGCCATTGTTCAGTGGCAGAGCATCTGCCTTGCTTGAAGAAAGTGCTAGATTTCATCTCAGCATCTCTGGGAAAGGCTGGGGAAACACTCCTGTTTGCAATCCTGCAGAGCTGCTGCCAATCAGTGTGGGTAATACTGAGCCAAACTGGCCAGTGGGTCTGGTTCAGGTTAAGACAGCTTCCTACGTTCTTCTACCAGTGGAAAAGGGGCTCCAGCAGCTGACCGTTTTGCGCACACCAATCCTTACCCAGCGGTGTGACTTCCATGGACAGTTGCATCTTTGCAGAGTCTGGTAAATCTTGCTCTGACTTGGAGGCATTAATAATGGGCTCTTCCAAGAGCCCTGGAACCTGGAGTGGAGGAAAGGGAGAAGAAGTCAACAACATGCATACATTTCTAGACCTTAGGCAAGCCGTGTAGGCTTCCCATCTAGTTGGATGCTGGACTCGATTCCCCATTGGACAGATCCAGGGATCTGGGATCTGGCTGAGGACAGACCAAGCTTGGTGAGGCCCAGTTGCCCAAATAAACCAGCCACCACTCCAATTGGCACCTCAAAGTGACTAAAACACCTCATACGCCTCATACCTTTACTTCCCTTCTCTCCGACTCATGGAGTATCGAGGAAATCTTCGGCCAGGACCGCCGCCTCAGCACATGTCCCTGGGCCCCTTTCCCTCACCCAGTTCTGCATCTCCCGAGGCATGATGGTCAAGAACTGCTCCAGGATCAGCAGATCTAAGATCTGCTCCTTGGTGTGTTTCTCGGGAGTCAGCCACTGGTAGCAAAGCTCCCGGAGCTTCCTGCAGATCTCCCGGGGGCCCTTGGCCTCATAGTAGGACAGCTGCCTGAAGTGTTGTCGCCGCATCTCCATCCTGGCTGCGTCCCCCTCCAGAGCCTCCTCAACCTTCACCGTTGAGGGGAGTCTAGGCTCCGACACGCCTGCTGGGCCTCTGCAAGGAGGTCAGGCATGGTCTGAGTCAGCCACTCCCCTATAGGCCGCAGGATGGCATTGGATGTCCCCTTGAAGGGAGCCTGAGAAGACTTTGAGTTCTCCTCCAAGGTGGGACTGGGCAGCTGCAGGTGCCGCCACTCTGAGTGAGGGGATTTGGCTGTTTTCAAGAACTCCTGCCACTGGGCCTCCCAGCGCCATTCTCGGCCTTCTTCCGGCTCTTGTTTGATTTGTTGGGGGGCCACCCCAGTCAGGAGCTCATGGGTGGTCTCAGCTTGGACAACACAAGGATCTCTTCCTCTGCCTTTTGGTTTGTTCCGAGGCTCGGGTCCTGTTGAAGCTTCCTGCTTTTCCATTTTTGTTCCTAGCTTTGCTTCTTGGAGGAAGAGAAGAAAAGTCAGTCTTTTTGTCACGTGATTTGAAAAAAAGGGATTTTATTTATGTCAAAATTTTATAAACTGATTAAAGATTTAAAAACCCTTAAACAATATCAACAACATAAAACCAGTAATACTGGGTAGCTTGGTTGGTGAGAGCATGGTGCTGATGATAATGCCAAGGTTGCATGTTTGATCCCCGTATGGGACAGCTGCCTATTCCTGCATTGCAGGGGGTTGGACTAGATGATCCTCCGGGTCCCTTCCAACTCTACAATTCAATGATTCTATGTATCAACACAGGTTAAAACTCTGCTTCTAAAATGGAGGACTTTCCTTTGACCTGCTCTAAGTGGAACATCTTCCCACCCCATGATGTTGGCCGTTGAAGATCCTGTTAATATTGCTTTGAGCGGTGCATTTTATGAACTGTACTTTTACTGTGCATTTTCTTTTATACTGATACGTACTAATCTTATTCACGACTTCGGGTGCCTTTAGGCTAAAAAGTGTTATATAAATAAACAATTCCATACCAAAACAAATAAAAACAGGAATGTGCAGATCCATACCATTCATAGCTTCTGCCAAAGAATCTTGGGAACTCCAGTTTACCCCTCACAGAGCTACAATTCCCAACACCTTCAACAAACTCCAGTTCCCATAATTCTTTGGAGGAGTTCTAGGTGCTTCCAAGGTATGGTGTGGACATGTTTGACCTTATGGGTCAAGGAAAACTTTGGCAAAAGGATAGGTCTCTACAAGCGGCCTTACAGAATTTCCCAGCATGATCTAAGTGATCTTACAGGCCTATGCAGAGGCAGGCAGTCTTTTCTGCTAAGTTCACCCTGAGTTACTCAACACAGAGATAATCTGGAGGTGACCAGAGGAAAGGAGCTTGAAAGGTAAATGATTTGTATTCATTCATTGATATCAACTGTAATTGCACAAGCTGAATTTGAGGTATGTGATTGAAACCTACCTGAAAATAGCGACAGCCTGGATGCTGCCGTAGTGCAGCAAACAAACCCTAAAATCAGACTTTTGCGGTCAGGAAAGTGATGGTTGAAATGTATTGGAAAGTGTGGGATAACTGATGTACACACCATGAATTCAGTCTCAGGAATTGTAATTTACCCCTCACAGAGCTACAATCCCCAGCATCCTTAACAAACTACAGTTCCCGGGATTCTTTAGGGCAGGTGGGAGAAATGTGCTAAAAATATATAGAGTGTATGCAGACATCTAAGCTTCCTGCAAAAAAGTACAGTAATCAGAGCGAATGCTCAACAAATAGCCAACATTATCTAACCTCTCTGCAAAAGCAGGCTCAATGGTCATCTGCAAGAACCCTCCTTTCCTTCTGACACGCACAGATGCCTGCCCCTTCTGCTTTTATCCCTCCTTCCCCTGAATCCACTTCCCTGCTTAAACTCACCTGCTCCATGTAGCTTTTGCATAGCACCTTCTGGGAATACTGTATTTACAATCCTCCAGTTGCACCAAGGATAGCATATGCCCCTAAAAGGGGAAGTTTATTATTATTATTTTAAATAATCAGGAAGGAAATAACAGCAGGACAGGAAGGGGGTTGGTTGCCTTTTTCTTTTTAGCTCTCTGTGCAGCTGTGCAGGAAAGTAGCTTCATCTTTTAAAAACACTCATTCTCTCTCCTTTTCACACACATACATGCAATGCACACACATTCCCTGGTCCTCTCTAGGCAACAGAGCTCTGTGCAATTAACCCCATGAGCATCTCTGCAGAAGAAGTGAGCTGGATTTCAATGAAATGACTAGATGTAAAAATTAGGGCTGCTGCTGCCCCTACCCCCCCCCCAAAATACCACCCTCCTGACCAAATGCCTAAATCAAATGATATAAAATGAGAAGAGGGTGGGGAGAAAACATGTGTTGCTTACAACCCAAGTCAATGCATGTTTACTCACTAAGAAGTCCCAAGTGTGTTTTCTCCCAAGCAAGTGAGCATATTCAGTCATTCATTCCAGGGGTAGAGAACTTGTTTCATCCTAAGAGCCACATTGCCTTCTGGGGTGGGGGAGTGGGGGCACATGTCAGCAGGGGCCAGAGAAAAAAGTGGGTGGTGCAAGTCATTGAAATTTTGCCTTTGTGCAGAAAGCTACTTTCTACAACAAACACCCCTCCTCTAGCTAAAAGCACACAGGGTGGGTGCGAAGAAGGGCCAGAAAGGGGGGGGTGTGAAGGGCCACTTTAACACACAAACACGGTTCCCCCATTGATTCTATTGCACAGTATACCCTGCCCTTTTCCAGGGAAGGTCCTCTCCAGGATGCTCACATAATTATTATTTTTTTAAAAAAATTCATTAAAATATGTATCAAAAGGAAAAGGAAAAAAAGAATAGCATCACAGCTTCAATGCTATTCAAAGTTTCTGGGGAATAAACCCCACGGAAATCAGTGAAATGTACTTCTTTCTTTCTTTTTTTGTTAGAGTATTTATTAATTTTCCAATAAAAAACATCCAATTAACATATCAAATCATAATCCAATAAAAATAAAAAAAAAAGGGGGGGGGATGAAAAGGGAAGTACGATCTGGGAAACGCAAGGTGGAAAGCAGCAATGTTTAAATTAGCATAAAGCAGGAATGATAAACCCAGTGCTTTCCCCCCTAGAAAAATAGGCGCTGGTACTCACTATGAGGTTGTTACTGTTAAGTGCTACACTTTTTAACAACCAAAAAGAGAGATGTGCTAGTACTGCGTACCCTTAAGTGCCCCCAGGGGGGAGCACTGGCTGATTCTATGGGCCTTAAGTTGTTGTTGGGACTCCTGCTCCCATCCTCACTCATTTCGGGAACAGTCACTACAAACCAGGGGTGCAATCCTAAGCATATTTATTTCATATTCTCACCACTTTATTCGGTGAGTTTTTAACCCCAGGTGAGCCTGCCAAGGGACGCCACCTAAATCATTAGAAACAACCACTGTAAACAGGCAGAAAATAGGCTGTGATTATCTCAAGTTTAATTATATTTGCTGCTAAAAAAGAAAAACTGGCGCAGCAATTGCAATTCCGCTACAAAGAACGAGGTCCGTGACAGCTGACAGCTGCCTTTCAACTGCTGCAACATCCCCCCTCCCCCTCTTCCAGCCAAAGGGGAGGGGCCGGAAGAGGAATCCAACGCCGTTCCATGACCTATCTAGGAAAGCTTATCTAGGAAATTGGTGCGCTCTCTCTCTTCACTTAACCCTTTCAGGGCCCATTTCAAACAAAGGATATTCTCTTTCATCGAAGGAAAGGGGCGGAAAGGCCAGCGTGACCCCCGCCAGCCCCCGGCTCCTTTCAGATTAATACAGCCTTGCAGGAAAGACGTCAGGTTCCCCACCCCACCAGGCAGAGCACATGCCATTTTAATGCCGAACCTTCTCTTTAAAAAAATAGAAATAAAAATGCATAGTTCATGAAAGCGCCCCGTGGTTCTCTAATGGTTAAATCAGCGCAGTTCAGATGGCTAGAGAGGAAGAGGGTTTGGGGAGGGAGGAGGAGAATCTTCCTTCCTGCCGAATGCAATCTTCCGGAGCTGGTGGTCGCCGCCTCCTCCTTCTTCTTTCTCCCCTTGCAAATTTGCAAACTGTTCTGTTGCTTTTTGTTTTAAAAAAATTAAAATGCATGCCTGATTGTGTTTGCTAGGAAGCTGCAGGTTCCCTGCCAAGAGCCCCTGTCATCGCAGCTTCCATTGGGAGGAGCTGGAAGGAGGCCTCGCCCGGGACCGGTAAGTTGGAAGGCGGGTTTGCATGGTTCTTGGGGAGCAGAAGAACTGCAGGCGGGGGAAGAGGGGGAGGGGAGGGGGCCTCGACATCCCATAATTTGCGCTCTCCTTCCGCACTTCCATTCAACAGTTGGGTGTGCAATGTAATTAGCGCTGTGAAAATCCATGCTGTGGGGAGAAGGGAAAGAAAATCTCAGACAAATAATTGCAATAAGAGTAGCAGGGCGTCAGCCCTTTCACTAAAAAGCAGTCAGTTCCCCCAAAGTCTGTTGGGATGATAAAGTCTTAACTTGCTGGTGGAAGGACAAAGAGGGAGGCAGTCTAACCTCTCCAGGGAGGGAGTTCCATAGTCTGGGTGCCAACGCCAAGAAGGCCCTGCCCTGCGCCCTCAGCAAGTGTCCCTGCGAGAATGGCCTCCCACAAAGATCCCAGAGGTCACGCAGGTTCATATGAAGCAATGCAGTTTTTCAGATGCCAAGGACCCAAGTTGTCTAGGACTTTACAGGTCACAACCAGCACTTTGAATGGCCCTGTTGTAACAAGGGTGTCATATCCTACTTTTAACCATCCCTGGTCAGCAATCTCTCTGCGGCTCTTTGATCCTGTTGAAATTTCTGAGCATTTTGCAATGGCGGCCCCACCCAGCGTGTGTTACAATAATCCCAACAGGATGTAACTCATGCATTTGGAAGACATTAGAGCCAACAAGGTTTTGGTTTCATATCAAACTCCACTTAAACACATACTGGAAGTTCTTAATTGCCCTTTACCCATTAATAAGGAGTGGTGATAATCTTATTTATTATACTGTGTTTATTTGCTAGTAGTACTTTATCTGGCCTTCACAAGCAGGTCGCTGGAATGGACTACAACAATATAAATACAATATTAAATTGAAATCGCTTAACAGTGGTGCATCTCAAAGAATGGGCTCGTAAGCCACCAGTGGGCCTTGGGCCTCCTTTCAGGTGGGCTTCCATGCCACAGATTGGCTGGTGGGCTTTTCACATGCCTGCCATATCTCCTAGCCATGCTGTGGCCTCTAAATTGGGCCAGTGCTATGGCAGAAGCTCTTGCCAGGACCAGTAGCTTCTCGTTTCCTGAGCAAAGATGACAAGGAAGCCGTGTGTGTTTAGGGATGTAAGGCCTCCCTCTTCTGAGAGGAGGCCAGAAGAGGTAAAGGTAAAGGGACCCCTGACCATTAGGTCCAGTCGCAGACGACTCTGGGGTTGCGGTGCTCATCTCCCTTTATTGGCCGAGGGAGCCGGCGTACAGCTTCTGGTTCATGTGGCCAGCATGACTAAGCCGCATCTTGCAAACCAGAGCAGCGCACGGAAACGCCGTTTACCTTCCCTCCAGAGCGGTACCTATTAATCTACTTGCACTTTGAGGTGCTTTCGAACTGCTAGGTTGGCAGGAGCAGGGACCAAGCAATGGGAGCTCACTCCATCGTGGGGATTCGAACCGCTGACCTTCTGATTGGCAAGCCCTCTGTGGTTTAACCCACAGCGCCAAGGGTTAGTATTATTTGAAGTACATTCACCTACAAAGGAAAGTTGATATTCATTATGACAGTGTCTTTAAAAAAACTGGGACTGTAATGGGATAAGAGAATAAAGGTGTTTTTGGAAGAAAGAATAAACATAAAACTCTAGGGGGAAGGGGGGGGAGAAATTGCCAGCTTGAGGTGGGGGTGGGAAAATAAGGTACCAGCTGAGTGTGGAAATGTTGCAGGAATCTCCAGTCAGTGACGACAGACACTGGATCTTTTCAAGGAAGGTCAGCATTTATTGACCTGCGAAGGTGACCCCAGTGAGATATCTCTCAGAGACTGAGGCCCTGAACCAGTTTTGGGGGCCCTTCTTATAGTGAGTTACAAATGAACAGGCAGAAAAGAGGAACTTTACTCAAGCAGGCAAAAATAACAGATTAGCTTCTTCGCTCCCCCCTTGTTCGCCCAAACTGCAAAGTAAGAACTTTCTAGTCTCTCCCCCAACCCGTTCCTGTTCTGTCTGCATCTGCCAGCCTGTGCTGGTTTCTTGCCCATACAGATGACCTATGCAAGTTTAAAAACAGACACCAGATATCAGTTAGCTCATCTTCTTGTGACTGACTTTCTTGAAAAGGCAGCTTGCACAGCATTCTGTGGCAAACTCAAAAGTGGGGGTTATGGGGGTCATTGGGTTTCTCTCATTTCTGATCAGAGCCACTTTCTGTATAAAAACAACTTCCAGGGCACAAGAGCATGTGCAAAGCTCTATTACACAAGTTTCAACAAATAGATTAATTCCTGCATTTTCTGAGAAGTCATGCATACAAATGGCTAGACTGCTTACAGAGCAATTTCTGAGTGGGGGCGTGGCTATTGAGGCATATAGATTCTATTTCCTCCATTCATCAGTAGGCGAAGAGGAAAATATAGTACTCTGAGAGGCATGTGGGTGTGAGAGAAGGGGAAAAAGCCATCTCCATTTTGAGCCTCTGGTTCAGCAGATTCCACAATATCCCTAGAGAAAATGTCTGTACAGTAGTACCTCGGGTTACTTACGCTTCAGGTTACATACGCTTCAGGTTACAGACTCCGCTAACCCAGAAATAGTGCTTCAGGTTAAGAACTTTGCTTCAGGATAAGAACAGAAATTGTGCTCCGGCGACGCGACAGCAGCAGGAGGCCCCATTAGCTAAAGTGGTGCTTCAGGTTAAGAATGGACCTCCGGAATGAATTAAGTACTTAACCCAAGGTACCACTGTATTTAACTTGAGGGAAGCTGAGCTATGATACTCCTTGCCACTGACTCCCCATGTGTTCCCACACTCAGTTCAAAGTGCTGGTTTTAACCTTTAAAGCTCTTCATTCATTCAGTGTTTTATTTGTACAGTGGTACCTCAGGTTAAGTACTTAATTCGTTCCGGAGGTCCGTTCTTAACCTGAAACTGTTCTTAACCTGAAGCACCACTTTAGCTAATGGTGCCTCCTGCTGCTGTCGCGTCACCGGAGCACGATTTCTGTTCTCATCCTGAAGCAAAGTTCTAAACCAGAGGTAATATTTCTGGGTTAGCGGAGTCTGTAACCTGAAGCATATGTAACCCGAGGTACCACTGTATGCTTCTTTTCCACCCACCCCACCCCCCCAAAAATTGCTCAAAGCGGCTTACAACAAATGAAGCAGAAATGTATTTCAAAGCCAAGCACTGCGAAACAATTACAAACCTGCACAATAAAACAACCACACGATATCAAATATAGCAACATACAAAACAACGGCAACATTTCGGTACTATAAATATAAGAAGGTAGCGTAATATCCAATAGCAAAGTTAACAAGGAAGCTTGACAGTTTCACCTTGGTCCTAGAAACACCTTTCCCATGATGTTATTTTTATTTATTTATTTATTTATTCATTTATTAAAATTGTATACTGCCCTACATTCAAAGATCACAGGGCAATTCCCAACAAAAAAATTACAAAATGTGAATACAAAAGACATAATGAAACAAAAACAAACTAATAGCGCCCCCTCCCACAAACACATTTAAAAGGCCATATAATGTTAATCAGCCAAAGGCCTGGTTATAGAGAAATGTTTTTGCCTGCCACCTAAGGGAGAGAGCATTCCACAAATGGGGAGCCACCACAAAAAAGGCCGTTTTCATGTTGCCACCCTCCAGGCCTCTTGTGGAGGAGGCACATGAAGAAGCACCGCGGATGATGATCTCAGGGCTCAGTTGCTCAGAGTCCCTCTCCTCCTACAGCAATTTGCAAGTCTTCCAAGACAAGAGGTGGGGTAGCTGGAAACACCTCTCCCATAATGCTGCCCTTCACGGCTTGGTGACAGAATGCACCACATGTGCCTGCTCGTTTTTTCACCTGAGCATGCTCAGTCTTGCCTGATCTTGGAAGCTAAGCAGGGTCAGTACTTGGTTAGTACTTGGATGCAAGACTGCCTGGGTGTTACCATAGAAACTGAATTTCTGGTGGTGGCATCTTAATTATAAAATGCAGTCACCTGATGTCTGCTTTGGTGCCATTCTTGCATCAAACCTTTTTTTAAAAATTCTGGCTTGTTCTAGGGCAGGGGTAGGCAACCTAAGGCCTGGGGGCTGGATCCGGCCCAATCGCCTTCTCAATCCGGCCAGCGGATGGTCCGGGAATCGGCGTGTTTTTACATGAGTAGAATGTGTCCTTTTATTTAAAATGCATCTCTGGGTTATTTGTGGGGCATAGGAATTCGTTCATTTCCCCCCCCAAAATATAGTCTGGCCCACCACAAGGTCTGAGGGACATGGCTGAAAAAGGTTGCTGACCCCTGTTCTAGGGTAACTGAGGGCGGAGCACAACTCTGTACACAGCCTTGAAAGGGTGGGAGATGGATGCGCTAAAATAAATCACTCCTTGTAACAATGCGCTCACATGTTGAGCGCTGACAACTTTTAAGCCACAATGGGGTTGCATAAAAACAGAGGGAGGTATAGCCAGGATTGGTGGAATCCAAATAATAGAATCATAGGATTGGAAGCGACCCTGAGGGTCATCTAAGCCCAACCCTCTGCAGTGCAGGAATATGCAGCTGTCCCATACGAAGATTGAACCTGCAACCTTGGCATTATCAGCACCACACTCTTAACGAGCTGAGCTATCTATATTGCTGATGTACAAGAATATACTGGGGGGGGGGGGGGGAGTAAGTGGGATTGGAGAATGAAATGAAGTGTCCCTGCTAACTGGAAGCCTGGAAAGCAACCTTTCTCTTTGGAGGTGAGGACACTGCACCATTTTTTGCTACAGGTTCCACTTGTAAAAAAACAAAATACACTTCTTACTAGGGAGAAGAGCAACGTTCTGCTTGTTGCCTCACTTGTTGTTTGTGCTTTTTGTCCTTCAGGGCAGCCCCAGACAAGCGACGACGTCTGAGGAAGATTGGCATCGGCCTGAGCTCTTGGGGGTCTGCTTATTATCATTATTATTATTTATTGAATTTATATACCCCCCTATACCCGGAGGTCTTAGGGCGGTTCACAGAAACTCTTATCATGGCTGGAGTTCTGCTTCCACTTGCTGCCGCCTTGCTGTAATTGCAGTTACGAAGCAAAGAAGCTTTCCACTACGTCGGCCTGAAAGGGGATGGAGGGACAGAGCTTAGCTAGGATCGTCACTTATTAAAAAAAAAGAGATAGGGTGGTTGTGGGTAGAAAATGACGACAGAGAAGGCAGCAGAATTCTCGCCCCTAGACCTTCATGAGTTTGACCAGCACGTGAAGCCAGAAATAAAAATGGAGAGGCGAGAACGTGGATCCAGGAGAGGGCTGCAAAGAACCGGGGAGACCTCCCTGGCCGCCGAGGTGGAGACGGTTATTGTTGCAGCATCGCCGCAAGGCATTAAACAGGAAGTTGGCGAAGGACCGTCGTCCCGGCAGTGGGACGGGCAGTGGCAGGACTACCCAGATGCCTCACAGTCCCCTCTGTCAGGGCAGGGAGACCTGGACCTGGAAGAGACAGCATTGACGGACGATGTTAAGGATTCCCTTTCCCACTCCGAAGGAGCAGCGTCCACCAGCCGGTGGGCTAAAGGCAGGACAAGGCCCCGGCTCGGGTTGGGACGCACCCGGACAGCCCAAGAGGCCCAAAGTGTGAAAAGCGACAGTGGGAGCAGTGACGAGCAGGCAAGCGAGGCCGAGGCCACAGAGTCCATCAGTCCCGAATGCCAGCGCCAGCGCTTCCGGCAGTTTGGCTATGAAGAAGCCGAGGGGCCGTGGGAGGCCTACTGTCAACTCCGGAAGTTTTGCCACCAGTGGCTCATGCCAGAGAGGCACACCAAAGAGGAGATCCTGGAGCTGGTGATTCTGGAGCAATTCTTGGCCATCCTGCCCCCAGAAATGCTGAGCTGGATCCGAGAACGTGATTCAGAGAGCTGCTTCCACGCTGTAGCCCTTGCGGAGCATTTTCTCCTGAGGCAGCGAGAGGCTCAGAGGCAGGACCAACAGGTATTTTCTTCTCAACGGTCCTGAGCGGGCTGTGCTATTGGTGGTAGGATATTGCAAGCTGTGGTACTTAGCTGGCGGCAGTAGTGGGGAACCTGGGGTCCGTGGGCCTAATTGGGGCTACTTAAGCCTCCCAGGTTGTCTTGCCGAGCCATTTGAGCCCTGTGCCTTTGCAAGCACAGATGATCACAGCAGCAAGCACTGAAAAATCAGTTGCCCATCAGTACCTGCAAAGCCAAACAGGTCACCTGACATTGTTGTGGCGTCAGGTGATTGGCAGGAGTAGGTCAGGATCCAGCTCGCTGGCTGGACCTGGTTCCCTTTCCCTGGCTTACAGGATGAGTCATTCTGGTAATAGTCGCTTTGTGTGACTGGGAGAGATGCAAACCAGGTCAAGCAAAAATGTCCCATGGAGCACTTTCTTTACAAGGAAAGGCTTTTTTGCTTCCGGAGGGGGGAAGATGCAACAAAAGGGGGTAGGGACATGAGCGAGATTTACAGCATTCATGCATAAAGTAGAGGAAGAGACAGAAATGTTTTTGTTCTTTGCAGTGCTAGACTTTGCAGCAGGGTGATTGGGGTGGGAAATATCCTCCAGTGAGATTGATGATGAGTAGATTCAGGACATGGTGGGCAGGAAACCACACTTCTTCAAGCAAAATGTGTGGCTGAGCTTATGGAACTCACTGCCACAAGATGAGGTGACAGCCACCTGCTCAGACAGCTTTAAAAGGGGATGAGGAATTTGTAGCGAGTGAGCTTACCAATGGCTCTTTAGCCACGATAGGTGAATGCAGTATATACATCTCCGTCTTGGGGAGGGCTGTTGACTTTTAGACCTGCTTGTGGGCTTCCCAGAGGCCTCTGACTGGCCATGGCAGGAAATAGGATGTTGGTCTGATCCAGCAGGACTCGTCTTATGTGCCCCACCCCTGAGCCATCTTGTACTGAAATTCTCTCCCGTTGTTTCAGGTGGGAATGAAAGAGGAGGCTGCTATGAATTTCTCTGCGGGAGAAGGTTCTTCGATGGATCTGACCCTCAGGCAGCTCTACAGGGAGGTCAAGGAGGAGGGGGAAGATGAGGAGGAGGAGGAAGAAGAAGAAGCCAGTGTGCTAGGCAAGGATGAGTTGCACTGGAAGCAAGTTGTACACTTGCTTATCTTGATCTTGTTTCCTTTTCAAAACTTCTGTTACATATGCCATTTTGCTCTGGGGACGGGTGGGTATTCCCATAGCTGAGCACATGTTCCACCACCTAAGTTCACAGGTTCGATTCCTAGCATCTTCCAAATTAAAAAGGATTGAGTACCAGCTGACAAGGAAACCTTCTTTGAAAGGTTACAGAGAACATACAAAGCAGAACATGCTGGGCTCAATGCACAAATAATTTGGCCTGGTATAAAACAGGTTCTATGCAGTGGATCTGTTAGATAAATGAGGCGCTGCCCCAACAACTAGGGCAGGGCGATATATTGATATGTCACTCAAAACCAGTTTGAAGTCCATATCGTTATATGGGCTTAGTTATTGACCTGGCAATATATTGCGAATTATGTGTGTGTGTTGTGCAAAAATTGCAATGTGGGGAAAACCGCGAAGCCAGCCAGTGCCTTTACATAGCTCCATCCTTATTTCAGACATTGGGATATAGTGATATATCAAGATGTTTAGCTGGTGATATATCACAAAGTTGAAAATCACCTCCACCCTTATTTCAGACATTGTCCTATATCATGGGTAGGCAAACTAAGGCCCGGGGGCTGGATCTGGCCCAATCGCCTTCTAAATCCGGCCTGCAGACAGTCCGGGAATCAGCATGTTTTTACATGAGTAGAATGTGTCCTTTTATTTAAAATGCATCTCTGGGTTATTTGTGGGGCATAGGAATTCATTCATTTCCCCCCATATAGTCCGGCCCCCCACAAGGTCTGAGGGTCAGTGGACTGACCCCCTGCTGAAAAAGTTTGCTAACCCCTGTCCTATATCAATAGATCACAATGTTTAGCTGGCGATATATCGCCAATGTTGAAATTCAGATATGGCCCAGCTCTACCATCAAATTCAAGTTTTCCTTTGCCAGATGACTTTTTTTTTAACCTTTTAAACTTACAGCCACCCCAGCTGTTGGCACTGCCTGTCAGCTTCTTCCTTGGGGTTGGCACTTGTGGAACTCAGCAGAGAGGGAGGGAGGAGGCTGGAGATACAGCTGGAATTTATTGTCCCCGCCTGTCATTGATTCTGTTGGTCTGCTTTCCGCCCTACCAGCTCCAATGGGCACCAGCCTCCACTGCTTCCATGTTCCTGCATAAATGCTTATTGTAATTATGGCATGCAGGACCTGCAACAACGTGTTACACCATGGATTGCCTCTTTTCAGGATTCCAGCCACTTCAGCCCATTCCCTCTCCTGGTTTGCTGTCCCACAGCTGCCCCTCCTCCCCTAAAACGTCAATCAGTATTCTATGGCCAGTGAGCAAGTTCATCTCTCCATCGACTGTTTTGTGGATCCCCCCCCCCCTTTTAGAGTTTTCTTCACCAGATTATTTTTGTGCACTTCTGCAAATCTCGGGGTTCCACACACCCTCTTCTGTGTGAATGGAGTCGTTCTGCCAGGGGCATAGCAAACAAATAAAAATATTTAACTAACTGACCAATCGCATTGCAGGTAGCTTAGTTCTTCCCTCACACCACCCCAAATCCTGTGTTTTGGCTACATCAGCAACGTCACTCGCAACCTGAAAATCAGATATAGGAAGAATGATGGTTTTCATTATTCTTATATTAATATTAGGTGACGAAGGTCAGGATGAAAATGATGGGATGCCACTAGAAGGAGAGAACTGCCAGGACTTTGAGGAGACAATTTCAAAACCAACGGAGCCAAAGGAATACGGAACAGAGGAGCATAGGAATGAATCCGTTGCGCCGGAGGGTGAAACGACAGCCGAACAGGAAACCCCCAAATTAAAGAGGCCAAGTGATAGATTGTTCCACGGCCTCAACAGACATCAGAGGAACAACTCGGGGCAGGAACTCTATGACTGCTCCGATTGTGGCAAAGTGTTTATCTCCAGAGCTGGCTTCATCATGCATATAAGAGTCCATGGCCGGGAGAAGCCGTACGAATGTGCAGACTGCGGCAAAAACTTCCGGCGGAGCTCACATCTCAATAACCACAGCAAAATCCATGCGGGAGTGAAGCCGTTCAAATGCTTGGACTGCGGGAAGGGGTTCAGTCGGAACTCAAACCTTATTTCACATCAGAGAATGCACACGGGCGAGAAGCCATACTCGTGCTCCTCCTGCAGCAAACAGTTTTGCGACAAGTCGAGTCTGGTGAGACACGAGAGGCTTCACACTGGAGACAGGCCGTACAAATGCACCGCATGTGGGAAAAGCTTCAGCCAGAGCCACCATCTCATAACGCACCAGAGAAGCCACACGGGCGAGAAACCGTACAAATGCCTGCTCTGCAGCAAAAGCTTTTGCGATCGATCGACTTACATTAGGCACCAGAAAAATCACACGGGGGAGAAGACGTTCAAATGTTCTGAGTGCGGCGAAAGTTTCAGCCGGAACAAGCACCTCATTAGACATCAGAGCATTCACACAGCCAGGGAGTTGTACACGTGCTCAGATTGTGGCGAAAGCTTTTGCCGCCGGTCAGGCCTGAAGATGCACCAGAAAATCCACACGGGGGAGAAGCCGTTTGAATGCACAGATTGCGGGAAGAAGTTCAATCGCAGCACAAACCTTATCAGTCATCAGAGAATCCACACTGGAGAGAGACCCTACGGATGCCCTGACTGTGGGAAAAGGTTCAATCGCAGGACACACCTTGTTAGCCATCAGAAAATCCACGGACCGAGGAAAGAATCTCCAGAAACGATCAAAACCGAAGAAGAGCTTCCATCTGACGACGTCTTTTTGCACCCATCTTATATCATCACAAGAACCCTGTGAGGTAAGTAATTGAATTGAAGAACTGAATTGAATTGATTTGTAAAAGTCCATACAAATACTCTTATTGGGAGAAATGACCTGACACCCAGGCAAACATGTACTTCATGCAGATTGTTGGCCTGTGACCTTTTGCATATTTCATTTGCGTCCGCCAGCTTTTTTATTCCCTCTTTCCTTTATTTAACCTTGTGACTCCCTCCCCTTTGCTCTCAAATGTTCTATCAGACCCATGTCAACTTACAGATTTGAAAATAAGGGACCAGCTGCCTCAAAAATAAGGGATCAGCAGCCAAAATAAAGGATCAACAATTACTTTGATAAAATGCATATTTTGTTGCGTGCAAATGGCTTTAGATACCTATTAGGTCCATAAATTACCATATAGCATATATTCAACACACAAAAACAGCAACAATTTGTTGTTGACAAAGCACAGCTGGACATAGAAAGGGTCCCATTACCTTCAGTAGCTTATTTAAGGGACATCATTAATAAGGGACAGCAGCGTGACATGGCACTGGGATAAGGGACTGTCCCGCCAAATAAGGGACGCTTGGCAGCTATGATCAGACCCCCAGAGAATTACTCAGGCACCTTCAACTCCCCAACCCTGCTCCCCAGTTTCAACTTTAAAACTCCCCTCTCTCTATTGAAATTACAGTGGTACCTCGGGTTAAGTACTTAATTCGTTCCGGAGGTCCGTTCTTAACCTGAAACTGTTCTTAGCCTGAGGCACCACTTTAGCTAATGGGGCCTCCCGCTGCTGCTGCACCGCCAGAGCACGATTTCTGTTCTCATCCTGAAGCAAAGTTCTTAACCCGAGGTACTATTTCTGGGTTAGCGGAGTCTGTAACCTGAAGCGTATGTAACCTGAAGCATATGTAACCCGAGGTACCACTGTATAAACCTGGCTGCAAACTCTTTGCAAAGTCTGCTGCACAAATAAACCTCATTCCTTGCATGTGACTTACTTGAATCCCACCCTCTCTCTGTGCCATACTAGTTTCAAACAAACACAGAGCATCGTTTTATCCTATGCAGCCCTGACCCAGGTTTATCCCATAACTCAGAACTAACCCTAAATTTATCTATGGAACCATCAGCAAATCACCTAGACATCTATCACTAGATCCTGATCTACCATCTTCTGCCCATCCTTACCACTCTGTGGTAGAGCTCCGACTTCGCTGTCAGGTTCAATCCCTGCCATTCCCTGTTTTAAAAGGACTAGGCAGCTAGCATTGAAAACTAGGTTCCTGGTGATAAAGTCTGCCCTGAGATCCGCTGCCAGACAAGAGTGGATAACACTGACCCAGGGAGACAAATTACCCGACTTGGTAGAAGAAAGGCCTGATAAGTTTTGAAAAACAGAAAGGTCACCATCCACACCATATTTTTGAAGCGCATTCCCCACCCCGGGGAATCCTACAGGCAGTGGCGTAGCGTGGGTTGTCAGCACCCGGGGCAAAGCAAGTAATTTGCGCCCCCTAACCCATGGATTTGCACCCCCTAACCTGTGGATTTGCGCCCCCTAACCCATGGATTTGCCTTAACCCCAGATGTTGCACCCGGTGCGGCCGGCCCCCCCTGCACCCCCCACGCTACGCCACTGCCTACAGGTGCTGGTTTCTTGAGGCAGTGGCGAATTTGGCTCCCTGTGCGAGGCCTAAATTTGCCCCCTACCCCAGCCCTCACACTGTCTTCCCAAAGGCTTTGTGAAGGAGGCACTGCAAAGCCCAGGTAAGGAGGTGCCCAACTTTGGGAAGAAGGTATGAAGGCTCTGACAGGGCCTTCTGACAAGGTTACCAGATTTTTTTCAATAAATCCGGAGCACTTTTCAACTTCAATGGATTTTGTCAGGGGATTGATTTGGAAATCCGGGGTCTTGTCCCTGGGAAACGGGGACGTCTGGTAACCTTACCCTAAAGCATGGGTAGGCAAACTAAGGCCCGGGGGCTGGATCTGGCCCAATCGCCTTCTAAATCCGGCCCACGGATGGTCCAGGAATCATTGTGTCTTTACATGAATAGAATGTGTGCTTTTATTTAAAATGCATCTCTGGGTTATTTGTGGGGCATAGGAATTCATTCATATTTTTTTCCCCAAAATATAGTCCTGCCCCCCACAAGGTCTGAGGGTCAGTGGACCGGCCCCCTGCTGAAAAAGTTTGCTGACCCCTGCCCTAAAGCTTTCCCACCTTCCCAGAACTGGGAGAGCACTAGCTAGGCTTGGGGAAGGAGGTGGGAGGAAATTTTACCTCTTTGGGGCGGGAGGTGAGCTACAGTTCCTGGAATTGTTTTGTGCTTTTAAGTGCATGGTGTCGATGCGACCAAATACAAGTTCGGAAAGAGGGGGTTTGTGGGTTTGGGTAAAGACAAAAGCAACAAGGATGTATACACGCTTTTAAAAGAAATGCATTCTTATGCAGGGCTGGATCTGAAGAAAACTGAAGAGTAGAGACCTCTAAAGGATGCTGTTGTCAAACTGAATTGGAACCTGATCATCTCTCTGCTTGTGGAGCAGAGTTTCCGTCCAAGTGGAAATCGAATGACTTGCTGCTTGGCCGAATAAATTCTCTGCTCTCTGGTTCCTTTCCCCCTTGTGCTTATAGTTATCTCCCCTTCTTTGCTCCCCTGTGGACGTACTTCATCTTCCTCACGCCTTTTTGAAAAGTATGCATCTCTTTATGCCATTTGTGTGCTGTTTGGAAAAATAAATAAATAGAAGGAAGAGTTGGAGGTGGATGAGTTAGACATTTGTAGACCTATGTAGCTGTAATCCTGTGTGCACTTAGCTGAACACAGCGGGGAATTACTCTGGAGTAAACCTACATAGGATTAGGTTGTGTAAATGAGCTTTATAGCTGCTGGCAATGGGGGTGGTTACTTTTGTATGGGGTGGGGGGGTGGGATTAGGTTCTTGCTCATTTTGGTGTTTTTGATGTTCCTTCAACCCAAAGGGATAGTTGGCAGTAGAGGTGGAATTATTTGAGCCAGATCAAAATAATTGGTGGTGGTGTAAAAGTGGGTTTTGATATATTCATGGAGGATGGGCTATTTTTCAAGGTATACAAGACCTTTTGAATGTTCACATTCAGCACTGCAGCCAGCCAGCCAGCCCGTGATGCCCTCTCCTAGGATATTCCATTCCATTCCCCTCTTCCGAACAAACACATAGCACTTGGTTGCCACTGAGCATGCTCAGTCCTTATTGGGCTGTTCTGGGTTTTTTAATATTGCGGGGTTAGGGGGTCTTTTTTTGTATTTCTGCAAAACCTTGGTGTTCCCTCTGAGCATGCTAATACCTCCCTTCTTGTTTCTCGGTGACCCGTTTCTGAATAAATGCTGTGAGCACTCAGCACCTGAACGCACCACAAGAGGTAACGATAACTATATGGAGCCCCCTGTTTATGAGCAGTTTACCTGCGAGAGTAGTTGCTGATAGTCAACAGCAGGGAGGGGTTGTTTCCTTTGTGCCCTCCTTGGCTTTGCAGTGGGGCTATTCTGGCCCCCCTCCCAATGCAGAGCAGCTCAGGGGGGAATCAAGTAAGAAAAAACTGGTTTGATTTTGGACAGAACATTTCCTCAGAGTTGCTGCTTTGTTAAGGATTACGGAACCTGCTCAGAAGGAATCTACTGCCTTTGCTTTGTTGTTCTTTGGTTACTTAAAATTTCCTGCTCTTTTCAAAAAAATTAAATGTTTTTTTTTTATTATTAAAAAAAGTTAGTCAGGTTTTTTTTGTGAGGGTGGGTGGATCTGATTCACTTTCTCCTGTGTGTCTTGCTTAAGACTGGGGCCCTGTGTGCACGTTACATTTAACACGATACATTTACACGTATCATATCACTTTAAACAGGTACATCTTCTCCATGGGAAGTGTAGTTTCAAGGGTGCTGAAAGCCTTAGAAAAAACCCCTCCCCATTGCCCACACAGAGCTACATAGTTCCCTGTGAAGAGGGATTGTCTGTTAAACTACTCTGGGAACTGTAGTTATGTGAGAGAAGTAGGGGCTGCCTCACAATTCTCAGCATCCTTAACAAACTACACTTCCCAGGGTTGTTTGGGGGTGTCTGTAGTAAAGGAGGGGATCTAAACCCACCATCTAAGCCAACATCACAATCCAATAATATGTGGAAGAGAAACAGGAATGGGGAATGTGGGGTGGGTGTGAAAGCCGTAAACTATACTAACTCGTTTATTAGGGACGTGGGTGGCGCAGTGGGTTAAACCACAGAGCCTAGGACTTGCCGATCAGAAGGTCGGCGGTTCGAATCCCTGCGACGGGGTGAGCTTCCGTTGCTCGGTCCCTGCTCCTGCCAACCTAGCAGTTCGAAAGCACGTCAAAGTGCAAGTAGATAAATAGGTACCGCTCCAGCGGGAAGGTAAACGGCGTTTCCGTGTGCTGCTCTGGTTCGCCAGAGACGGCTTAGTCATGCTGGCCACATGACCTGGAAGCTGTACGCCGGCTCCCTCGGCCAATAAAGCGAGATGAGCGCCGCAACCCCAGAGGCGGCCACGACTGGACCTAGTGATCCAGGGGTCCCTTTACCCTTTACCTTTACTTTAACTCGTTTATTACAACAGAAGAATCTGGGGTGGGTTGGACACGGCTCTCTCAGGTGACAAGGCCTCAACCACAGAAACCTAGGTGTATGGGAGCCGTTTTTCCACAAAAATAGCTCAGAAACAGCAATTTTGAGATTTTGCCCCAAAAGCTCAAGAATTTTTCAGTTCAGATTTTCACTTTGGAATATGGCAACTCTAGCCAGGAGGGCAGGCATTTGTGCAGCACCCCACTTCCCCCAGCCCTCCATAAGTCACCACTGCCTTAACCTATTTGCTTTTTTTTTTTATAAAATATTTATTAAAGATTTCAGACATTTATAGTCACCAAACACATATAAAACCATCACCATAATACAATAAACAAAGAAAAACACAAAAGAATAAAAAGAATAACACATAATACAAAAAACATACAACAACAAAATCAAATAGTTCATAACCATATTTTCTTTGCTTTTGGACTTCCTCACATCTCTCGTTCCTGCGTTCCCAATTTATAGAATTTTAAACAGCAATTTATCACCTTGTTTCAAATCTTATTTTGTGACTTTCCAATATTATGTCTCTAACTTTAAATATTTTTATCATGAGCTTAAATACTTAATCTAGACATGATATTAATCTGAAATTTATCTTTTTCTCAAATTTCACTTATTTTCATAGTCCCTTCAGCTAGTTTGCTGATGCCCTGTTATTTTCAGTCCTGCATCCTTCTTAACACTCATACAATTTACAATGTTTTTGTAAATAGTCCTTAAATTTCTTCCAATCCTCTTCCACTGCTTCTTCTCCCAGGTCGCGGATTCTGCCAGTCATTTCTGCCAGTTCCATATAGTCTATCAGTTGCGTCTGCCAATCTTCCAGCGTGGGCAAATCTTGAGTTTTCCAATGTTTAGCGATAAGTATCCTTGCTGCTGTTGTTGCATAACCTATTTGCTTTTGCATTTGGAAAACCTCGGTTATTATCACCAGTGAACCCATGTTTTAAAAATCAATACAGTTTTTGTAAAATAATACTTCTTTTTTATTTCTTTAAGTGGAGAAAGAAGAAAAGGATAGTTTACTATTAAAGAGGAAGCCCAACTCAAAATGTTATTCCAGAATCACTTAGAAGCTTAACATTTTATAAGCTAAAATTTAAGTGGTATCCAACACCTGCCAAATTAAAGAAAAATATATCGTATGCTACACTTACATATTACACTTGGATCTGAACTTGCTAATTTTACCTAAAATGGTATTTCAGGAATTTTTCATGATGAGGATTTAGAAACCAGTGACTGCACATCTGATCACAACCAGACTTAGTACAACATTCTGGATAGCTTATACAGTATATGCCAGATCTATTCCAATTATATAATAAATTTTGAGAAAAAGCTTTCTAAACCCACTTATTAGAGATGACACAGAAAGGGGAAGGGATTTTTGTAGGGTGTTTAAACCATTGGACTATTGTGTACACCATGTCAAGGTAACATTACACTTCATTTTCACTTTATCTCACATGGGGCTCGAACCCTGAGGTTAGAAGACATCTGAAGGCAGCGCTGTTTAGGGAAGTTTTTAATGTTTGATGATTTATTCTATCTTTTTTAAAAAAATAATTCTGTTGGGAGCTGCCCAGAACGGCTAGGGAAACGCAGCCGGATGGGCACGGTATTATTATTATTATTGCTGTATTATTATTATTACCCCAATAGCTCAGCGATTTGTGTACACGGGGACACAGATGGCGGCGTGTGAACATCCCTAGAGAAGGGTGCAAAAACCTTGTTCCCTGCTGCTCCAGAGCTAGGAATGGACCAGATCTTATAGGGCTAATCCATTTGCCCCGACAGCTAAGAGCGGAAGGGCAGGGGAAGCAGCAGGGCGGTCTCGCAGCCCTCGCCTTGCAAGGGGGCGCATCCAGCCTCGCAGCCTCCCAGGGCCCAACCCACAGCCAGCGAGCTCCGATGCCCAGAGAGGCAGGAAACGGGGCCAGCCAGGGGGACTCGAGAGCGGCTGCACATTACAGTCCCCCCCCGCGGCGATCGGAGGAGCAGCGGCCCGTGGCCTGGCGAGTTTCCCCGGAGAGGAGCCGGATTCCGGTGCAGGGACGGAGCGAGGAGTCTGAGGTGCAGGAGGCGGGGGGGGGCAGGAGGGGGAGGAGAGCACGTACGCCTCGCCTGGCAGGATCAGGCCCCGAGTGGAGTCAGAGGCTGCAGGGCGCCCCCCAACCGGGCAGGAGGGGAAGGGGCGCAGCTGAGGGGCAGGGCATCTGCAGGAGGGCACAGGGGCAAACATCTCTGGCTCAGGCTGGCACGGACCCTGCCGGAGACCCTGGGGAGCTGCTCCCTTCAGTCCTGAGCTCAAGGGGCAGAATGAGGGGTCCAAGGCAGCTGCTGCTTCCCGATGGATCAGCTGCGTAGCTGGGACTTTTGTCGCCCCTCTCCCTGTCCCTCATCAGGGAGCCCAGCCCATTTCGACGGTCCTCCCCACGGCGGAGAGGAAAGGGGAGGCAGGGGGGGGAATGGAAGAGCAGTGTAGCAGGGAGGTGCCCCTCTCACTCTACAGCCCCTCCTGCCCCCCCTTCCTCTGCCAGTGCCATTGATAAACCTATTGCCCTCCTTCGTGAATTGGTCGCCTTTTAAAGCTCTCTTTGCCGCCGCCACCATCACCGCATCTTGTGGCAATGATGTCCATCAGATTCATTTCGCAAGGAAATGGCTTCTTTTGCCTGCCCCAAATCAAGGTACAACTGTGCCTACACATGGAGGTTCTGTTGATCTGTCACGGCAATTAAAACAGCCGATAAATCTATACTCCAGAGAATGCATCTGATCTTTTCCCAAGCTGTCAAAGTTAGTGACCTCTTGTGTCTGCGTGTAAATAAGTGAGGCTTAAGCTTGTTTCGTTAAAGGTTTTATTTCCACCTTAGTAAGGCAGCAGAGTTTTGAGATGAAGGCTGAGGGTTGAAGTGGGTGACAGTTTTGAGAATGCAGAGGAAAGGAGGATTCTTAAGAAGTGTGGCATATGGAAATGAATTAATGATAATAAAAACATTGAAGACAGTATTGTTAAAGACTGAGGAAGGCGAAATTGAAATTAGCTATTCATGTTCAGATTATTACTCATTTCATTTCTATACTGCTTCGTATTTTTAAGGGAAAAAATCTCAAAGCGATTAAAGGGAAATCTCATTGCAGTTTGTGTCCATAGGATCTTGAGAACATTAACTCTGTAGATCCAGGAGTTCTCTCCTCCTGATACATCTAGCATACACACAAGTCTTGCAAACACAATCAGCATGTTTAGACCTTCCAGTCCCAGTGCTGGGCTGGAGGAGAAATAAGAGCCCAAGAAGACCCTGCTGAATTAGCAATGAGATCTGTGGAAAAAAAGACCCTTCAGATTGTTCTTTAGAAATCCTTTTTAAAGAGCAGCCAGAGAGATCATTTATTTCCAGAGCAGGGCTTTTACCCAATTTCAGCACTGTGCTGATTTGTGCTGAAATTGGAGTTTAAAAGTTCTCTCAGGGAGGACTCCCCTGAGTGAGTGCTTGAGGGCCCTGCTCTTGCCACTTACCATCTGGCCTGGGGCGGGGCCTGAAGCCTCACAAGGACTGCTTGGTGCTTGCTGCTTGCTGCCCAGGAGGACTCCCCTGAGTGAGTGCTTGAGGGCCCTGCTCTTGCCACTTCCCATCTGGCCTGGGGCGGGGCCTGAAGCCTCATAAGGACTGCTTGGTGCTTGCTGCCTGCTGCCCAGGAGGACTCCCCTGAGTGAGTGCTTGAGGGCCTTGCTCTTGTCACTTACCATCTGGCCTGGGGCGGGGCCTGAAGCCTCACAAGGACTGCTTGGTGCTTGCTGCCTGCTGCCCAGGAGGACTCCCCTGAGTGAGTGCTTGAGGGCCTTGCTCTTGTCACTTACCATCTGGCCTGGGGCGGGGCCTGAAGCCTCACAAGGACTGCTTGGTGCTTGCTGCTTGCTGCCCAGGAGGACTCCCCTGAGTGAGTGCCTGAGGGCCCTGCTCCTTCCTGCCACTTACTCCCTGGCCTGGGGCGGGGCCTGACAGGCCTCACTAGGACAGTTGTTGTTACTGCCAGAGGGGCAGAGTATTTTTAAAATGTTTTTTTAAAAAAAAAAAATTGTATGTGGGGGGTGGGGGTGGGAGGGATGTTTGGTTGGGCTTGGGGAATTTTTTATTGTTATTATTTTGATGTTTTTGTAATTTTTACATTTTTTTGTTTGTATTGTTTTATTGGTTTGTTTGTTTGTTTAAGGTGTTGTTTTATTCTCATACATTTTTTCATATGTATGAAAGGCTGTGATTTTCTATTCCTATTTCTGTATACTTTCGTTGTCTGTTATATGTTTGGTGATTTTCTTTTCTTAAAAAATGCAATAAAAAAATTTTTTTTTAAAAAAAGGTGTTGTTTTGTTCTTAGGGGGAGGGGTCAGGGCTGCCGGGGAGTGGGCCCCAGCCAACAAAATGGCTGGGGCATGTTCCACAGGGGGGAATGCACTGGGACAACCGATCTCGGTGATCACGGGTAGGAGGAGGAGTTATGCTAAGACTAGACCATGTCATTACAGAGGGTGCAAGTTTAGTCGTTGTCTGAGGACTATTCCTGCCTCCGGGTCTGGTCCTGACCGGATGGATACTAGAATCAGCAAGGGATACCCACATGACCTGAAGGTGCTGCTGTGCAATGCCAGGTCAATGATTCATAAGACCACTGCCATCCATGACTTGATCATGGATGGAGGACTTGACCTGGCATGTGTAACAGAGACTTGGTTGGATGAAGCAGATGGGCCTGTTCTTGCCGCTGCTTGTCCACCAGGTTTCTCTTACGCACAGCAACCCAGGTCATGTGGGTGGGGAGGGGGGGGTTGCAGTGATTTTTAGGAAGTCATTAGTTTGCACCAGGCGTCCTATTGGGAAGACCCAGTTTTCCGAGTGCATGTTCTGGAAGTTGGGCAATAGGGGCAGTACAGGATTCCTTTTGGTGTACCGACCTCCCTGCTGCACCAAGGATTCCCTGCCCGAGCTGCTTCAGGTCGTGGTGGATGTTCTCCTGGAGACACCTAGCTTGGTCGTCCTAGGGGATTTTAACATCCATGCCGACACGACCTTACAAGGGGCCGCTCGGGACTTCGTGGAAAGCATGGCCTCCATGGGGCTGTCCCTGAATAAGTCTGGCCCAACCCATAGCCACGGACATGCCTTGGACCTGGTGTTTACCTCTATGGATGTTGGTGATCTGACACTAAGTAAAAGCGAAACGAAAGAAGTGCCATGGTCAGATCACTTCCTGGTGCAACTGGACTTCTCTGCGACCCATCCCCTCTGCAGGGAGGTGGGACCAACTCGGATGGTCCACCCCCACCACTTAATGGATCCAAATGGTTTCCAGAGAGTGGTAGGGGATGCTTTATCCCATGTTGATGGCCTTTCAGCCGATTCCCTGGTGGCCCGCTGGAATGCGGAGTTAACCAGGGCTATTGACTGTTTGGCTCCAAAGCGCCCTCTCCGATTGCATGGAGCCCGGACAGCCCCGTGGTTTTCCACGGATCTGAGGGCAATGAAACAATCGTTGAGACGGCTCGAGCGCCGGTGGCGGATAACTCATTCCGAATCTGACCGGACACAGGTTAGAGCTCAACGTCGAGCCTACCAAGTGGTGATAGCGACGGCGAAGAAGAATTTCTTCACCGCCTCTATTGCATCTGCAGAAAACAGCAGCAGGAGACTTTTTCAGGTGGTTCACAACTTAGCGGAACCACCTGCAACATCAGGGCCCAGTACGGGCCACATGTTCTCCTGCAATGATTTTGCAAAGTTTTTTGCAGATAAAATCGCTCAGATTCGGGAAGAAGTAGACTCCACCGTGGGAGCAGGGCCGGGGCGGGAGAGTGCTAGAGTTCTGTCTAGTCAAGTTGAGTGGGATCAATTCCAATCTGTTACCTTCGAGGATGTGGACAGGCTGCTTGGACGAGTGAAACCAACCACCTGTCTCCTGGATCCTTGCCCATCCTGGCTTATAAAAGCTAGCCGGGAAGGACTGGGCGATGGGCTTCGTGGGGTGGTGAATGCTTCCATCCGTGAGGGAGCCTTCCCAGACCCGCTGAAAGAGGCGGTTATTAAACCGCTTCTTAAAAAACCATCTTTAGATGCGGCCACGATGGCCAACTATCGCCCAGTCTCAAATCTTCCATTCTTGGGCAAGGTGATTGAGCGAGTGGTTGCCAAACAACTCCAGGCACGCCTGGAAGAAGCAGACCATTTGGATCCCTTCCAGTCGGGATTCAGGCCTCATCATGGGACTGAAACTGCCTTGGTCGCACTGGTTGATGATCTCTGGCGGGCTAGGGACAAAGGTGAGAGTTGTTTCCTAGTTCTGCTGGATCTCTCAGCGGCCTTTGATACCATCGACCATAACATCCTTCTGGACCGTCTTGAGGGGCTGGGAGCTGGGGGCACTGTCATACAGTGGTTCCGCTCCTTCCTCCTGGGCCGTGTTCAGAAAGTGGTGGGGGGGATGAGTGTTCAGACCCCTGGGCTCTCACTTGTGGGGTGCCTCAGGGTTCTGTCCTCTCCCCCATGCTTTTCAACATTTACATGCAGCCGCTGGGAGAGATCATCAGGAGGTTTGGGCTGGGTGTACATCAGTATGCGGATGATACCCAGCTCTACCTCTCTTTTAAATCAGAACCGGTGAAGGTCCTTTGTGAGTGTCTGGAGGCGGTTGGGGGATGGATGGCGGCTAACAGATTGAGGTTGAATCCTGACAAGACAGAAGTACTGTATTTGGGGGACAGGAGGCGGGCAGGTGTGGAGGATTCCCTGGTCCTGAATGGGGTAACTGTGCCCCTGAAGGACCAGGTGCGCAGCCTGGGAGTCATTTTGGACTCACAGCTGTCCATGGAGGCACAAGTCAAATCTGTGTCCAGGGCAGCTGTTTACCAGCTCCATCTGGTACGTAGGCTGAGACCCTATCTGCCTGCGGACTGTCTCGCCAGTGGTGCATGCTCTGGTTATCTCCCGCTTGGACTACTGCAATGCACTCTACGTGGGGCTACCTTTGAAGGTGACTCGGAAACTACAACTAATCCAGAATGCGGCAGCTAGACTAGTGACTGGGGGCAGCCGCCGAGACCACATAACACCGGTCTCGAAAAACCTACATTGGCTTCCAGTACGTTTCCGAGCACAATTCAAAGTGTTGGTGCTGACCTTTAAAGCCCTAAACGGCCTTGGTCCAGTATACCTAAAGGAGCGTCTCCACCCCCATCATTCTGCCCGGACGCTGAGGTCCAGCGCCGAGGGCCTTCTAGCGGTTCCCTCATTGCGAGAAGCAAAGCTACAGGGAACCAGGCAGAGGGCCTTCTCGGTAGTGGCGCCCGCCCTGTGGAACGCCCTTCCAGCAGATGTCAAAGCGATAAACAACTACCTGACATTCAGAAGACATCTTTTTTTTAAAATCATATTTATTGAAATTTCCAGAAAAATCCAAAATATAAAAGAAAAAAGAAAAAAAAGAAAGAAACATTTGCATTTAGGCCTTACTTTCATTAACATCTTTCCAGGACTTCCCCACCCCACCCCCTCTTGTATTCCATTTCCATTAAATTAGTTCCACAAGTTCTTACCCCAAATTTTAAGCTTATTATCATTGACCCAATGTTCAATTTAATTCATCTTATATGACCACTTTCCCTCTATATTCCACCATCCTTCAACTTAAAATTTTTTTCCCCTAAGATCGACCCCTGTTCCCTTCCACGAATTCCCCTCTTTAATACACAGAACAGAACGAAATAAAAAATAAAAAAAATAGTTCAAAATATAATTTTACACCCTTTGGATTCCGAATTTCCCTCCCCCCTTTCCCGGTTTCGATCCCCAATGTCCATCAATCTATCTGCTGTCAGCCTGGAGGCTCCACATCCATGTCCAAATCTCTCTCAGCTCCACTTTGCCGTCTTTTTAGTAGTCTTTGCCGTCTTTTTGGTAGTCTTTAGTTTCAAACACCCAGTCTTGGAAAAGCTCTATCTCAAGAAGGTCCATTTTTCTTCCATCCAGATCTCTATATTTAAGAGTAAAACTCAAATTTTGTTTCTTAATCCTTTTAAATCTGAATGTCCCAAATGCTCCCACTTCCAGCTTAGTCCAATTCTTGTTGTTCTCTTTCCTCACTTTCCTCAGGTTTCTTTTCCTGCTCCGCTGCAAAAACATTCTAATTCCAAAAGCTTCTAGTTCCTCTACAGAGGCTTTATTTATTCAGGAACAAAAACTTGCGTCAAGTCCCTTCCATTCTTCAATAGGTATATCTATTGTCTCCTTTAGTGTTGAGACCTCTGTAGACAAAATAATGTTTCGTTTTTGCAGCTTTCCCAGGAGATAAAAAGTCCTATTCAGCTCCATGAGTATTTTTCCACTTACAGCGATTCTTGTAGTGTCCCAAAGCCCCCTCTAGAGGGATTATGGTAACTTAGTTTCCTTCCAGATCACACCCAAAAGTCAAACTAACTTGTTATCCCTTGTTTTCAACAATTTATATCCAAATTGTAATGAATCTAACCGGCAAAGTCATCGTAACAAAGTTCTTTTTTATTCTCCAACTTTGACAGCTACTTTGACAGCTGTCAAAATCTCTATATCTCCTCACCAGGCTCTCTCACGGATCTCTCCCGGTTCCCGGGGGGGTTGCATTTTAGCTCATACAATCCACTTTTCTCCTCCAGCACAATCTTGTAATTTTCCATCGTGAAATTAATAACTTTTATCAATAAAAAACAGGCCCTTCTCTCGATCTTAGTTGACAGATCCTTGCTTTAAATCCTCTACAACAGGGGGGAGACGGACTTCCTTTTTGCACCTCCCCCGCTCATTCCGAATTTAAAAAAAAAAAAAAATTCCCTTATAGATCCGATTTCCCAATTACTCACGGGTTGTTATTTTTAGTCCAAATTTTCAGTGGAAGAAGTCAGCGCTCTCCGTCAAATGGCATGCGGCTTCGCTTGGCAGGGGAAGCGGAGGACTCATAGCACTACACCACCCCCCATCCCCCGCTCCGTAGCCTTTTAAAAGGCTCCTTCGCGGGTGGGGGGCGCAAACAGTGCCCGACGAGTCACCAGGTCCATGGGCTTCTGCGCCCATGGTTTTTGAGGGTCCCCGCGTCGCCGGCGTGGCGGGACCCAACCCCTGCCGAGCAGACTCCCTCCGGAGCTCAGAGGGAGTCCGCCATTCGGCGATGGCACCAACCCGGAAGTCAGATCGTATAAATCTTTCGCCTTTTACAGAAGACATCTTAAGGCAGCCCTGTTTAGGGAAGTTTTTAACGTGTGATATTTTACTGTATTTTAGGTTTTTATGGAAGCCGCCCAGAGTGGCCGGGGAGGCCCAGCCAGATGGGCGGGGTATAAATAATAAATTATTATTATTATATTATCTCTAAGGGCCCTTTAGGCACCATTCTCTCCAGGACAGAGAGAGATCTTCATCCTATGATCAGATCAGGAGATGTGTTTATTTTTTTTCCAGCAGAGTGGCGTAAAAATGGAAGAGCAGAGACCCAGGAGACCCATTCAAAGGGAGAGACTGGAGTGCAAATGAAGGAAACCTCCTGCAGGCCAAGTTGGGACCATCAGGGATCTTCTGTCTCAAGCAGATTTACGTCAAATTAAGCAGGAAGCAGAGGAGGGGCAGCCACAGCAGCACTGGGATGCCCAGAAGCAGGATTTCCTGAAGACGATGCAGCCCCCTCGTTCAGGGTGGGAAACTCCACAGGCTCCCAGTCCTCCCCACTCCGGGGAAGGAGTCCTCTCCTTCAGGGGAGCTGCGGATACCAGTCGGAGGCCCAGTGGGAGAGCAAGGGGGACAGACCAGACCCTGCTCCCAGACACTGAGGGGCTTCTGGGAAAGGTAAGTGCCGCCCTCTCACCTGGGTTTCAAGCACATGGAGGTCACAGGTCCACTGCCTCTCGACATGGAGGTTCTGTTTACCTTTGGTGGTGAATATTCTTTCTTCTCCATGCAAGGGCAACCCATGTATTCAGAGCAGTCCTTTGTAGATTAACTCTACAAAGTTCTATGGGGTCTACTCTCAGGCCACTAATGTGCATGCCATGCCAGCCTTAGAAAGGGAGGTGGGACAGGCAGGTGAAAGGAATTACCAAAACTGTTTGAAAATGGGTGGGGGCTCTTGGGAAGGGGGTGCCCAATTGGGGCTTCTCCAGGGGCAGCAGAATGTCTTGGGCAGGAGAATCCCTGCAGGGGCTCTCAGACAGCCTTGGCTTCTTCTTCCCTCCCTCCCAGGAAGCTGCAACTTGCTCTGGCTTCTGCGCTCCTCAGGAAGCTGAACCTGCAAACCTAGCTGAGACTGAACATGCAACCCTGGCCAGAATGGAAGGAGGAAGATGGACGGTTGACCTGGTCAGGCTGTCTCCTGCATCCCTCCCCACAACCTCTGAGCATTCCCTCCCAGGACCCTTGGAGAAATCTGGTGAGTTCCAGGGGAGAGCAGATGGGGACAGGGATAGATGGAAGGTGGAGGGAGAAAGAGGAAAAGATGGAGAGGAGACAAATGGAAGGAAGTTCCTGACATTAAGAAGGAAAAAGTGAGGCCTTCTCCAAAGCAGCTCTTTGTTCCTTGAATCCTTTTCCTAAAGTAGTGGGGGCAGATTTTCTTCCTCCAGGCTTTGAAATCTTAGGTGTTATTTCCACGGCAGGAATAATTTATGGTAATGAACTCTTATTTGTTATAGACAGGGTCAGAGTGATACATTCCACCAGCATCAAAACACAATAGATGCATGCACCTCCCCAGTTTGGTGGGCTTAAGGGACAAAGGACCCGTTATCATGATACACAATTCCTGGGGCTGGAGGCTCTGCACTTAGGATTGGGCATATAAAGTCCAAGAGCGTCTGGTATTATAAGCAAATTGTGCAAAATTGCCAATCTTACAGACTGGGGTTGTTTGTGAGAGTGAGTGAGTGGGATAATAAGTTATAGCGACCCTGTGTAATGGCCTGGTTCTCCCGCACAGACGTAAGACAACTCCAGTAGTAATTATCTCAAACTCATAAATCACTGTGGAGCTCAGTCTTCGGCCTGTTCATCCCAGCTTGCAGTTGCCGAGTCCTCCAGCAAAGAAGGCCCCACTTTCGCTTTCTTTTCCCCTCTTCTCGCAGATTCTCTCAAGCCTACGATTTTTTGGACAGGCTATTTCGGGGGCTCTGTGTCAGAGCTCAAACTGGAGATAACAGTCTGTGCCCCCCCCGGCACCCCCTCTTCCTGTTCTTTGTTCTTGGTCCTCCCCTGCTTCACATTCCAACCGAATCCCATCTCTTGCATTCTCAGGCTCTGTCATCGGAGGCACGAGAGGCTTGAGATTCACAGAGCTGACACCCTGTAATTTTGTCCGTTCCTAAGCTTCCCTGGAGACACTGTGGTACAACCTTGGTGCAAATTTGAAAATAAGTTCACAAAGCCAACAAAGAGACTCAGACCATTAGGTCCAGTCGTGACCGACTCTGGGGTTGCGGCGCTCATCTCGCTTTACTGGCTGAGGGAGCCGGCGTACAGCTTCTGGGTCATGTGGCCAGCATGACTAAGCCACTTCTGGTGAACCAGAGCAGCGCACAGAAACGCCGTTTACCTTCCCGTCGGAGCGGTACCTATTTATCTACTTGCACTTTGACATGCTTTCGAACTGCTAGGTTGGCAGGAGCAGGGACCGAGCAACAAGAGCACACCCTGTCACGGGGATTCGAACCGCCGACCTTCTGATCGGCAAGCCGTGGCTCTGTGGTTTAGACCACAGCGCCACCCGCGTCCCTTAAAGATCCCTTAGAGAGATCCTTTAACTCCAATCTCAGCAGGAATCAGCACAGTGCTGAGATGGGATAGGAGTCCTGATCTAGAGATAAATGATCCCACTGGCTGCTCTTTAAAGAGGGTTTCTAAAGAACAATCAGAAGGGTCTTTTTTCATGGATCTCATTGCTAATTCAGCATGTTCTTCTTGTGCTCTTATTTTTCCCCACCCCAGCACTGGGGTTGGAAGGTCTAAACATGCTGGTTCATAGATGTCAACTTTCAGATTTGAAAATAAGGGATCAGCAGCCTCACCTGTCCCCACGTCCCTGTGGAATCATGTATCCTGCTCAAAATTCCACTTTGTCAGACTGCAGCCCACAAAAGCTTAGGCCATAATACCTTTATCAGCTTTTAAGGGCTGCAAAAGATGAAAAAACAGAAGCATAGTTCATCTATGGAATCCATCCTACAGGAGACCGTGAGAGCCAGCAACATGGATAGCTTGAAAGAAAAGATAAGACTGACGTCTCTGCTCTGCCCTCGCGGTCCTAGGCAATAATCCTTCTTGATACTAGTTTCTGGAAAGCACAGGAAGGCAGAGAAGACTCTTGTGCTCCAATCCTGCTTGCCCGTTTCCCACAGGCATCTGGTTGGCCTCTGTGAGAAGAGGATGCTGGACTAGGTGGGCCTTTGCCTGATCCAGCAGGCTCTTCTTAGGTTCCAATATATTGCAATATTTCTACAGTTACATGCAGCACTTAAGTTTTACTGATTTCACAAAGGAGATACTGTTACTCGAGAATGAGATTATTTCCTCACTTGAAAAAGAAAAATACAGAGATGTGTCTAATAAGCTAATTCCACCATTGATTTGTATTATAAAATGATGATGCTTTATTAAGTGTGAATGGAGTGCTCAGGGGTTGCTGTTGCCATTATCTCATCTGCTTTGCAAAAAAAATTGGAACCTAGAAAGGACAGTGGAGTTTGGAGACAGTGTTAAAATGAGAGAAGGTGCAGATAGGGATTGACATGTGTTCAGTTCCTTTTTTGTCTTGAAAGTCTAACAGGATTCTCTTTCCTCCCAGACTCCCAAACAGGTGAGGAAGATGAAGGTCAGAATTCTATGGAGCCACCTGTCAATTCATTGGGAAGAACAAAGAAACTGAGGATACAACAACAAACTCACAAAGGAGAGAAACTATTTGAATGTATGAAGTGTGGAACGAGCTTTAGTCATAGTCAAGCACTTAGAATACATCAACGAACTCACACGGGTGAGAAACCATTTAAATGTATGGAGTGCGGTAAGAGCTTCAGTGGAAGTGGACATCTTAGAATACACCAACGTACTCACACAGGGGAGAAACCATTTGAATGTATTGAATGTGAAAAGAACTTCAGTACCGCTGGGAAACTTAGAATACATCAGCGAACTCACACGGGTGAGAAACCATTTAAATGTATGGAGTGCGGTAAGACCTTCAGTCAAAGTGGACATCTTAGAATACATCAACAAACTCACACAGGGGAGAAACCATTTAAATGTTTTGAGTGTGGAAAGAGCTTCAGTGAAAGTGGGAAACTTAAATTACACCAACGAATTCACACGGGTGAGAAACCATTTAAATGTATTGAATGTAGAAGGAGCTTCAGTGAAAGTGGAGCACATAGAATACACCAACGAATTCACACGGGTGAGAAACCATTTAAATGTATTGAATGTGGAAAGAGCTTCAGTCGAAGTGGAACACTTAGAAGTCATCTACGAATACACACGGAGGATAAACCATTTAAATGTATTGAATGTGGAAAGAGCTTCAGTGAAAGTGGAGCACTTAGAATACACCAACGAATTCACACAGGTGAGAAACCATTTAAATGTATGGAGTGTGGTAAGAGCTTCAGTGATAGTGGATCACTTAGAAGACATCAACGAACTCACACAGGGGAGAAACCATTTAAATGTATGCAGTGTGGAAAGAGCTTCCATGAAAGTGGAGCACTTAGAAGACATCAACAAACTCACACAGGGGGAAAACCATTTAAATGTATAGAATGTGGAAAGAGCTTCAGTGATAGTGGATCACTTAGAAGACATCAACGAACTCACACAGGGGAGAACCCATTTAAATGTATGCAGTGTGGAAAGAGCTTCCATGAAAGTGGAGCACTTAGAAGACATCAACAAACTCACACAGGGGAGAAACCATTTAAATGTATGGAATGTGGAAAGAGCTACAGTCGAAGTGGAGAACTTAGAATACACCAACGTACTCACACTGGGGAAAACCATTTCAATGTATGGAATGTGGAAAGAGCTTCAGTGATAGTGGATCATTTAGAATACACCAACGAACTCACACAGGGGAGAAACCATTTAAATGTATGCAGTGTGGAAAGAGCTTCCATGAAAGTGGAGCACTTAGAAAACATCAACAAACTCACACAGGGGAGAAACCATTTGAATGTGTGGATTGTGGAAAGAGCTTCAGTCAAAGTGGGACACTTAGAAGACATCAACGAACTCACACAGGGGAGAAACCATTGAAATGTATTGAATGTGGAAAGAGCTTCAGTGAAAGTGGAGCACTTAGAATACACCAACGAACTCACACAGGGGAGAAACCATTTAAATGTATTGAATGTGGAAAGAGCTACAGTCGAAGTGCAGAACTTAGAATACATCAACGAACTCACACGGGGGAGAAACCAATTAAAAGTTTATAGTGGCACCAGCTTTCCTGATCAAGAGTCCACTTTGTCAGACTGCAGCCCACAAGAGCTTAGGCCATAATACATTTATCAGCTTTTAAGGGCTGCAAAAGATGAATAAACAGAAGCATAGTTCATCTATGGAATCCACCCTACAGGAGACAGTGACAGCCAGCAACATGGATAGCTTGAAGAAAAGGATAAGACTGATGTCTCTGCTCTGCCCTTGTGGTCTAGGCAATAACGCTTCTTAATACTAGTTTCTGGAAAGCACACGAAGGCAGAGAAGACTCTTGTGCTCCAATCCTGCTTGCCGGTTTCCCACAGGCATCTGGTTGGCTTCTGTGAGAAGAGGATGCTGGACTTGGTGGGCCTTTGCCTGATCCAGCAGGCTCTTCTTAGGATTCTCTTTCCTCCCAGACTCCCAAACAGGTGAGGAAGATGAAAGTCAGAATTCTATGGAGCCACATGTGAATTTATGGGGAAAAACAAAGAAATTGAGGATACAACAACAAACTCACAAAGGAGATAAACAATTTGAATGTTTTGAATGTGGAAAGAGCTTCAGTGACAGTGGAAAACTTAGAATACACCAACGAACTCACACAGGGGAAAACCATTTGAATGTTTTGAGTGTGGAAAGAGCTTCAGTGAAAGTGGATCACTTAGAATACACCAACGAACTCACACAGGGGAGAAACCATTTAGATGTATTGAATGTGGAAAGAGTTTTAGCATAAGCGGAGCACTTAGAGTACACCAACAAACACACAGGGGAGAAACCATTTAAATGTATTGAATGTGTAAAGAGCTACAGTGAAAATGGATATGTAAAGAGCTTCAGTGAAAGTGGAAATCTTAGAAGACACCAACGAACTCACACAGGGGAGAAACCATTTGAATGTATTGAATGTGGAAAGAGTTTCAGTGATAGTGGATCACTTAGAAGACACCAACGAACTCACACGGGGGAGAAACCATTTGAATGTATAGAATGTGGAAAGAGCTTCAGTGATAGTGGATCACTTAGAAGACATCAACGAACTCACACAGGGGAGAACCCATTTAAATGTATGCAGTGTGGAAAGAGCTTCCATGAAAGTGGAGCACTTAGAAGACATCAACAAACTCACACAGGGGAGAAACCATTTAAATGTATGGAATGTGGAAAGAGCTACAGTCGAAGTGGAGAACTTAGAATACACCAACGTACTCACACTGGGGAAAAACCATTTCAATGTATGGAATGTGGAAAGAGCTTCAGTGATAGTGGATCATTTAGAATACACCAACGAACTCACACAGGGGAGAAACCATTTAAATGTATGCAGTGTGGAAAGAGCTTCCATGAAAGTGGAGCACTTAGAAAACATCAACAAACTCACACAGGGGAGAAACCATTTGAATGTGTGGATTGTGGAAAGAGCTTCAGTCAAAGTGGGACACTTAGAAGACATCAACGAACTCACACAGGGAGAAACCATTGAAATGTATTGAATGTGGAAAGAGCTTCAGTGAAAGTGGAGCACTTAGAATACACCAACGAACTCACACAGGGGAGAAACCATTTAAATGTATTGAATGTGGAAAGAGCTACAGTCGAAGTGCAGAACTTAGAATACATCAACGAACTCACACGGGGGAGAAACCAATTAAAAGTTTATAGTGGCACCAGCTTTCCTGATCAAGAGTCCACTTTGTCAGACTGCAGCCCACAAGAGCTTAGGCCATAATACATTTATCAGCTTTTAAGGGCTGCAAAGATGAATAAACAGAAGCATAGTTCATCTATGGAATCCACCCTACAGGAGACAGTGACAGCCAGCAACATGGATAGCTTGAAGAAAAGGATAAGACTGATGTCTCTGCTCTGCCCTTGTGGTCTAGGCAATAACGCTTCTTAATACTAGTTTCTGGAAAGCACACGAAGGCAGAGAAGACTCTTGTGCTCCAATCCTGCTTGCCGGTTTCCCACAGGCATCTGGTTGGCTTCTGTGAGAAGAGGATGCTGGACTTGGTGGGCCTTTGCCTGATCCAGCAGGCTCTTCTTAGGATTCTCTTTCCTCCCAGACTCCCAAACAGGTGAGGAAGATGAAAGTCAGAATTCTATGGAGCCACATGTGAATTTATGGGGAAAAACAAAGAAATTGAGGATACAACAACAAACTCACAAAGGAGATAAACAATTTGAATGTTTTGAATGTGGAAAGAGCTTCAGTGACAGTGGAAAACTTAGAATACACCAACGAACTCACACAGGGGAAAAACCATTTGAATGTTTTGAGTGTGGAAAGAGCTTCAGTGAAAGTGGATCACTTAGAATACACCAACGAACTCACACAGGGGAGAAACCATTTAGATGTATTGAATGTGGAAAGAGTTTTAGCATAAGCGGAGCACTTAGAGTACACCAACAAACACACAGGGGAGAAACCATTTAAATGTATTGAATGTGTAAAGAGCTACAGTGAAAATGGATATGTAAAGAGCTTCAGTGAAAGTGGAAATCTTAGAAGACACCAACGAACTCACACAGGGGAGAAACCATTTGAATGTATTGAATGTGGAAAGAGTTTCAGTGATAGTGGATCACTTAGAAGACACCAACGAACTCACACGGGGGAGAAACCATTTGAATGTATAGAATGTGGAAAGAGCTTCAGTGATAGTGGATCACTTAGAAGACACCAACGAACTCACACGGGGGAGAAACCATTTAAATGTATGGAATGTGGAAAGAGCTACAGTCAAAATGAAGCACTTAGAAGACACCAACGAACTCACACGGGGGAGAAACCATTTGAATGTATTGAATGTGGAAAGAGCTTCAGTGAAAGTGGATCACTTAGAATACACCAACGAACTCACACGGGGGAGAAACCATTTAAATGTATGGAATGTGGAAAGAGTTTCAGTGATAGTGGATCACTTTGAATACACCAACGAACTCACACAGGGGAAAAACCATATAAATGTATTGAATGTGGAAAGAGCTACAGTCAAAATGGAAGTGGCAGAGAGATATCTCTAGATTTGTCTGGCAGGGCAAAAAGCCCAGAATAAAATTTAAAATATTAACTGATGTGAAGGAAAGAGGGGGGTTTGCCCTGCCAGACTTTAAACTTTACTATGAATCAGCAGCTTTCTGCTGGTTGAAAGACTGGCTGCTTCTTGAGAACACTGATATTTTGGATTTGGAAGGTTTTAACAATGCTTTTGGATGGCATGTATATTTGTGGTACGACAAGGTTAAAGCGCACAAAGCTTTCAAACACCATATTGTCAGGAAAGCATTATTTAATGTCTGGATAAGGTACAAAGATTTACTGGAAAATAACACCCCAAGGTGGTTGTCACCCATGGAGGCAAAGGCTCTGAAAAGACTCAATATGGAGGCCAAATGGCCGAAATATTGGGAGATATTAGAACAAGAAGGAGATAAATTGAAACTGCAGAGTTTTGAGAAATTAAAAGATAAAGTGCGAGATTGGCTTCATTATTATCAAATAAGAGAGGCCTATAATTTGGACAAAAAAATGGGCTTCCAGATGGAAAAATCGAAATTGGAAACAGAATTGTTAGAATCTAAAACTAAGATTCTTTCAAGAATGTATAACTTGCTGTTAAAATGGAATACACAGGATGAAACAGTTAAATCAGCTATGATTAAATGGGCACAGGACATTGGTCATAACATCATGTTTGCTGACTGGGAAAAGTTGTGGACCACCGGTATGAAGTTTACGGCATGCAATGCCTTAAGAGAGAATATTATGAAAATGATTTATAGGTGGTACATGACCCTAGTCAAGCTTGCTAAAATTTATCACCTGCCTGATAATAAATATTGGAAATGTAAAGAAACTGAGGGTACATTCTTTCACCTCTGGTGGGCGTGCCCAAAGATTAAGGCTTTCTGGGAGATGATATATAATGAACTGAAAAAGGTATTTAAATATGCCTTCCTTAAGAAACCAGAGGCCTTTCTCCTGGGCATAGTTGGCCAATTGGTGTTAAAGAAAGATAGAACGTTTTTTATGTACGCAACAACAGCAGCAAGAATACTTATCGCAAAGCATTGGAAGACACAAGATTTGCCCACCTTGGAAGAATGGCAGGTGCAAGTAATAGACTACATGGAGATGGCAGAAATGACTGGCAGAATCCGAGACCTGGGAGAAGAAGCGGTGGAAGAGGACTGGAAGAAGTTTAAAGACTATCTGCAGAAACACTGTAAAATTTATGAATGCTAAAACGATGTTGGATTTAAAAATAATATGGCATTAGTGATATAGGTTTAAAAGCTATGTAAAAATGTAATTGAAAAAGGGTGAAAGATTAAAGTTATATTATGTCAAAAGTAAACAATATGTTAAATGGCGGTTAAACATAAGGAGGAAGGATTGGAGACATAATAGAATGATTTTAATAATCAGAAATGAGTATTAAAAGAGGGTAAGGATTTGCTGTATCTGATTGGGTAAAGAGGAACACAAAAAAGGGAGGCGTGAGGAAGTCAAGAAAAAGTTTTGTAAGCATGAATTTAAAAGCTGGAATTTTTATTTTTAATTTTTTCCCTTCTCTTTTTGATGGATGGATTTTTGTATTTTATTCTTCTTATCTGTTTTATGTGACTGTTTTTGTTTTTTCTCATTTTTGTGGTTGTTATGTTTCTTCTTTTCTGTAAAAGCAAATAAATATATTTTTTTAAAAAAAATGGATACCTTAGAAAACATCAACGAACTCACACGGGGGAGAAACCATTTAAATGTATTGAATGTGGAAAGAGCTACAGTCAATATGGAGCACTTAGAATACATCAATGAACTCACATGGGAAAAACCACAGATACTTTAATAAACTGCATAGGTGTTTTTTACCTTTCCTTCTATGCTTCCTTGCAATACTGACCTAGCCACAGTGATCTCGCCCTGACCTAGCCACAGTGATCCATGCGACGGTCACCTCCAGACTGGATTATTGTAACTCGCTCTATGTGGGGCTGCCCTTGAGACTGACCCAGAAACTCCAGCGGGTGCAGAATGCCGCGGCGAGACTCCTTACGGGGTCTTCGCTACGAGATCATATCCATCCGGTATTATACCAGCTGCACTGGCTCCCGGTGGAGTACAGGATCAGGTTTAAGGTGCTGGTTTTAACCTTTAAAGCCCTATACGGCCTAGGACCCTCGTACCTACGGGACCGCCTCTCCTGGTATGTCCCACAGAGAAATCTACGGTCTGCAAATAAAAACATCCTAAAGATCCCAGGCCACAGAGAGGTTAGGCTGGCCTCAACTAGAGCCAGGGCCTTCTCGGCCGCGGCTCCAATCTGGTGGAACGCTCTGTCACAAGAGACTAGGGCCCTGCAGGACCTGACATCCTTCCGCAGGGCCTGCAAGACAGAGCTGTTTCACCAGGCCTTTGGTCAGGGCGCAGCCTGACCCCCTCCTCTGGCAATCGGCAATCTGCACAGAATTTGCTTGATGGTTGCCATTAATTTGACTTTAATTTGATTTGATTAATTTTATAATGAATGTTTTAGAATGTTGTTAGCCGCCCTGAGCCCAGCTTCGGCAGGGGAGGGCGGGATATAAATAAAATTTATTATTATTATTATTATTACTGATAAAATCAAACCACCCCAATGCTTTCAGCCCCAGAAGAGGAGCTCCCCTTGGTGACAAAGGAGGGGGGGGTCCAAGGGAGCATCTGGAGCCCTGCCATTCCTTCTGTCCCTGGCCCCTTCCCTTCCGCTCTCTGCCATCCCTGGGCCACTCCTTAGTCCATAGGAGGAGACTGGATCTGTCTGTGATGGTGAGATGTCCTGGCCGGTTGAAGGACCACTTCCTGTTTCCTGGAGCTCCATCCTGCCTTCTCATGCAAGGTGGAGTCATGAAGCAGGTGAAGGCTGAGGACACCTAAGGGTGACCCGGGGGGGGGATTCTGCTTAACCTTTCCCCGTCTGCTCCTTTTCTGGATCCAAATCCCCACACAAAAAGGGGCAGTGTGAGGGCGCAATCGGTGTTATGGAGCTGCACTGGAAATCATTGCTTTGTGACTGTAAGAGGCCCTTCTAAAAAAAAGAAGCATCAAGAGAATTTAAGCTATAGAATTTAAAACAAACAGATAATTACAAAAAAAGAAAGTCTGGTGCCACAATGCGTAGGAGTTAGTTTAACACACTCTACCTGGGGCTGCCTTTGAAAAGAGCTTAGAAACTTCAATGGCTCAGAGAGCTGCAGACACATTACTGACCAGGGCTGGCTATAGGCAGCATAGGACTCCTATATGAGAACAGCTCCATCTGCCTAATTGTTTCTGGACACAATCAATGTGTCCACAAGAAGAGGAAGATAGATTTGGAGTGCCACATTTTCAAAAAAGATGGACACACAACAAATTCTTTGTGGAGCTGAAAGGCATGCCTGTGTGCCTCATTTGTGGTGAGGCCCTCTCCGTCCTGAAGAAGGCCCACCTGCAGAGGCACTACAGGACGAAGCACATCCAGTACGAGGAGTTCCAAGGGCAGCTGCGCCAGGAGAAGGTGAAGGCGCTGAAAACGGACCTGTTGGGTAACCTGTGGCCCCTCCAGATGATGTCAAATTGCAACTCACGTCTTCTTCAAATTGCAACTCACGTCCTCAAAATGGTTCAGCCTCCACCACCTTTACTGCAGTCAGCTGAAGGCAACCAACTGTGCCCTGGGGCCCTCAACCTTTCTCACTGCCAATGAAAACTAATAAATGAAAAGGAAGAGAAGCTACCCATGTCACACTGACACAAACACCTTGCATATGAACTTCGTAAAATAATGAAAGTGTACTACCCCTCCCCCAGCTCACTCTCCCCACCTCTCAATTCTCCAGCCTTACACTGTATACAACATTAAAGTCTGTCTGTCTGTGAATTTTTATGATATCCAAAGTAACAGAGTAGCTTATAGCTAGGAAGCCAAATAGCTATTCTAGTTGATAGTTCCTTTTTACAGACTATACAGTGGCCAGACTATTCAAAAGAACTTTACTTTCATAATCATATAACTGAGAAGAATAGAAGAGGAAGAGGAGTCTATAACCTGAAGTGTATGTAAACCGAGGCACCATTGTACAATCTTCTGCTTATTCAAACACGTGCGTGTTCTCACTTGAATTCTCTTATAGTTTCTTATGAAACATTTTTCTTTCACATCAGCAGTATTGTCTCTGTTTCTGCACAGGTTTCTGCTTGTTAACATTTAGTGGCCGCAAGGACCACATAACACCGGTCCTGAGAGATCTGCATTGGCTCCCAGTATGTTTCCGAGCACAATTCAAAGTGTTAGTGCTGACCTTTAAAGCCTTAAATGGCCTCGGTCCTGTGTACCTGAAGGAGCATCTCCACCCCCATCGTTCAGCCCAGACACTGAGATCCAGCGCCGAGGGCCTTCTGGCAGTTCCCTCATTGCGAGAAGTGAGGTTACAGGGAACCAGACAGAGGGCCTTCTCGGTAGTGGCCCCCACCCTGTGAAACACCCTCCCTTCAGATGTGAAGGAAATAAGCAGCTATCCTATCTTTAAAAGACATCTGAAGGCAGCCCTGTTTAGGGAAGTTTTTAATATTTAATGCTGTACTGTTTTTAACACTTGATTGGGATCCGCCCAGAGTGGCTGGGGAAACTCAGCCAGATGGGTGGGGTATAAATAATAAATTATTATTATTATTATTATTATATAGTGATCTGTTTCACTTCAGACAGATCACACTAACAAACTACAGTTACAGTTGCTCCAAGATAATTCAGTGGGGCCTCTTCTCAGTTCATTCTCTTCTGGATCAGTGCCTTAATCCTTTGTAGATTCTGTATATCACAGAATAACCATTGAGATGTCCCCAGATGTTGTTGTCCAGTTCCCATCAGCTTCAGCCAGCAGGGCAGACAGTCAAGGATGATAG